CATTTTGTAAAAACCTAAAATTGTTCTTTTCTCACTGGATACTGAATGTAATGAGTTGAACTCTTCAGGGAATTCAATTCTGGCCTCTAGGCACCTCGTGTGAACTTTTGAGGAAATTTGGTGAAGTTGGATTTTTGGGTGAAAAACTGACTTTTTCGATGATGCCGGCTATGGAAAACGTTGAAGTTTTGGGGCATTTTGTAAAAACCTAAAATTGTTCTTTTCTCACTGGATACTGAATGTAATGAGTTGAACTCTTCGGGAATTCAATTCTGGCCTCTAGGCACCTTGTGTGTACTTTTGAGGAAATTTTATGAAGTTGGATTTTTGGGTCAAAATCTGACTTTTTCGATGATGCCGGCTATGGAAAACGTTGAAGTTTTGGGGGCATTTTGTAAAAACCTAAAATTGTTCTTTTCTCACTGGATACTGAATGTAATGAGTTGAACTCTTCAGGGAATTCAATTCTGGCCTCTCGGCACCTCGTGTGAACTTTTGAGGAAATTTGGTGAAGTTGGATTTTTGGGTGAAAAACTGACTTTTTTGATGATGCCGGCTATGGAAAACGTTGAAGTTTTGGGGCATTTTGTAAAAAACCTAAAATTGTTCTTTTCTCACTGGATACTGAATGTAATGAGTTGAACTCTTCAGGGAATTCAATTTGGCCTCTAGGCACTCGTGTGAACTTTTGAGGAAATTTGGTGAAGTTGGATTTTTGGGTGAAAAACTGACTTTTTCGATGATGCCGGCTATGGAAAACGTTGAAGTTTTGGGGCATTTTGTAAAAACCTAAAATTGTTCTTTTCTCACTGGATACTGAATGTAATGAGTTGAACTCTTCAGGGAATTCAATTCTGGCCTCTAGGCACCTCGTGTGAACTTTTGAGGAAATTTGGTGAAGTTGGATTTTTGGGTGAAAAACTGACTTTTTCGATGATGCCGGCTATGGAAAACGTTGAAGTTTTGGGGGCATTTTGTAAAAACCTAAAATTGTTCTTTTCTCACTGGATACTGAATGTAATGAGTTGAACTCTTCGGGAATTCAATTCTGGCCTCTAGGCACCTTGTGTGAACTTTTGAGGAAATTTGGTGAAGTTGGATTTTTGGGTGAAAAACTGACTTTTTCGATGATGCCGGCTATGGAAAACGTTGAAGTTTTGGGGCATTTTGTAAAAAAACTAAAATTGTTCTTTTCTCACTGGATACTGAATGTAATGAGTTGAACTCTTCAGGGAATTCAATTCTGGCCTCTAGGCACCTCGTGTGAACTTTTGAGGAAATTTGGTGAAGTTGGATTTTTGGGTCAAAAATGACTTTTTTGATGATGCCGGCTATGGAAAACGTTGAAGTTTTGGGGGCATTTTGTAAAAAACCTAAAATTGTGCGTTTCTCACTGGATACTGAATGTAATGAGTTGAACTCTTCAGGGAATTCAATTCTGGCCTCTAGGCACCTCGTGTGAACTTTTGAGGAAATTTGGTGAAGTTGGATTTTTGGTGAAAAACTGACTTTTTCGATGATGCCGGCTATGGCGTTGAAGTTTTGGGGCATTTTGTAAAAACCTAAAATTGTTCTTTTCTCACTGGATACTGAATGTAATGAGTTGAACTCTTCAGGGAATTCAATTCTGGCCTCTAGGCACCTCGTGTGAACTTTTGAGGAAATTTGGTGAAGTTGATTTTTGGGTGAAAATCTGACTTTTTCGATGATGCCGGCTATGGAAAACGTTGAAGTTTTGGGGCATTTTGTAAAAAACCTAAAATTGTTCTTTTCTCACTGGATACTGAATGTAATGAGTTGAACTCTTCAGGGAATTCAATTCTGGCCTCTAGGCACCTCGTGTGAACTTTTGAGGAAATTTGGTGAAGTTGGATTTTTGGGTGAAAAACTGACTTTTTCGATGATGCCGGCTATGGAAAACGTTGAAGTTTTGGGGGCATTTTGTAAAAACCTAAAATTGTTCGTTTCTCACTGGATACTGAATGTAATGAGTTGAACTCTTCAGGGAATTCAATTCTGGCCTCTCGGCACCTCGTGTGAACTTTTGAGGAAATTTGGTGAAGTTGGATTTTTTGGTGAAAAACTGACTTTTTCGATGATGCCGGCTATGGAAAACGTTGAAGTTTTGGGGGCATTTTGTAAAAAACCTAAAATTGTTCTTTTCTCACTGGATACTGAATGTAATGAGTTGAACTCTTCGGGAATTCAATTCTGGCCTCTAGGCACCTTGTGTGTACTTTTGAGGAAATTTGGTGAAGTTGGATTTTTGGGTCAAAACTGACTTTTTTGATGATGCCGGCTATGGAAAACGTTGAAGTTTTGGGGGCATTTTGTAAAAACCTAAAATTGTTCTTTCTCACTGGATACTGAATGTAATGAGTTGAACTCTTCAGGGAATTCAATTCTGGCCTCTAGGCACCTCGTGTGAACTTTTGAGGAAATTTGGTGAAGTTGGATTTTTGGGTGAAAAACTGACTTTTTTGATGATGCCGGCTATGGAAAACGTTGAAGTTTTGGGGCATTTTGTAAAAACCTAAAATTGTTCTTTTCTCACTGGATACTGATTATGAGTTGAACTCTTCAGGGAATTCAATTCTGGCCTCTAGGCACCTTGTGCGTACTTTTGAGGAAATTTATGAAGTTGGATTTTTGGGTCAAAATCTGACTTTTTCGATGATGCCGGCTATGGAAAACGTTGAAGTTTTGGGGGCATTTTGTAAAAATCTAAAATTGTTCTTTTCTCACTGGATACTGAATGTAATGAGTTGAACTCTCCAGGGAATTCAATTCTGGCCTCTCGGCACCTCGTGTGAACTTTTGAGGAAATTTGGTGAAGTTGGATTTTTGGGTGAAAAACTGACTTTTTTGATGATGCCGGCTATGGAAAACGTTGAAGTTTTGGGGGCATTTTGTAAAAAACCTAAATTGTTCTTTTCTCACTGGTTACTGAATGTAATGAGTTGAACTCTTTGGGAATTCATTTTGGCCTCTAGGCACCTCGTGTGAACTTTTGAGGAAATTTGGTGAAGTTGGATTTTTGGGTGAAAAACTGACTTTTTTGATGATGCCGGCTATGGAAAACGTTGAAGTTTTGGGGGCATTTTGTAAAAACCTAAAATTGTTCTTTTCTCACTGGATACTGAATGTAATGAGTTGAACTCTTCAGGGAATTCAATTCTGGCCTCTCGGCACCTCGTGTGAACTTTTGAGGAAATTTGGTGAAGTTGGATTTTTGGGTGAAAAACTGACTTTTTCGATGATGCCGGCTATGGAAAACGTTGAAGTTTTGGGGCATTTTGTAAAAAACCTAAAATTGTTCTTTTCTCACTGGATACTGAATGTAATGAGTTGAACTCTTCGGGAATTCAATTCGTGCCCTCTAGGCACCTTGTGTGGTCTTTTGAGGAAATTTGGTGAAGTTGGATTTTTGGGTGAAAAACTGACTTTTTCGATGATGCCGGCTATGGAAAACGTTGAAGTTTTGGGGGCATTTTGTAAAAAAACTAAAATTGTTCTTTTCTCACTGGATACTGAATGTAATGAGTTGAACTCTTCAGGAATTCAATTCTGGCCTCTCTGCACCTCGTGTGAACTTTTGAGGAAATTTGTTGAAGTTGGATTTTTGGGTCAAAAATGACTTTTTTGATGATGCCGGCTATGGAAAACGTTGAAGTTTTGGGGGCATTTTGTAAAAACCTGAAATTGTGCGTTGCTCACTAGATACTGAATGTAATGAGTTGAACTCTTCAGGAAATTCAATTCTGGCCTCTAGGCACCTCGTGTGATCTTTTCAGGAAATTTTGTTGAAGTTGGATTTTTGTTTGAAAAACTGACTTTTTCGATGATGCCTGCTATGGAAAGCGTTGAAGTTTTGGGGCATTTTGTAAAAACCTTAAATTGTTCTTTTCTCACTGGATACTGATTGTAATGAGTTGAACTCTTCAGGGAATTCAATTCTGGCCTCTAGGCACCTCGTGCGTACTTTTAAGGAAATTTGGTGAAGTTGGATTTTTGGGTCTAAACTGACTTTTTCGATGATGCCGGCTATGGAATACGTTGAAGTTTTGGTGGCATTTTGTAAAAACCTGAAATTGTTCTTTTCTCATCGGATACTGAATGTAATGAGTTGAACTCTTCAGGGAATTCAATTCTGGCCTCTAGGCACCTCGTGTGAACTTTGAGGAAATTTGGTGAAGTTGGATTTTTGGATGAAAAACTGACTTTTTCGATGATGCCGGCTATGGAAAGCGTTGAAGTTTTGGGGGCATTTTGTAAAAACCTAAAATTGTTCGTTTCTCACTTGATACTGAATGTAATGAGTTGAACTCTGCAGGGAATTCAATTCTGGCCTCTAGAACCTCGTGTGAACTTTTGAGGAATTTGGTGAAGTTGGATTTTTGGGTCAAAAACTGACTTTTTCGATGATGCCGGCTATGGAAAGTCTTGAAGTTTTGGGGGCATTTTGTAAAAAACCTAAAATTGTTCTTTTCTCACTGGATAATGAATGTAATGAGTTAAACTCTTCAGGGAATTCAATTCTGGCCTCTAGGCACCCTCGTGTGATGTTTTTGAGGAATTTTGGTGAAGTTGGATTTTTGGGTGAAAAACTGACTTTTTCAACTTTTTCGATGATGTTCAAAACATCATATCCCACATCACAGCAGTCAACAATTGTTAATTGGCAGGTATACGTTTGAAACCAGCTCGGGGCCTGGTCGCCAGTGATGTCCCTCGCCTTCAGCTCGGGCCATTATCCGCGCGTCCAGGCCCAACCAGGTTTTAAACGTACTTGTTTAAAACTGGCCAAGCACATAATTACTCTGTTATTAACAACAAATAACAAAAAATCATTACTTTGCTCTGTTTCTGATATTAAGACCACAAGAAATTGAACAGATTATCAAAGCCCACCTGAAAATAGATGACATACCTCGATCTTTTGGGGTTTTTTTTTAGCCAGCTTGATTTACTCAAAAGAGATCTACTTGTATTGTGAACACAGGTTGGGATGCAGTGCGCGACTGAAGGATGTGTTATCAGGCGGTGAGAAGCAACGCATGGGAATGGCAAGACTCTTCTACCAACAGTAAGAAACTAAACATCCACAGTGAAACACTGAGGACTTATCTTACGAACACTCTTTCCCCCTTTCCATCCAATCATGTGGTTCCAAACAAAAACTATAGAAATAATAAATCAAATTAGGTTTTGCCCTTCACCGACGTTTAAACACTGTATACTCAGTGTGTTACCTCCCGAGTGAAAGATGGAAAAAATCACTCGGGTGGGACTCGAACCCACGACCTCCTGCTTTCTAGTGCAGATGTCTTACCACTCGACCACCGAGCTAACGGGATCGGTTGGCTGGTTCGAATCTGATGTACAAAGCAGCGGGTACCTCATAAAACGTCGGTGAAGGGCAAAACCTAATTTGATTTATATCACCCCGACGCAAAATATCATCTTATTATAGAAATAATAGTTACCGAGAATGGTACCTTATAAGGGAGACATTCCTTAGGGTTGTGCACAAACATTTTCAATTTTTCATGACCCCTTACCCCAATTTCCAACTTATCTTACCCCCATTGATGTTGGTACATTTATGTTTTGGACCATGAGCAATCTGTCTAGCATATTTGTGGCGGTAAAATTTTGCCTCTAAATAGGAGTTGTGACACCAGGGAGACATAGAAATGTCTCCTTAATCTACTTTGTCTCCCTAAGGTATAACTTATGACCAAAAAAATGTCTCCTTAAAGGTACATTTACGGGAATACATGTATCTCTTGAACAATGATAACTAAATCCTACATAAGTTAAAAATAAAAACTGTAGGATATAATATATTTGTTCCAATTGCTTTGCTATTTGATTCATATCATGTATAAGTTTATAAGTACAAGCTTAAGCTTGGTGCCAGTATTCCCATTCATCACTGAATTTTTACATATTCTACCTAAATTGTCATTGTAAAAACTTTTATGGTGTTTGGAAATAAATTAAATCAATTAATTAAATTTTGTCCAGCACCTGATTTCACAAAGCGCTGCGACGTGTCGCAACTCGAGTTACGACGTGTAACACGTCGCAACTCGCGACGCGTTGTATCTTCCATTTCACGAAAGTTGCGATGTGTTGAACGCGTCGTAAGTTCCTTGACAACGGCTTAAATCACGTCGCAAGTTAAGACGTGTCTAGTGGTCGTCGCAAAATAAGAAGAGTCATTTCTAAGCCAGCTTTATGCCATAAACTCTTTGTTGAATATCAGACGACTATTTACTGTACGCTGACTAAATACATAAACAGACACCGAGTTGTGCTATAAATACACCTACGATGCGTCGCACTTACGACGTGTTTTGTGAAATGGATCGCAGGACGCGTCGCAGCTGCGACGCATCGTAGAGATATGACGCGTCGCATCGCTGCGATGCATCGTAAGTTACGAAGAGTTTGATGAAATCGGGTGCTGCACTCTGCCTGTACATGTTTTATACGCTGTACATCAATGCAAAATAGAAGTAATTGAGGTTAGAATTTACAGCGGTACCTGTAAATTGTAGTTACTGCAGTTTATATTTTTCAAACTGATGAACTCATCAACCTTTTTCCCTCTCTGCTTCTGTGCCACCAGGCCTAAGTTTGCTCTGCTGGACGAATGCACCAGTGCCGTGAGCATCGACGTGGAAGGCAAGATTTTCCAGCGGGCCAAGGATGCGGGGATCATCATGCTGACGATCACGCACAGGCCTTCGCTCTGGTAAGAGGACAGCTTGATAATTAACTCTGCCAAAAATGTGATTTGAAGCTTTGCATGGTGGAGTGCTACTAGCTAGGGCTGTCCATTTTCAAATAATTTAGTATTCGATTACTGGAACTGTGTTTGACCAAATATTCGGATATTCAAATTTGCGTGTGGCAATCGCTATGGGACGCATGAGTGTTTTGCAGTATGTATTTTAAAACTGTAAAGGGCTTTCAGCTCCTAAAAGGATGTGAAGGAATAGTTACCATCGACAATTTAAAGGGGCACTAGGTCCTGAAATCCCCGACAATTTTATGTTTTGGATAGTTACTTAGCCTATTTTAAACATCTGGTTGAGAGGAAACCAACCTAATGTCTTACCGTTCCCGAGAAAAGACCAAAAAAAACCCGCTTGTTTACATCGGACATGACGGAGTACGAATACGTTTTTCGTGTCATTCTAATTCTCAGTTAGTACGATGTACACATTGTGTGTCTCGGAACAGCAGTGACCAATCACTGGTTTCTTCAACGTCCGCAAAAGGCAAACACTTTACAATTGAAATCGCAACTAGCGTCCAAACAGCTCGAATTTATGGGGTCGCAAAAGTGGACCCCGAAATTCGTTCTCGCACGCATAATACAGGAATAACACAAAAAAACGCCCAGTTTTGAAAGGATAGTTGTTATATCCTACTTTTAAATGTTATTTCCGATTAACATCATCTCGTTCAAAGCACGTTTTGTAGCCCAATTGGGCTGTTCCAGGACCTAGTGTCCCTTTAAGTGTCACCTGACAATAAAGCGCCGCAATTTTATGATAAAATAACGTCACTGTCTTGTGTGTATAACGTGTGTACGTAATTGTTTTTGTTCCGAATATTCACCCGGCAAAAAGCTATTGGAATATTCGGTTGACGATCGAATGTTCAGGTATTTGGTATATTCAAGACAGCCCTAAGTGGTACATGAAAGTGGAAGGTTTGCAGGTACAGCATGGAATTAATCTCTTCTGTGAAGAAGTGAGGTTCTGGAATAAAACAAATTGGTGTTTAGAATCTTTCTCGACGTTTCGGACAGTATACGCTGTCCATCCTAGAATGGATGACCGAGTACAATGCCCAAAACATTGAGACCAGTTCTCAACCAGTGTTGTGGTTGAGACCATCACAAGACCAATTGTAGAGCAAGCACAAGACCAGCGACAAGTAACAGGGCACGAACAATGACGAAGGAATGCATTTGTTGCTGTTCATTTGAATGGCTTGTGACTTGAACAGACCTGAAACATAATGACGTCACTCTTTTTCACATGTGCCCTTCCTATGAGAGCCAGGTGGGACGCGTCCCGCTTGGCTCTCATAGGAAAGCGTACATGTAAACAAAGCGTGTGACGTCATAATGTCTTAGGTCTAGTGAGACTGAAGGTCTTGTGTTGGTCTTGTGATGGTCTTGCAGGGTCTCAACTACAACACTCTTCTCAACAAAGGTCTTTTTTCAGAAGAGATTAATTATATGGTCTAACTGCAAGCCGAGCACCTTTCCGTCAAAATCCAATGGGAGGTTTGAGAAGATTTTGCAGGATTCGGGAAGTAGTAACTTTAACTTTACATGGGGCTTGTTGCCCTTGCGAATCCGGAGGCCAAAGAATGTGTCATTTTGAGGATTCATCGGGATGATTCCAAGCAAAAATACCTAAACAGGAGACACAGGGAAACACCTGAAGTGAACCACGTACTTGTTGCTGATGTACATTCAACCAATGTTCCATCTTGCAGGAGTTCCACACCCACCTGCTCCAGTTTGACGGCGAGGGTGGCTGGCGCTTAGACGAGCTCAACATCACCAAGCGTCTCTCCCTCAACGAGGAGAAGCAGAGGCTTGAGACGCAGCTGTCCGGCGTGCCGGGCATGCAGGACCGTCTGGACGAACTCTGCGAGATTCTCGGCGAGGACTCGGTCCACAGGACCCACAAGACCTCTGAGCGGTCCATCGACTCGTCGGACGACCAGGAGGTGGACATTCCGGGCACAGAAAGTGACCAATAAGAGTGGAGGCAACCAGTCAAAAGGGAGTGTGTAAGTGAGTTTGTTTCTGCAGTAGAAACGTTGAAAAATACGTCACACAATAGGGTCCCCAATTCCCGAAGGTCCCCAATTTGGCGATTTGTACAAAACATATGGGAGGTCTTCCTAAAAAGTTAAATTACAAGCAAAAGAGGGACAATAGGGGGTCCCCAATTGCAGGCAAATACACACTTGCGTGTTGTTGTATAAAAATAGCATTTTCTGGTTGTTTTTGTCAGGCCGAACAAAAAGTTGTTGTGTTGCCCTCACCAGACGGACCTAAAACCTGGAAATCCATAGGCGTTTTTTTAATTTTTATTGAAACAAATTAAATGAACTTTTTTAACCTTGCCGTTACTTGTTCTTTGTAAAGCCATTATTTTGCATTTCTTACATAAGTAATTTTGCAAAACGTACATAAGTAAATGGTAGTACAGTTTGAATTTACCATATTTTGTACGTGCAACCGTTGGGTAGGAAACAGGCCGAGTCCTGGGGCATGTGTGTGATGCACTGCATACCGTCGTACACTTGTGTACATGCACTGTACATTGTATTGCATGCATACTATATGTACATGTACGCAGCATAGTTGGGGCGTGCAGTTCATTATAGCCTGAGCATTTTTGTGTACGTTGGTAGTGGGGAACTGGTAATCGAATGGAATTATTGACAAAATATTGGTCATAAGCTTCGAGAAAATGGGACATGTTGACTGGAAAATTAAACAAATTAAACTGTTTAAAGGGAAGATACAACATTTGCAAACATCAAAAAACGAAATGATCCAATTATCACGAAATACCTTACTGGATTGTTAGGGACTGACAGTCTAAAGCAGCCTATAAAATCGTGGCTCCTGGTGTGCTTACATTTTAAAGAAAACTTGTATTTTTCCAACGCTGGTCGGCCGACCAGCGTTGGAGAAAACTGGCGTATTTCAAAAGCTGCTCCTAATTTTTCATATTTAGTTATTCCACATTTTCTTTGCAATTGATCACACACCTGTGAAGGAGTACAAGCCTACCAGGCTGATTCTCTGACCTTACATCCCCAAAGTGTACAAACTACTCTGTTTCATCTTAAGTGGGGTCAGGGAACCAGACTACAAGAACATGATTGGTCTTCTTGGTTTTTTCAGCACCTACAAGCCCAAAACGTGAAACAAGTCAGTGAAACAATATTTGCTATAACATTATAATCCTCCAAACCTATTTTATTTTTTTTTTTAAATTGAAAAATTGCAGCAACATCAAATGTTGTACATTCCCTTTAAAGTTCATGACTCAATCACCGAAAACGAAATCATCTGAAAACACAAATGTTATAAACTATGGCTATATTTGAGACATGTGTCCCTTTTTAAAATGTACTCGTCAATAAGAAGAATGGGTTGGCCCCAAACAACTTAAATACCCTGTCCAACGGACCGTTTATCATGTGAGGCCAACACAACAATTGGGGTTTTGGGCCTCAATTGGCCTTTGGGGGGGGGGGGGTTTAGGTGGTGTCGCAGGTGATTAAATCCATCACAAGGCCGGCCACAAATAACACAAACCCTTTCACAAGTCCAGTCAGAAGTAAAGGGGGGGGTGAATAATGACTAGAAGGAATGCTTTTATCAGAGCTCATTTGCACAGTTTGTGACCTAACCGGTACCTTTAGACTGAATTGCTTTGTGATGGACTTTGAATGGACTTGTGAAGAGGTCTCATGAGGACTTGTGATGGACCCGCCTACAGCACTACTACAGTAGAAACTTTATTATTTTGATTAAAGGGGCATTACGTCCTAGAGTGCGCCCAGTTGGGTAACAAAATGCATTTTAAATGAAAAGATGTTAATTGGAAAGAGCGTTTGAAAGTAGGATATAAACATTGTTTTTGTGTTATTCTTGCGAGGATGCATTTCGGGGGTCAAAAATTATAACTCTTAAAAATCGGGCTGTTGGGTGCTAGTCGTGAATCCTGCCATGCCCCACATGTTCCACCAGTGCATCGCATTTTGCGGACATGCGAGAAACAACATTTGTATACCTCACGCACATGAAGTACCGTACATTGAATGGACATGGCTGGACATGCATGTGCCACAAAATTCTGCCCCGTCAGATGTAAACAATCCTTTTTTTCCCCGTCATTTCTCGGGAACGGTAAGACATTTGGTTAGTCTCCTTTCAACCAGACCTTTCAAATAGGATAAGTAAACAATCCAAAACATACATTTTCACGGGATTCAGGCCGGAATATCTCTTTAAGTCAAAGCACTAAATCAAGTGCATAGTATGAACACATACATGCACGGGTGGCGAGAGAATTATGTTATTAAAATTATTGTAAAGCAAATCAAAGGATCAGATCCATTTGTTATTGCAATGTAAGCTTGTCATAAAATTTGAGACTCTGTATTATTAAAACGTATGTGTGTAATCAAACAAAATTTGTCCATTATGTTTTACACTACCATGTAGAGTATGTCTTGTATTCAGCAGTATTATTATTTGGCGTCAGCGTTGGTTGTTGTCTGGCTCGTGAAACTTAAAGTCCACAAGTCCTATATGATTGGCATGTGCATACATGTATAGTGGAACTCAGGCTTAATAATCTAATGGATACCATTTTGAGCAAGGCACATAGCCTCATTTATATTCCTTCCCCAGAAATGTAAACAGTAGTCAATTTATGTTTTCTATAGAATCTACAGTTTGGTCAGTGTTTTGTGAAACAAATTGTATAATGTGTGAGTGAAATCGCTGACACATTGTGTGTTAGTAACTTTAACATCTCATACATATTTATGAGCCTAAAAATAATGCACATCTTTGATTGGTTAACGGTCCCAGTGAGGCTGCTGGCGGTACCATTACAACAATGTGCATAACGGACAAACGATTCTGCGCATTACGAGGGACGGATTTCCAACAGACTTCCCATATTCAATAGTGAACTAAATATGAGGTGTTATAAACATAATACAAAACATGTTTTTTTAAAAGATGGAATGTACAACGTGGTTTTGTTTTAGGAAGGAAGCACAACTACTGGTCCGTCGGTGTTGGGCTGATAATGACTACCTCCACTTAATGTCTAGTCTTCTTCCAAGACTGGATTTGGATCTTATTCCCCTTGTACATCCGGTCTGTGACCAGCAAGTTTGCTATCAACAAGATGAATCCAATCCAGTCTTGGCAATATTGGCAGCCCTACCCAGAACATGCCGAGCATACCTCGCGCGCACTGTATTCAAGCTGATGCATGTGCGAGGTATGCTCGGAAAGTCCTGGGTAGGGCTGCCAATATTGCCAAGACTGGATTTGGATCTTATTCCCCTTGTACAGCCGGTCTGTGACCAGCAAGTTTGCTATCAACAAGATGAATCCAATCCAGTCTTGGCAATATTGGCAGCGCTACCCAGAACATTCCGAGCATACCTCATGTGCACTGTATTCAAGCTAATGCATACGTGCGAGGTATGCTCGAAAAGTCCTGGGTAGGGCTGCCAATATTGCCAAGACTGGATTTGGATCTTATTCCCCTTGTACATCCGGTCTGTGACCAGCAAGTTTGCTATCAACAAGATGAATCCAATCCAGTCTTGGCAATATTGGCAGCCCTACCCTGGACTTTCCGAGCATACCTCGCGCACACTGTATTCAAGCTAATGCATGCGTGTGAGGTACAGGTATGCTCTGAATTGCCTGGGTATCGCTGCCAACATTGCCAAGACTGGATTTGATTTATCGTGTTGGTAGATACCTCCACCGCTGCGACAACTTATAACTGCATTTGTCATGGGACTGGCTTCAAAATAAGGGGATAAAAATGCAGTCTTGGACCGAGACTACATCATGTCAGGAGGTAGTCTGATCAGCCAACACCTCAGAACCAGTAACTTCGCACTGCTTCTGTATTTTTACTATAAAACACTCACTGGATTACGGTAGACTGTAGTTGTGTTTTATTGCAATGTGGTTATGATTTTTTCCTTGGAAAGGATTGTGTTGTTACAATAGTTAACAGTTCTTAGAGTACTTTTTTGTGTATGCTGTTTACTGGAATACTTTTATATGTATTGCAATATCTTTATAGGTATATGGATTTTGGAGCCTGACCAAAATTCCTGCATGTGGACATATCGTTGTTCAGTTGCTTTGTGCAGTAGCTGGCACTATGCTTTTTGCCTTTGCAGGGGTCTGCATGATTATACAGTGACATCGCACTTTGATTGGTCTCTCAAAGATGTGTTGTGATAAAATCATTAAATAAAGAAGGGACTTGCAATGTGTGGGATTTGTAGATATTGTTAGGGTGTTGAAGTCCATCCAGTTTAGTATGATGCTAAAGCATTTCAAATTGCAACTGAAATACAAAAACAGAGAGGTCTAGTATGAATGGTGTCAATGTTGTTGCAAACATTTCTCCAATGCTGGCAAGTCAAAGATTTCAGGCTAGGTGTGTCTTGCGTTTCTGCATCTTGCGTCTTCACAAATAGGGGAGATAGTGGCCTAGTATTTAGAGTTTGTGACTCATGATCTGAGGGTCAGGGGTTTGAATCCAGCTGCTGGTCATATGTTTGTGTCCTTGGGCAAGCCACTTCACCCCCACTTGCCTCTCTTCAGCCAGGAGGTTAAAAGGGGTACTGGCGTTAGCTGGGGAGTAAGGCCCAAAAAAAAATAAGTCGGTCTCTGGTCAGCGCGCGCGTCGATTTTAATCATGCGCGTCGATCTTTTTTTTTTCCAAAATGTTCCGCGGTAGCTCCAACAGCACCCTCTATTTCCGCACCTCCTCAATTTTTTTTTACCAAAGAGCACCAAGGAATGGGAAATTGCACCAAGGCAAATGATCAAAAGCACCAAGGCAAATTATCGAGGACACCAATGTACACGAGGACACCAAAAAAGCAAAACAGTACCCCGCCTTGTCTGTACAATCCAAGCTTGAAGAAAAAAAAAAAGCCGCGTGGCCGCGTCAATTCCGGAACTTTGGTCTGACCAGAGACCGAATATTTTTTTTTTTGGCCTAACCTGCAATGGACTAGCATCCCGTCCAAGGGGAATAGAAATGTTCTCAGTCCTTTCATACAAAGGAAACCGAAGATAAAGGCCTGACGGGCCAAATTGCCTCGTGAGAGACTTAATACTACCACTCTGGCCTTTACAAGGGGCCGGATTTAGCATTCAGGTTTATGGGGTAATCCTGAATAAGATAGCCTTGCGTTATTCACAAGTGACAGCCAGTCAGTGAGGTAGGTACAAAAGAGAACGCTGGGCTAGATCTCTGGTTTCAGCACGAACTTCCATTGTACTGCAGCCTGGAAATCAGTCGCATTGCTTGACTTGTTTTAACTATTGAGTTTTTATTTTTGAAACCACCGACAATCCTCACATTTCCAAGGATATTCTTTTAGTTTTGTCTTTAAAGAATTGAATGTGTAATATTTTATTATTACATTTGTTTAGTATTATTACCATTATTGATTGTTGTCAATAATTATCGATTGTTTGATGTTTAATCTTTACCTGGAGTGTTGAATTTGCGCATTGAGCAAAATTTCAATCTGAAATATACCTTCACATTCTTGCTGAAGTAAATGTATTTAGTTATTTGGAGAGAAAAAAAGTACATGTTATACAGCAATTGTGGATTTATTGGGTTAGGCAATTTTCTGGCTAATTCTCTTAGCTACTAGTTTATAGGTTTTCTTTGCATGGAAAACTGATTGCAACATAATAATGATGCCATTATTGATGAATTGGTCAAGGTCAAATGCTGCAAATTATTTTGCTACATTTTACTATTGCTGCCACTAATATCCTATTACAAGGTTTATACTGCTACATTGAGATATACTGTGTCGTTGCTGACTTGTTAACACTTATTTAAAATATTGTTGTGCTATATTGTGTTGGTTTTTCCCACGAGTATACTTCAGCTTACAATGCACTGTGTGCTATGAAAACAACCAACGTTGACCCTTTTTGTGGTTAACACGAAAAAAAAAATCCTTGTGTGAATAAAATAGCATTATACTATTAAGTCCTTCCAAAGTTTGGAGGCCTTAAAGGCCTCCAAACTTTGGAAGGGCTTTTATTGAACCCACAAAGCGTTAGGTAACAGCAATGGTCACTCACTGTTATAAAGGCATTCTGATCTTTCGACTGGGTCAATTGGATAAAAGGTGGAGGAGCCTCTGTTTTGTTATCCTTAGTACTTTAGAATGCATTTCGCTTGAAATTGAAAGAGCTGGCTTGAAGTATTGTCAGAAACTGAATGCAGTGTATATCGTCTACGTAGGTCGTCCCGTTCGCATGTCGCATTTTGTGGTTTCTTCTCCATGTGCCTAAAAAATCCTCGAACACGTAAGTGAATTTATTGGTGGTTATTCTTCCTGTTTGCTGTGAAATTGTGATGTGTCACCTCTCTAAAAACGATATCGAAATGAGTACTTAAAGACAAGAGAGCCGCACAAAACTTTATCCATTCTGAGCATGATCTGTCATAATATCAGGCGCGGTTCTACGGGGGGGGCTAGTGGGGGCTGTAGCCCCCAAAAATTTTCTCTAGCCCCCCAAAAATTAATTCCTTAAAACAAAAATGCATTAGCAAAAGAAGGATTGTGATGTACATGCGAATATGGTCTCCCCCTAAAGAAGAAATAGCCGTGACAAGGGTGCATTAGTTAATATAGTGTGAATGATTTTAGGATTTTATTGGCGCTCCCCATTGAAAATATGGCAAAATATTGGTTCTAGAACCGCGCTGCATAATATGATCTACATTTTTGTTGTACAAGTGGCGTTACACAGTGAAGTTTCGTGCACTGTAGTTGTGTTTCCTAACAATGACCTTTTACATTTGGGGTTGAGTGATGCAAAATTCTACGAATTAAGTTGTGTGTGTATGAGAATCGCAAGATATACAAGACAATAACAGTTTGTGCTCAGAAATGTACATATGGGGAGCTTCTTAGATTGCCTATATAGTCTATACTTCCTACACCTACATGTTAAAACTCGAAAGTTCTTGAGACTGGTGTCTGAAATGGAATTTTTGCAACCGATGAAAAATGGGTGTGCCAAGGCATGAAACAACATGCACGAAACATTTTCTGTCAGTTGATATGTTGAAACAATAGGGAAACTGTATCTACCGTACCAGGAGCACTTAAACACTGTCCTAATACAAAACAAATTCCCTAATGACCTGTGCCTGTGAAAAGGTGTTTAGTGATGGGGAAAACTGCTTATGAAGGTTTTGCATTGATGTGCATAATTATAAACAATAATGATTGTTTATATGAGTGCAATGGTATTTCGTTCTTCTGCATGTGAGTCTCTTGTCATCCCCAAGTCACATAAATTGGCTGGTGACAGGGCCTTCTCTGTTGCCCCCCCCCCCCCCCCCCCCCGGCTATGGAACAACCTGCCCATCTCCATCAGAAACTCGGGCAGTGTCTTTTCCTTCAAAAAGGCTCTCAAGACCTACCTTTTCCCCCAAACGTAGCTGCATGTCCTTCTTTTGTTGTTTTTTGTCTTCTATTCCGCTTTCTTCTTTTCTAGCGCCTAGTATCCTTTGGTAATTTGGCGCTATACAAATCCAGTTATTATTATTATTATTATTATTATTATAAGGTGACAGATGGAATGTTGGAATGGAACTTTCCATCTGTCACCGAATGCAATTCTTTCCATTGCACGAATGTGAAACATTTTGTTTTGTATCTGGCTCGTTAATACGCGCACGCACGTGTGTGACGTTTTCACTAACGAACCGGATATAAATCTGAGTAAATCCTCGTCATCTGATTGGTCAGAGCCACTAATTCATTGTGTGACTGTGCCATGGAACTTATTTCGGTGCGGCCGGGCCTTGGCGTTGGTTGGGAGTTGGGGCGAATAATTATTGAAAGACGTGATAAACGACTCACGGCACCAATCAGATGACGGCATTGTGTAATTATTTCTATGAAACCAATGCAGGTGTGATTATTGTGTGCATGTTTGGGCCAAAGTGTTAATGAAATAAAATGATTTCATTGAATGAATTTATGCCGGTGGGCTGCTGTGAATACTTTCTTTGAAGGAACTCGTGCAATCGAATGCAAGGTAGAAAATAAAATTTTCTGAAATTTTCTGAAATGTTAATTGCGCACATAACGTTTTAAATGTGGCGAAAATGGAGTTATGCCAGTGCATGCAAGTGGCGTGAAATCGGCTGTTGTTGTTGTTGTTACCTGAGGCTTACCCTATCTGGGGGATGTACCGCATCTCAACTGTTGAACATTTATTTAAACCTGCGCACAAGAAATGGATAAACACCTGAACCGAAGTACTGACAGTTGAACACAGATATTCAAATAAAAACTGAGAACTGAGGACGTCGTACCAGTGTCGATTGGGATGGTCCCCCTGGTAGTCAGTGGGCTTGTGGTGGCCCATGTGCAATTTCGGGTACACTCTTTGAAACTCTCAGAATCACTAGAGGATACCTCAAGAAGTTCCAAACCACTTGATGCCATTTTTTTCTGACCCTTTTGTGGGCTTGGCCATGATTTAAAAAAAGTGGGGGGCATCGCGCGCAAAAAATATTTAAAAAAATGTTACTTTTCTTTTTCGCATTTGGACAGTTCACCCAAGTGCTACATCACAAGGAAAAAAATCCACAATTTTGCCTCTTTTGGGGGTGGGGCAACATTTTAAAAAGTGGGGGTCACATGTCGCTAACAGAAAATCGACCTGTAAAATGCAATCTTGAGGTTTTTTGTTTTTGTTTTTGTTTCAATCCATTATAATTTGCCAAGGAAAAAACGTTTACATGTCAACTCATAAATCCTTTGGCTCCCATTTGAGGGGCGTGTCACACTTCTTTCATAAAAAGGGGGCATACGTGTATTCCAAAAGGAAGCTTGTGCGAGCCCATATGGATTATTGCACATTCTTTCAAACTCTCACAAACACCTCTGGACACCTCAACAAGTGACATTCTGCTCCACCCCACTCCCCCCCCCCCATTGACCATTAAAATGGCAGCCGTTTTTAACATATCTGGCATATTGTACACATACATGTACAAATGGACAAATAATCAATTTTATGAGACATTTATGTTTTGATATACAGTGAAATCTCGATAAGTCAAACTTTGAGAGAATGGGCTCAAAATGTGAGCTAAGCTGAGTTTTGAGTCAAGCAGGGTTGTATATCACTGTTATACAACTGAAGGGAATAATTAGTCTTTGTTTGACTTAACAGGAGGTTTGATTTATCAACAGTTTGACATTTTGAGATTTCACTGTAGTTTATTTTGTCCTGACAACAATGCTGACCTTGTTTTATAACATACAAACTGCAATAGCCTTTTTAACTTCAAATTTATTTATCTTCACTTCAATTACAAAAATGATATTATGAAATGTGGTACTCGATCATTGGAAATAAAGTTTGAAAATTACAAATTGCAATATTAAGAGTAAAACTTGCCAAACTTGGGTGATTTAGTGAATCCTACATAAGTCACTTGTAATTGGACAACATATTTGGTATTTAATATCCATGACGTTATTTAGTAATAGAAAAGTGTGAGACTACATTGTCAATAGTTTCAGAATCCAGATCTGGATGGATTACACAACATTTTTTGTGTGTCACAGTTTTAAATATGGCATATCACTGAATATATGTATCATTAATATAATTGGTGCCATACTTTAAGATTGGATATATCAGAAGGAAAACTTGATATCCCAAGCCTCTGTCAAGAGGTTTGCCTAACTGTTTCGCTTTGGAAAACCATGCTGGAATGTTAAGGTAAAGGGTTTGTAGTTATTAAAATACTTTTATAATTTGAACTGGTCACATGCTTTTCTTGAATCTTTGGGGAGCCAGGTTGGCGCTTGGGGAGTCAGGTTGGCTCATTGGTTACTTTCCTCGCAGGGTTCGATTTCTGTCTGGGCCTTCATGTGGATTGGGTTTTCAGAAACTATTGGCAATATAGTCATCAAAGTTTCAGCCTAAGATGTGTTTCTCTACTCGGTGGCTACAAATCCTTTTGATATATCCAATCTTGAAGTACATCACCAATCATATCATTTATGGTGATATGCCAAATTTAAAACTGTTAAGTGAAACAAATCTTGTGTAATCCATCTTGTGTAATCTGGATTCTGAAACTATTGACAATATAGTCTCACACTTTTCTATTACTAAATAAGGTCATGGATATTAAATGCCAAATATGTTGTCCAATTACAAGTGACTTATAAAGGATTCACTAAATCACCCAAGTTTGATAAGTTTTACTTTTAATATTGAACTTTGTCATTTTCAAACAATATTTCCAATGACCGAGTACCACATTTAATAATATCATTTTTATAAATGAAGTGAAGATAAATAAATTTGAAGTTAAAAAGGCTATTGCAGTTTGTGTGTAATAAAACGAGGTCAACATTGTTGTCAGGACAAAATAAACTACAGGGAAATCTCAAAATGTCAAACTGTTGATAACTCAAACCTCCTGTTAAGTCAAACAAGGACTTTATTCCCTTCTATAACAGTGATATACAACCCTGCTTAGGCCCAAAAAAAAGTCTCCGGTTTCTGGTATGGAGCTTGCCCAAAAGTGGTGCGGCGACGCGGCTTTTTTTTTTTTTTTACCTGATTTTTTTGCTTGAAATGTCGGCTGATGACTGCAAATGGTGCCCGACTAAACTGCAAATATATGGGAGTCCAGAGAGGCCACATAAAGCTTATTCTCGACCATAACCCAATCTAAAAACACGTTAAAATTGTGCAGCAGCATGATTCCAGTCAAACCAGTGAGTTTGGCGGTTTTGAGACATCATCTTTCATTGAAAAAAAAAACTTTTTCATTTTGCCGACGCGCATGGCAACGGCGACGCGCGCGCATACCAGAATTATTTTCTGTCATGATTTATTTTCAATGAAATAGTTTTAAAAAAATGAATAACATAATATAATACATTTGCGGGGTGAATATACAAGAGAGGTCACCCACTGAAAAAAAGGCGCTCTCTCTTGCCCACAATATTTCAAAAAAGGCGTATATGGACCTTATAGGTAGCAGTCATCAAGGCAATACATTTGTCTTGCTGTGACATACCAGAAATAAACCTTTTAAGCACTCATTGTTACTGAATTAAAATAACAAAGGATGCCCTATAAGACGGCCGCTATACTCATAAAGTCTACCCATGAGGTCTAAGAAATACGAAGGGTGCTCAAGTTTAAGGAAATAAATCAATCTGGCATGAAATGTCATCATGGCCTACGTCAAAGTGAAAATGCACAAAACGCTGCTCCGTCCCTTAAATTCAAAACTTTTATTTTTCCATTCATTGACATTCAACGGTTGTATTCAAAAATGCTATCAAAAGCTTGGAAAACACAACGACTATCCTCTATCAATAAAATTTCTGTAGAAATATAACTATGCAGTTTTTCTAGTATATATTTTCCTGCTCAGTCTTGCAATTGACTTTGTATTTCGTTAATCTTTCAGAAATTTGAGATAATTAACACACTGTTATAATGCAACTCAAAATAATTATAATATACACGACTACATGTAATTGTCGCACAGATTTTTCATATTATTTAGGGAATTATTGTAATTAAGGGAATTATTGTTGTTAATGTATTTTTACTCTGTTGGACGGTTTTTAATCACATTTGGTATACTACTTTTAATTGGATAGTTGTATTTTGGGGAGACAGGTGTTTTTACCAATTTATCTGAATAAATAAAGTATTATTCCATCCTGTATGCTCATTGTCTCTGTCCCTTTGCCAGATTCATGCTATTGTGTCTCATTCAGTGCACATCACTGGAGTTCGTTTCATTCCCTTTAACGCGTTTCTATCATTCCGTTCCCCCTGTGAGCGTCCTTCGTTTGTCTTCTAAGGCCCCCCAAAAAGTCTCCGGTTTCTGGTATGGAGCTTGCCCAAAAAGTGGTGTGGCGACGCGGCTTTTTTTTTTTTTTTTTACCAGATTTTTTTGCTTCAAATGTCGGCTGATGACTGCAAATGGTGCCCGACAAAACTTAGTGTAAATATATGGGAGTCCAGAGAGGCCACATAAAGCTTATTCTCGACCATAACCCAATCTAAAAACACGTTAAAATTGTGCAGCAGCATGATTCCAGTCAAACCAGTGAGTTTGGCGGTTTTGAGACATCATCTTTCATTGAAAAAAAAACCTTTTCATTTTGCCGACGCGCATGGCTACGGCGACGCGCGCGCATACCAGAAACCGGATACTTTTTTTGTTGGCCTTAACTCAAAACTCTGTTTTCCACACCAAATTATAAGGGATTGTAACAAATACAAAAACAAAACAAAAAAGCTCAAGATTGCCTGTTACAGGTCGATTTTCTGTTAGCAACGTGTGCCCCCACTTATTTAAAAGGTTGCCCCACCCCCAAAGAGGCACAATTGTGGAATTTTTTTTTCTTGTGATGTAGCACTTGAGTTAACTGTCCAAATGTGAAAAAGATTTTTTTTTTTTTATAATTTTTTACGCGCGAAGCCCCCACTTTTTAAAATCATGGCCACGCCCACAAAAGGGTCAGAAAAAAATGGCATCAAGTGGTTTTGAACTTCTTGAGGTATCCTCTAGTGATCCTGAGAGTTTCAAAGAATGTACCCGAAATTGCATATGGGGGGTCATTTTCGACCGTAAGCCCACTGACTATGGCCCTCCGCCCTTACGGGCCCATGCGCTATCTCGCCGGCCCCACCCCATCTAACTTTTAGATGAATATGAATAGAGACGCGCTATGCATTAAAACAATGGAAAATCACTATTGCGCGCTGCGCGTTGGTTTATTATCATGTCCAATATCATTATGTAAACGTTGGCGGGCTGGGCTATAGTACTCCACGTGCACATCACAGTGCAGTGCAGTGCAGTGCAGTGATAGCTAGCTATATAGCGCACACACCGTACCGCCATTTCTCTTATATTTGTCAGTTCAAGTTCAACGTACGGCGGGAGTTCATTTCAAAACTTGGGAAAGGTGATCGATCGGCTGTGCTTTAAACATGTCAGAAACAACACCGCTCGACGGCGAAAAGCAGGAGGCCTTGGCCGTTGCCAAACTGAGCAGCGACTCGCAAAAAGATCAAGAAAGTGTAGAAATGACGACTGCAAGCGGCACTGGCGACGGAGAGAAGCCGAGGCAGCAATGGAGCGGGCGGATGGACTTCATACTGTCGTGCGTCGGGTTTGCTGTGGGTTTGGGCAACATTTGGCGCTTCCCGTATCTTTGCTACAAAAATGGTGGCGGTAGGTGGTATCCCTCAGTACAGTATCATTATAATAAAACCCTACTATATTTTGTATGGACTCCCAAGCTCCCAAGTCAAGCGAACAGGGAACAAGTTGTATTTTGTGAGAGGAACAGATCAGAAAGTTTACATTTTGAGGTTTGGAAACTTTGGAATAGCTAGCCTCGCCTGCTAACGGGGCACATGCTACACAACACTCACAGGAATGGGCGTCGCGAAGGGGGGGGGGGGGGAGCGCTCTCCCCCCCCCCCCCAAGCAAAAAAAAGAGAAAAAAGAGAAAGAGGCGCGAAGTCATATTGGTGTAAATTTAATGGGTTGGGGGGGGGGGGCAAAATGTCCCTGCCCCCCCCCCCCTACAACTGATAAATCAAGAATATCTAGGCCTATTGAGAAATACAGGATTTCTTTGGGAAAAATATGTTTTGCCCCCTCTAGAAAAACTTCTTGGTATTGTCATCCGGCAAAAAGTATGAAGTCTTCAATTGATGAGTGTTTGTGGCACGCGGGGGTGGGGGCAATTAAAGGGCTACTTTATCCAGAAAAGGGGGCAACTTCCATGGGCGTAATCCGCGGGGGGGGGGGGGGGGGGGGGGGTATACATCCCCCTGCACTTTTTGACCAGGGGGGAAGAGCTATTGAATCACCCCCCCCCCCCCTTTCTTTTTTGGATGAGAAAAAATGCGGGAAAGATTCCCATATGTCGCCATCACTTGTCATCCTGTGCACAAACCGTATAGACTGGTCTGAAAAATTTTAAGTGTTTTTTTTTTCCGGTCCTATTCCAATATTTTTCCTGCTAAATTTGACTTTGTGGGACATAGGCCTAGACCCATTATCACATTCTGATGGCTGATACTAGGTCTGGGGAAAATGATGGTCAGATATGGGAATCTTTCCAAAACAAAATGTGGATTTCGAGGTATTTTTGGAACATCCCAACAACCAAAATGTATTCAATAGCACTGAAAAGTAGAGAAACAAAGTACAATTTTAAGCTTTTAAAATGCCCCGTTTTGACGTAAACTTACTGGTATTTAATTGTTTTAATTTCAGGTGCATTCCTGATCCCCTATTTGATATGTGCAATTGCTGGGGGTATTCCACTGTTCTTCATGGAAGTCGCCTTGGGACAGTTCATGTCGCTCGGCGGTATCAAAGCATGGAACATATGCCCAGTCTTTAAAGGTGTGTATATTTAGGCCTATTCTTGAAAACATTTGTAATAGGTGTTCCTGCTAAAAATGCTAATTGCATATAAAATGGCCTCCACATGTTGAAGCTGGGGGGAAAAATAAGGTCACTTTTTTCTATTCAATTTTTTTAAGATTGGCTATTCACTGGAAGCCTTGTCATACCGGTACATTTGAGGTCTCCACAAGTTGGCTCATTCATTGGTGTTACGGGGTAATCCTATACAATAGCACTTCCCGACTCTCTTTGACCAGCCTAAAGTAAAAACAGTCAAAGTCACAATTGAAAAACAGTTTTAGTGATAAAGCTATCCCTAACAGTCCTGAATCCTCCAATTCTAATCACACTCCCTAGTTAGTTAGGGTAGCTCTTCAAATGAACTAGTAGGAAATTTGTTGACATCGAATGACATGTAGAATGTAAATAAGGGAATAAATATGTGCTTGGGAGGTGATAAACACTACGTTTAAGACTGGTTGGAGTCTTGTGCTGATAATTATCAGCCGAGTTTCAGACTCAAACCAGTCTTGAACGTAATTTTGATACCGACCAATTAGCACATATTTATTCCCATTCATAAATACCTTCAGGGTCAAAAAGTCACAACTTTTCAGTCCAAAAGTCAAAACAAGTCAAAATCTAAAATTTCCAACGATTTTGTTCAACAATTTTATACTTTCTGTTTTTATACTTTCTGTTAAGACCGGCCACGTAACAGGCGCTCGACCAGTGGGAATGGGTAAACTGTCTTAGGTTATTTTATAATTAAAACAAGCTTCTGACATATCAACCGGATCGGCCATGGCGAACGAGCACACGGTTGCAATGCGATTTTTACTGTCACATACTAAATGAAAGTCACGGCCGCATGTCATTTCTACAGGTTTCCATATAAGGAAAAACACAAAACAGCATTGGTGCATGGCCGTAATATTTGGTGGAGCATGTGATCCTGTTGATATGCCAACAACCGGCCGTGACCATGATTGTCTTTAGTTTGCTATATAGCGTATTTAGGGAGTGAAAGTCATACAATGATAGCTCGGACCAGACTACCGGTCTAACTACCAGTATAGTGACGGGGAGTCAGTCAGTCAGTCAGTTGATCAGTCAGTCGGGGAGTCAGTCGGGGAGACAGTCAATCAGTCAGTCAGTCGATCAGTCAGTCGGGGAGTCAGTCGGGGAGACAGTCAATCAGTCAGTCAGTCGATCAGTCAGTCGGGGGGGGGGGGGGGGAGTCAGTCAGTCAGTTGGCAGTCAGTCGGGGAGTCACTCAGTCAGTCACTCAGTCGGGGAGTCAGTCGGGGAGTCAGTCAATTAGTCAGTCAATCGGGGAGTCAGTCAGTCAATCAATCAGTCGGTCACTCATTCAATTAGAAAGGGGGAGTCAGTCAATCAGTCAGTCAATCAATTAGTCAGTCAAGTGGTCAGTTAGTCAATTAGTCTGTCAGTCAGTCAGTCAGTCAGCGAGATCGTACAAACATGACAATAGGCTGACTCTCTGGGACCAGCAAGCATCTGTTTCGATTTTGAGGGATTTTTGAGAAACATATGGAGAACTACATGTAGGGAGCATTTGCTCACTGGCCACTAGTGGAGCTCTGTTTACGTGGGAAGTGTCTAGGCGCTCTGAGCAAACTTTCGTTAATATACGGAAAGTGTGTCGGTTAAACTTACTTCCTCGCATCGCATCACAAAATACAGATTTTCCTCTTTCACATGAATATAATTTCTTTATGATGAAAGGCGAATAATTATGTGCACTTTTTCATTGAAAAACGGGCAACTCAGTGAAAATTTCGCGTTTCCTATGCAGATCACGGCACATTTCCCCGATTTTTGAGGGTGCGGGTTTACTTCTTCGAACAGCACACGTCTGAACCCGGTCGCATACAATTACCTCGCACGGTTTCTGAAAGATAACACAATAAGCTTTCCATTCATGTAACAACTGTTTAGATTGGTTGAGAAGAACAAGGGGCACTTTTCTTGTCAAATCAGACGTCGCTTTTGTTCCGAGGATCGACCTGCTGTTTATGTATAGTCCGGTCTACGCAGTGGGGCTATGCAGGTCACCGGGTCAATGCACCGTTGTGTGTGACCGCAGAGAATGCAGGGCTTTGATTTTCTGCACGCATGGGTGGCAAAGTTCTCCATATGGTTGCTGTTTAGAAACTGAAATTTTGATTCTGCATTCACAAAGAGTTGTACGTTTGTACTTCACTTTGATCTACACGTATATTTGTCATGCCACATTCACAGATATGAGAGTAACAGCACAATTAATTGTTATTTACATACCGGTAACTTGTATGTTGACACTTTTGTTAAAGAGGGTCCACAGATCCCTCAATTGGGGTGAATGTCTGATATCAAGAGTTTAATTATAGTTGACAGAAGAACTCCGTCGCCATATTTTTTTCATTTGCTCCAAATGTGTTAAGTATACAAAAGGGGTACGAGTGTGACCTGATATTCAGAAAATAAACATGATAAGCAATTTGAAGTCATGGAACTACCGTTACATTGTACCAATTTCAAAACATTGTAAGTTAAGTTAGAATTTCCGTATACAAAGTTCTGACTAAAATTGTTTTTTCTTGTCTTTTTTTAGGGGGGGGGGTGGAAGAGGGGGTCTTTTCCACAAACGTTGCCCCGAAAAAAAACAACTGTTTTTTTGTTTGAAATTATTTATAATTTTTTTTTTAATGTTTCATCCATCTGGATAGGCATTGGTTACGCCACCACCTTGATCACATTCTGGATGAATCATTACTACATCATCATCTTGGCCTGGTGTCTTCTGTATCTCTTCTCCTCGTTCACCACCGAACTCCCCTGGTCCAGCTGCAACCATGAATGGAACACCGAACGTTGCCGAGACACATATGATGTAAGTTGAGTTCCCAGTCCTAAAATCAGCAATAAACATTAGATTTTTTTTTTTGGTCTAGGGCAGTCAACTCCAACAGCCATTTAAAAGACCTAGGTGAAAATTCCAGTTTAACTGGAAATTGGTGACTGGTTTGAACTGGTTTTACTGGTTCAAAGTCACATATACATGTACAAGTTCAAAACCAGTCAAAACCAGTCACCAATTCCCAGTTGAACTGGCACAGTTGAAACCAGTTGAACTGGTTTCAAGTCTTGGCCCTGCATGCATTAGTCTTGGAATTTTGTTCCCTTAATGTAGTTGATTCCTGATGACAGTTATAATTAGCTAGTTTACTGGCACGGCAAGCATGGTAAAGTGTTTCGAAAAAGAATCACCTAAGAATAAAGGCATTTCAATGAAAACTTGATTTCCATTGAATTAATTTTACTCCAAAATTGTCTTGTCCTATGCATGTAGTTTCAGTGGGATGGAGCGAATTTTTAGTCGGAAAAAGAGAGTATATGCGCACTGATTGTGTTCATTTTTGGGGCCTTTGTGTTTCCAGTGTCATACTGCTGAACTCGACAAAGAGCCCTAGATTTCTGCACTTTCCTACGGTCGTAGTGAAATAAAGAATTATTAAGTTAAATAAAAGTCTGTCTAGATCTGTTTGGTTTTAATAACTTTCTGCATGTTGATAATTGTTCATTATAATACATGTAATACAGTTTTGTGCCAGAATTTGTGTGTTTCCAGCCGTTTACACGGATCCTGAATTTAATACATGCTCAAATCTCCACAATTTGCTGGTCATGCCTGAAGTCAAAAATGCAAATGTCTGTTGTCCCGGGAAGGTTGGTTCAAATGCTTAGAATTCAATGTAAACACACGTACAGATTGTGCTCCAATAATTCAGAAGTCAATAGAGCGTACACTGGGTACACTTTACAACAGAGAAAAGCCTTGTGCAGCTGTAATCATGACCAAGCCCTACTGAACAGTCCTTCTGATTTGAAAATCACAGGTGTGTGGAAAAAAGCACACCTGGATTTTTTAAGGTGTGTGATTTTTCTAGGCGTGTGATTTTCTAGGCGTGTGATTTTCTAGGCGAGTGATTTTTCTAGGTGTGTGATTCTACACGTGTGGTCCAAGCTGGGATATATTTCATAATATTCATCTTGGTTTACAATAAAGCCAATTTTTCTTCACCGCCGTACTTTATTTTTCACAAATTATGCTGTAAATGTATGCCGAGGATGTGCGGTACTGAGGGATTCAGGCGTGCGATTATTCGCACTTCTCAGGAAGCTTTTAGGCGTGTGATGGCGTGGGGGTGTGATCGCACTGAACTCAAAGGGGCTGTTTTTGTTGTCATTGATGTCTCCAATACATGTTGAATTAATTTCTGAGCTGGTTCAGAATTGATGTCCTACCTACATAGTCCAAAAACAAAAGTACCGCTACTTTGGTCATTTTCTAAAACCCCTGATGCCGGGGTTTTTGTGCACAAAATTTTAATATATGTTTTGTTATTTTTTTTATTATGAGTGCAGTGTTTCACTTATTATGAGAGTGAATTTCTAATGCAATTTGTCACCTTGTGAATCTAATCATTAACATGGGCCTATAAGGCCAAAAAAAAAAAAAGTTGGTCTCTGGTCAGCGCGCGCGTCGATTTTAATCATGCGTGTCGATCTTTTTTTTTTTTAAAATGTTCCGCGGTAGCTCCAACAGCGCCCTCTATTTCCGCACCTCCTCATTTTTTTTTTTTACCAAAGAGCACCAAGGAATGGGAAATTGCACCAAGGCAAATGATCGAAAGCACCAAGGCAAATTATGGAGGACACCAATGTACATGGGGACACAAAAAAAGCAAAATAGTACCCACCTTGTCTGTACAATCCAAGCTTTAAAAAAAAAAAAAAAAAAAAAAAAAAAAAAAAAGCCGCGTGGCCGCGTCAATTCCGGAACTTTGGTCTGACCAGAGACCGAATATTTTTTTTTTTTTGGCCTAATCTTGACATATTTATTTTATTGTATTTTATTTCAAACTTTTGTTACACAGGATAGTAACACATCTTGTGTGAGTAATGTTTCGTTTTACGCAAATGTGATCAATGAAAGCAGCCCAGTGTCTTTGGCTCAATATGAAGAGGACTTCAACCAGACCTGTGTGAATGAGACATATACTTCTCCTGTTGAAGAATTCTTTGAGTAAGATACCTCTGTCTTTTAGTTTAATAATTTTGTCATTATCACTGGCATAAATCCATATCTTATTTCTCTGTGACCAAGGGTTGAAATTACCCCCCCCCAAAAAAAATAATCTTTAGAGTTGCAGTAAACTCTATCCATGGTCACAAGAAAGATCACAAGTCAAATCACAAGTCAGTCACAAGTCTGAGTCACAAAGTCAATCCCACAGGGATAATTCCTCAATCTGTTATAAAACAAGAAAAAAAAACCTACTAACTAGTACACACCAGTTTCCCTCACCCTACTGGGCATATAATGAATATAACTGTTCCTATAAACACTGTGTGCCAAGTGTCAAGACAGGATCCATTTCATCCCTTATAAAACTCTTATAGGATTAGTGGTGATACTTATTACCACTAATCCTATAATGAGTTGATAAGTTGAAAAGGTTGTTTGACAGCCTGAGTTGACCTTAATCAGGTTACTGTAGACATGGAGGAACTCAGGAAGGACAAAGTGTTCTTGATTTATTGGAAGAGTATTAGACCCCGTTCCCACTTGATCCACCAATTGGGGGATCTGATCCACCTTTTGTCAAATTGCCGGATCAGATCCCCCAATTGGTGGATCAGATCCGGCAATTGTGTGTAGTGGGAACGCTAACCGTTATAAGGTGGATCAGGATCAGATCCACCTTTTCTGATCCACCTCTGGACCAGGATACAGATCCCCCAATTGGTGGATCAGATCCGGCAATTGGCGGATCACGATCAGATGGGAACGCAAAAGGTGGATCTGATCCGGCAATTTGACCTGTTAACATCCGCCCGGTGCACGAGTGGCGCGAAAATGTTGCGGTCTCATGAACGAAGAAACACGTTTTCAGGCGTGTAGCTCATGTGAACATTTCCAGCGTATACAACATGCACAATAAACAACCGCTGAACTACGGGCTAGCACCGCGCATGCAAAAGCGCACGTGGTATCATAAAACTACACTAGGCCTTATTGTTGTTGCGTGTTCGTCCATTACTAAACCTTTTTCATTCGTGAAATTTTACTCATTTTTCCATCCATAAATGACTCTGAGTCCGCACTCACCAAAAGACTTCACTTTGGCACAGAATCATGGAAAAGCTTACGAGTGTGCGATGAGAATAGTGCCGATAACGCGGTACGTACGGAGGTGACAAATCTGAAGTATTGATTATAGAAAATTGGAAAATGATGTCGTAGTTCATCATGTGACCGTTTCTAACCAATGAGAAGCTTCAGAACCAGGGAATCCCTTATCGATGCATTGGTTTCTGCTGTGATCTTGGATTTCACCTGTTAATTTATGCACGCACGGATCCTCTACGGATCCGTGATTTATGTTGGTGAATTCGCATAATTTTTGCCGGTGAATTCTGATAGTGCTGTTTGAAAACTGACCCATCCTGGCCTAGCATGCAACCATGCAACAATGGCACTCCCACAGAGCGCGCGTAATTCCGAACTCAGTGACCTTTCGGACCCGACATTTCCGTACGAAAAGGTGGATCAAGCATAAGTGGGAACGCGTCTTGCGGTTTCGTTGCGGTAAGATAATGATCACACCAAAATGCCGGATCTTGATCCACCTTTTCCCAATTCAAGTGGGAACGCGGTGTTAGTTTCCTTTTTGTAAATATCTTCTATTTTTTAAAGGATTTTGTTTTTAGACAGGCTTTCTTTGTGAAATAGAATGTTCTGTTGACTTTTTACAGGCGGCGTGTGTTGCACATGTCATCAGGAATTGAGGAGTTAGGATCCGTGCAGTGGGAGCTGGCCCTCTGTCTGCTTCTAGCCTGGGTGCTTGTTTATTTCTGCATCTGGAAAGGGGTCAAGTCCACAGGCAAGGTGATCAAAATTGAAATATTCTAGTCTGGGGCAGGGGCGTCTATTGCTTCTCAAATGTTGGGGGGGGGGTTCATACCGGTACCTTGAACAGATCAAATGCGAGCGCGAAGCCTTTTACAATTGTAAGTTACGGCATGGGGTTCGTCAGAATATTAATTCAGTCTGAAGATCATGAAATACAAACAGATTTTATGCGGACCCCAGTGCATGGTGCACCCTCTAAAGTGGCTTTTCCCCCTGGGCTATTGGGCATTAATTGATATGATGGATTTAGTGATGTGCACATTCCTTCAAATAAGTGCAAACTTTTTCCACTGGGGAGGGGGGGGGGGCAATGCTGTTGGCAGGTCCCAAAATATTTATTGTATTCTAAGCCCTATGAGCTCTGTGCTCCAACAAAAGAGGGCGCGTTTTTACCACTTTGAGAGCCCCTTGGATGGGACCCCACTGCGTGTGCGTACGGGACTCGTTCGCGCGCTAAGTACAATGTACGCACAAGTTCATGATCCTGAATGTGCACAAAGCTAAGCTGTACAGCGCCCTCGCATGTGAGCGTTAGGCGTCGTCGGCATGCGAATACAGTCGATTTCAAATTGTTATGGTCTCGCAGAGTAATCCCTACCCCAAATAAGTTTGGATCGTGGATGCACCGGGAACCAGTCTATGTCACCCCCAACTCTCGTTTTCTAGCCGTTGAAGGGGTACTTGTGCACCGAGCCCATATCTGGGTAAACATAAAAAGTAAGTCTAGTTTCTGTAACAGGAGCAAATGATTGTTTTGGATCGTTAGGAAGGCCTACATATACATTGCAGTGACAGTGCTTTGCTCCCCCCCCCCCCCCTCCCACTTTCTATTTTTTTCCGCTGTCCCTGATAGTGCCATTTTGTATTCACATCAGCTGAAAGTCTTACTGTTGTGCATACTGCCCATTCGCTCCAACTCCATTCTGTTTATTTCGTATCACTTTATTGCAGGTTGTGTATTTCACTGCCACTTTTCCCTACGTGGTGCTTACCATTCTCCTGATCCGCGGTGTCACTCTGGACGGAGCAGGGAGTGGCCTTATATTCTACCTCAAGCCCAACATCACAAGACTTGCTGACAGTCAGGTAAGGCCACAAAAAAATAATAGTTCTGCTTCCGGTTTCCCTACCGACACCTTTCTAACAGCCCTACCCCAACTTTTTTATGGGAAAAATGAGAAAAAAAACCCACAAAACCATCAATTTCTACCTTTTACCCTTGACTACGAGCAGATGCCTCCATATGATTGTACCCAAAAAACAATTGGCAAAAACAATAAGAAAATCCCTACCTACCTGCCCTATTTTCAAATTCCATGTAATCGGAAGCAGAACTATTTTTTTTGGGCCATATTATCTGCCCTCAGTACAAAAGGGTTGACCAACAAAAGGCATATTAATTTCATTCATTCGTTTATTTGTTTTATATTCCAACTTGGAACACACCCCTTTACCCCGGGGAGGGTTTACATCAACATATTAAACCTGAATGTTGAAATATGCATTGGCCGGAGAAAGCAAAGCAAAGTCATCTAGAGCAATCACACATTAAGATTTTCTTTTAAGTTCATAAACAAAAGAATGAATTTGGCAACACAATTAACAATAGCTTCATCTGTTGAACTCATAAGAAATATAAATTGTTGACTGTATGTAAGCATCTGAAAGTGTGCATGTTTTTCACTTACAAAGTTAACTCTTTCAGTGCCAAAGTCGTACATGCTTGGTATATTTGTTAGTTCGACAGTGCCAACCTCGTACATGTACAAGGTAAAGTTCATACTTAAAATCGCCAAACCTCGTACATGTACGAGGTAGAGTAAGCATGTTATCACAAGGGGGCGCTCTCGCTCTTTCTAATAATATCATTTTCATTCAGGTACGACCTGTATTTATTTGTTTCATTCGAGTTCTTGCGAGAGGGCGCAGCACTGACACTTGTATTTTCTGCAAAAAGTGCGGAATTCCCCTGTGTGCTGGACAGTGTTTCAGGCCGGGGTGTATCACTATGTATGTGACTACAATTGACTTTCCAATATAACAAGGATATACCAGAGAGCAAACACAACAAATTTAGTGGATAAAACTTATTTACTTTTTTTTTTACAGAATTTTGAACAATTACAAAAAACACTCGAAGTTGGTCACTTTAGGGTTAAACTTTTCAAATTTCGCGGGCACTGTAAGAGTTAAACATTTGTTCCTGAAGAGCACTGTTAAAAGATTTAGTAAAAAATGGATTTCAGATTCAGCCTCCAGATTACAGTGAGGGCAAATTCGCTGGGCATATTCAATACCTAGATACCTTACAATTTCTATAAAGAGACTATTAATATGCTTTACTGACTTTGAGCTGAATCATGCGGAATGAGTAATTTTGCAGTGACCTGGAACTGTAGGAACGGTGTTTATGCAGAAATTGAATGAGGTTTCGTTTGGTTCACTTCATTTACTTTATTTTTTTATCTAACTCAGTGCAAGGTTAATGCTAAAACTGATGACATGTCTTGCTAATGGATAAAAAGTGACAGAGGTCTCCAGGAAGCAATCGTATAAAAGCAGAGACTTATGTAGAAAGTCAAATGTTAAATACAGTATATGCTCAATTTTACACAATATGGATGGAATCAAGTGATATAGGCCTAACTCCAGTATTACACAAGCACTGATTATACAGACTATATTGATTTATTTGCCCTGTACTTGCTCTCTGGTTTGATTATTAAAAACGCTTTCCTTTTTTTCCCCTCCTTTTTGGGGGGGGGGGGGGGGTTGACTCGTGAAGACAAAATGGCCGCCATTCATGTGTGATCGAAAGATTTTCTCGGAAAATAAGACTGATTCGTTTCGCCTAAGAAAGCGAGAAAGAAGATCACAAACCTGCTGGAAATTTCCGCAAGTATTTCTTTTCTCCTCGAAACCGATAAATGAAGAAAATTAATTCGTCAAAACGAGTGAATTGAAACTTTTGTACAACGACTCCCGGTCGACCGCACAGCGACAGTTTATGCATGTACACATGCTACATCATGTGTCATGCGATTGCGAGTTTTCTCGAGAAAAATCGCATAATGAAAAGTTTGGGGCCCAAACGCGCAAAAGATCACTGTGTGTGTGAGACAGCTCCACAGCTTGTCCAATTGACCTTGCGATTTGCATACCACACGCAACACGCTGGCCAGCCTACCACATAGGATCCTCCATTCTCAAAAGGTACATCGTGCACACTAAGGGACGTCCTTCCGTATACACCACATACATCTAGCAAGCACGGCAGCCTTTGTGTAACTTTTTTTGGCATTTCAACGATCCGTTTACATATATTTTGTCGCAAACCACGAGTGTATGCATAAAATGACATTGTTAAATGAACAACTTACAAGAAAAAAAAAACTGGACTAAGGTAAACATGGTTATAAAAATTCAGTGCCAATGGCAAGTATGAGTGCATTAAGTGAAGCTTCGGCAAGTCCATGAACATTGTCACAAAAGTGAACATTGAGGCCTAAAAAATACAAGTCAAACTTAAACGAAATTAGTGAACATCATGTGCATATACCATGTAACATAGAACTGTATAATACAGCTCTATGACATGTACACGTACATACTGCATGATACTCCATGGCAAACATGGTAATACCCCCCCCCCCCCCGAGTCAGTGGAACGGCCCAACACAACAATGTGGGCTTAGGTCACGTGCACTCACAAGACTGACCTCTGCAACAAATCCAGTCTTTGGGGGAAAACGTTGACGAAAAAATGATCAGTGGTTTCTTAACCAATAAAATTGAGCTTTATATGAATGGAAAGAGAATTTCATCCTCTTTATAAAACCGCTACCCCCAGTGTGCTCTGACATTGGGTTCTTGAGATACGTTGAGATAAACAACCGAAGGTCTCTCACAAACTGTCATTTTCTGTTCCGCTCCATAGACAATTGCCTCATACCCCACATTTTCCAAAAAAAAATGATCAGTGGTTTTTCTGCTCTTCCAAGCCAGACATAAATAGACTTAAAGCCAGAAGAATGAATTTCATAATCTGCAACCCCCAGATTTGTGCGACCGTCCGTTCTGAAGATACAAGGAATTTAGTGTAAAAAATCTTTGTGGTCATTTCTCACGTTAAAGCTTGTGTGGACATTTCCGGTTGAGTAGATGCGCGCTACTTTTCATTATGGAGCGCCTGTGGGGACAATAAAAATCCGTATCAAGCATGGAACCAAGGTCTTACGTGTGTAATTTGCCCTGCAGCCGCTCACGGTTGCACATGTCCGTGGTCCCACTATAGCCTAATGGAAACATTTTGTAATTTCCCCCTTGTCCATGTAGGTATGGATTGATGCCGGCACACAGATCTTCTTTTCCTATGCCATTGGTATAGGGTGCCTGACTGCCCTAGGTAGCTACAACGCATTCCACAACAACTGTTACAAGTAAGAGAGTCAAACAGTCCAGGGGCCAATTTAACATTACTCATCTTATCTTACCTAGGACTCATCTTTGGACTGAAGACGAGTCCCTCTTTAAGATCGATCCTAGCTAAGAAGCGTCCTAGGATCAATTGTACTTAACGCTTCTTAAGGCCAAAAAAAAAAAGTCTCCGGTGTCTGGTATGCGCAGTAGCCATGCGCGTCGGCAAAATGAAATTATTATTTTTTTCAATGAAAGATGATGTCTCAAAACCGCCAAACTCACTGGTTTGACTGGAATCCTGCTGCTGCACAATTTTAACGTGTTTTTAGATTGGGTTATGGTCGAGAATAAGCTTTATGTGGCCTCTCTGGGCTCCCATATATTTGCACTAAGTTTAGTCGGGGACCATTTGCAGTCATCAACCGACATTTGAAGCAAAAAAATCAGGTAAAAAAAAAAAAAAGCCGCGGCGCCGCACCACTTTTTGGGCAAGCTCCATACCAGAAACCTTTCCTTTTTTTTTTTGGCCTAAGCAAGACGTATCAAAATACTGTTGAGGGAATTTTATCTCTTAAACGATGACCAAATTCCCAATTTGTTGTTGTTTGTTTATTGAATCATGTTTGTTTTTACCTTGTGACAAAACATTCGTTGATAAGAAATATGCAAAAGCAAATGCGGGGTTGAAGTTTCATCTGGAAAATAATTATTCTCCGGTATTTCACAGTCACAGTTCACAAAAAAAAACACTTCAGTATTAGGCAAAAAAAAAAAAAATATTCGGTCTCTGGTCAGACCAAAGTTCCGGAATTGATGCAGCGACGCGGCTTTTTTTTTTTTTTCAAGCTTGGATTGTACAGGCAAGGTGGGGTACTATTTTGCTTTTTTGGGTGTCCTCATGTACATTGGTGTACTCCATAATTTGCCTTGGTGCCCTCGATCATTTGCCTTGGTGCAATTTCCCATTCCTTGGTGCTCTTGGGTAAAAAAAAAATGAGGAGGTGCGGCAATAGAGGCGGTGTTGGAGCTATCGTGGAACATTTTAAGAAAAAAAAGGATTGACGCGCATGATTAAAATCGACGTGCGCGCTGACCAGAGACTGACTATTTTTTTTTTGGCCTTACCCTCAATTATGACTACCCAATTCGTTCCCCGGTCCTCACTCATTTTCAAGAACCGTTAATGTTGTTAATTAGGTGTTAGCCCATAATTATAATTCTAAAATAAAAGCGAATTATTATTAAAACTACCCAAGTGTCGGAAACGTTTTTTAAAAACTGTTTCTCCAGCAGTTATCCTTCTCTTGCGTTAAATTAAATTTCCAACCTGTGGCCATAGGCCGTAAACTCAACTTGCCCTTTTACGCAAAGACAGTGCACTGATTTCGAGACAATATAGCGCATGTAATCATGAGATAAGACAACCCTTGGACCGATCTTATGTTAAGATGAGTTTAAACCGCATTGCTAGGGAAGCTAGGACATGTTGAATGTATCCTAAGTTTGTTGAAATCTTTATCCATCTCAATTAACTCAACGACAACTTTGATTCACACATATATTTCTTCTTCTTTGTGTTTTCCATCTCCAGAGATACCTTGATCATAGTCAGCATTAACAGCTTCACCAGTCTGTATGGAGGCATTACCATCTTCTCTGTCTTAGGCTTCATGGCCCACGAGCAAAAAATTGACATCAGTGAGGTGGCTGACAAAGGTGGGTCTTTTCTCATTTCTTCTTCCCCAAAATAAATTTAAAGGGAAAATACAACATTTGCAAACATCAAAAAATAAAACTACCAAATCATTTTGAAATACATTGCTGGACTGTTAGTGAATGACAGTGTAAAGCATCCTGTAAAATCATGGCACCTGGTATACTGTCATTTTCAAGAAAAGTGGTATTTTTGTATCAATTTCCAACGCTGATCGGCCGATCAGCGTTGGAAAAAACTGGCTTTTTTTCATATACTGGCCCCAGTTGACCATCGCACTTGTTTGCAATCGATTACACACCTATGGACGGGTACAAGCCAGCTAGACTGTTTCCCTGACCTTACAATTCCCCAATGTATGTAAACTGCTCTGTTTCTTCTTAAATGAAGTCAGGGAACCAGACTACAGGAAAATGATTGGTTTTCTTGGTTTTTATAGCATTTTCGAACCCAAAACCTCAAAAAAGTCAGTGTAACTATATTTGCTATATATTTCCAACCCCCCAATTCCATCCATTTCTGAAAATTACAGCAAAAGCAAATGATGTACATGTATATTTCCTTTAAGCAGATGATTTGTGGAACAATACACTTTTAGAAGTTGCTTTTACTTTAGAGGAAAATTTAATATCTTTTATTGAATTTATATAATCCCTGTTTTAAAGGTAAAGTAGATCAGTTGCAGCTATCCAAAAAGTAACTGACAAAATTATTGTTGAAAAGCTTACTTGCTTTTAAGATTGCAATAAACTCCCTGTAAAATTATTCCGTCTGGCATGCTGTCATTTTGAAGAAAACAATGAAAGGCGGGAATTTCCTAAAGTATTTCAAGTGATGCATTTTTCGAAATTTTCGTTAGTATATTAAGCAAATCCATGAACGATTGCACGCAAGCATTGGTACGACACAAATGTGCGCACATTTGCTGTTATTCGTCGGTTCTGTGCGTGACATCACGCAACTGCAATCAGCTGAATGAGAAATCCGTTGAATATGATTTTTGCCCATGCATTTTTATTCATCTTTGACAGGTCCAGGGCTTGTCTTTATTGCCTACCCTAAGGCTGTCTCTCTGATGCCTGCTGCTCCTATCTGGGCCTGTGTTTTCTTCTTCATGCTCTTACTAATGGGTCTGGACAGCCAGGTGATCTTTTTATAGATAATCTCAAGACACCCCCATTTCCCTAGTCTGTACGTGGAATATATCCCCTTAAACAGCAAGGGTCTATGATATATGAGCAGATTCGGCGATTAATGATGCAAAACAAGACTGCATCTTGACCTCGAGATTCTGACCAGCGGGCGTCTTCTATCAGCTCTTCCGTAACCTGTTGTATTACAAAAACTTGGCAGCCAAATTGACCAATCAACGGCTTAGTCCACATTTCTGATCGTCGTTTTGATCAGAAATGTGGACTTACTGGATTGGTCAGCTTAGTCCACATTTCTGATTGTCGTTTCGATCACAAATGTGGACTTAGCTGTGGATTGGTCAGCTTAGTCCTCATTTCAGATCGTCGTTTCAATCAGAAATGTGGACTAAGCTGTGGATTGGTCAATTTGGCTGCCAAGTTTTTGTAATACAACAATCCGTTGTATTCTGATCGAAACGACGCTATATACAGTTTCTACAGTCAACTCCGATTGGCTGCTAGGCTGGGTTGCATAAAATTTGCCTTGCTGTCATATCAGATGTTAATTATACAGAGAGGCTCCGTTTGACAAAGGGTGATTATACTCAGACAACCTGTTCCCTCCCCCCCCCCCAAAAAAAGAAAATTTTAAACAACAAAAATTGGCCATGGTAAGGATAGCAATGTTCTCATGGCCTGTGCATCCAACTCAAGATCTGTGGATAATTCCGCAGGTTGTTAGCAGTGAGCCCAGTCTGGGCTTCTGGTGCTGTGTCCTTGGGCAAGACACTTTGTCGCAGTTGCAATGCTTCTCTCCACCCAGGAGTAAATCTTAAGTTTTATGACGATTGTAATTGATTTCAAGGCGCAAAAGCAACCCCAAATAAAAAAGCTTTATTTCATTTGGTTTTTATAAGATGCCCAATATAGATAGTAATTTTTAAATTAAAACATACAAATTAAAGGTACGGTTCATCATTTGTAATGTGTGCATTTTGTTTATTTGAAGTAACAAACGTGTTCAAAATCTAAAGAAGGGTGCTGAACAACTAACCTGATGAATTTTCAGCTCAGCTTCAGCTGTATGTTCCGAGAAAAACAGCATTCTACGATCACGATTTCAAATCAGAAGTTGCTGAATCAAGTTTTGAGCCGGGCCTGAGTTCAGCGTCCGAGACGCGTTCTCACTAAGCCGATTGCAGCTACGCGATGTTGCGCACCGATTCAAACGAAATATAGCAACCCCGTGCGCAATCCATGGACTGTAGCTTTAAACGCTCGTTAGGAAAAATCTGAAATTTGTTGAAGAGCCTGGAAATCAACATTAAAGACTCTTGAGTTGTGCTCATCAAATAGCCTTCTGTTAATTCCACCTCCCATTGCTTTGAATATCTAGTTTGTAGCTGTGGAAGGCTTCGTCACTGCTGTAGTAGACCTGTTCCCCAAACTGCGCAAGGGATACAACAGGGAGTACTTCATACTGGTTGTCTGCACTGTCTCCTATGCCTTTGGTCTGGCCATGGTAACAAATGTAAGCCATTAAATCTTTTCAGAGTTTTCTGACAAAATTTCTTATATTTTCAACTTGACAAATGTCATTGTGTATGCTTTCATATCCTTATAACAATAATCTGTCTATTGACCAACAAAGGCAACGTACCTCAAAATCAAACCCATAACAGAAACAATACATTTTGGAGGGGAGTTGCGTGTTCTTGAATTTGTATGAAAAAAAAATAAAGCAAAAAATACTGCAAAAGATATTTATTGTACATTGTGTTGTTTTTTTATTTGTGTTTGCTTGACCATTGTTGACAATCATGACAATACTTTAGTTGGAGAAATTACTACATCTACATGTGTAGTTTACTTGGATTGATCTTATTTTAAAGCTATAGTCCATCATTTGTAATTAGTGCATTTTGTTTGTTTGAAGCAACAAAAGTGTTCAAAATCTAATGAAGGATACTGAACAACTTACTTGATGAAGTTTCAGTTCAGCTTCAGCTGTATATTCCGAGAAAAACAGCATTCTAGGATCTCAATTTAAAATCAAAAGTTGCTAAATCATGTTTCGAATTGTTTTGAATTGCAGCTTTACGCGATGTCGCACACTGATCCGATGAATTATAGCAACCGCGCGCGCCTGTGCGTCGTTCCAATGCTTGTGCGCGCTGCGCCAAATAACAAAACGAACAACTAATTTAAATTTTCCTACGGTGCTTCTTAAGAAGCACCGTTGGAAATGCCTTCTTTCGTTGATTTCTTCAAAATGAGAGCTTGCCAGAAAGAATAATTTCACAGGGAGTATAGTCCCCTTACTATCTTTCAACCAGTATGTTTTTCAACAATAATTACGCCAGTTACTTTTTTGGATAGCTGCAAATGATGGACTCGGGCTTTAAACTTACTTTGAATGATAATTTCCTCCATTTGTAAAATAATGACAGTCGCTTTTCACTTTTTTTCAGGGAGGAATGTATGTATTCCAGGTCTATGACTATTACTCAGCCAGCGGCATGGTCTTGCTGTGTATGGCATTCTTTGAAACCGTTACAATTGGATGGATTTATGGTGAGGGCATGTAGTGATTCCATAGACGTTTCATCAACTGATTCAACCAGTTCACGCTGGGATTATTTTAACAAGAACCGAACAAGGCGCAGGATTACTTTTCACTCGACCTCAATGCCAGACGGGTTCAGGCCATCACCCTCGGGCAGTATACACTCGTATTTCCGGCCTCGCTCGCTGCGAGCGGGTCGCTGACAGATATTTCCAGCCTAATTGCTCCCTGCGTGTTTATCCGTCATCCTTTCCGAATACCTCAAAACCTTTGCGGGTATACACGTCTTCCAGGGCAAACTGGTTAAAGGTTAGATGGAGAATCAAATCACCATACAAATAAGCAGGTCAGTATAGACCATTATCGTTTTGCGGCCATCTTGATTTTTTTCCCATACTTAACCAAGGCGAGGCTGGAAGGAAAAATATTCTGGTTGCTTTCTGCAAAAAAAACATCATTCAGTACCGTTATTGGATACAGGGAACATATGGTGGCAGCATTATTAAGATCTATACCAGAATGCCTTGGCTGTATCTTTTACAAAAGATCCTTACTTTACTACTGGGTAGACAAAATGGGTAGACCGTATGTAGACCCTATGGGCTCAAGTACCCCTTCATCGGTAAGAAAGGAAGAGTAAGGGGAGACCATGCATTGGGAGAGATATATGAACGCATTGCTAATGACGCCTGATGCTGCAGGCTTAGACGCTATGACTATATACGCACGCAAACCAGTACGTACACCCTGTCCAAGGGCCGCTCATCAAAAGTGGTCAGAAAGTATCCTGTCTGGAGCCCAAACTTACAGAACAGGGTAATGGCCTGAAAAATAGGTTCCTCACGGATTTCATGATTGTGGAACTGAAGAGTGACCAGCCACACACCCCTACCACTGCTTTCAAAGCAATTAACCATTCTCTAATCAATATTAGGTTTTGCCCTTCACCGAGGTGTAATAACACTGTACAGTGTGTTACCTCTCGAGTGAAAGTTGGAAAAAAATGACTCATGTGGGATTGCGGGAACCCAATACATCCTGGTTTCTAGTGCAAATTGTCTAATACCACTCCACCACCGAGCTAATGGGATCTGTTGGCTGGCTCAAATCTGATGTTCATTTGGCAGCGGGTATATACCGCAATTAAACTACTCATAAGATTGACCACTTCGTCACCGTTTTCACAAACAGCCACATATAACTATATATATTATGTTGATTTTGAAGAAAAGTGTTTTCGAGATAATCGCAAAAGAAGTACAGTTTCTCATATTTTAAAACTGCAAGAAATACTACTTTGCAACAACTTTGTGCAGCAAGAAAACCATCACACGATTCTACGTGAGCTGAAGTTTTACATAAACCCGGTAATAAGACTTAATACAGCAGTTAATAAGTGAAAATTAATTAGTAAAGATATGTGGCTCTTCGTGAAAACGCAAATTCAGGTTTCCGATATATTGGCCCTTTCTGTTCAACGTGTATTTCCATAGGCGCGCGTGAGTATGGGCGCGCAGCTGAAAATGTAACAAAGATAAGTGGCTCTTCGTGAAAACGCAAATCTCATTTGACCTATTTTTACGTATGTCCGTGCAATGGGTTTTGTACGCGTTCAAAGGGCCAAAGTGTATGTGGCTCTTCGTGAAAACGCAAAATGCATTTATCGTGATTTCTGCCCCTTGCAACATTAATGTAACTGAGAAATTAATGATGTTTTGCTTACAGAAACATTTCAAAATGGTTAAGTACATTGTTTTAATGCGAAATATTGAAAAAAATCAAAATCGAAAAATTGTAATTTTTGCATATGTGGCTCTTCGTGAAAACGGTGACGACTTGTAATCAGGATTCTGGAACCAATCCTAGCAGTAGAAAAAAGCCAAGGTTTCAGAAATTGCATATGCTCCATCACAGGCCACTGTACATTTAGGTCCACACCCACAAAATGTTCAACAAACTACTGATTCTTTTTAATGATACTTTTTTTGTTGTCTTCAGGCGGTGAGAGATTCTTTCAGGATATTGAAAGAATGATTGGCTACCGGCCATTTGTGTGGTTCAAATGGTGCTGGATGTTCTTCACCCCAGGCATAGCACTGGTGAGGAGTTGTTGTTGATTTGTATTTAAAAGACAAAATTGGTTATTATTTTTTAGTACATGTATTGGCTGTTCTCAATCCAAAGATGTGTCGGAGCAGTGCACTATAAAGCTGCTGAATAGGCCAACAAGCTGGAGTAGAGGCAATAAAGTCTTGAGACTTAAGGCTTTAGGAGGGCCAGGCATGCAACTTTTTCTCAGATCAGCTGATTTTCGGGTTTTTTTTCACAAACTGCAGTGAATATTAGAAAGCTTGGAATTTCCTCCTCTTTTTTGGTGACTTCCCTATTTCATGCCCAGTACCCGTTTTTATTTTATTGAGGCGAATACCTCATTTTAGGAAGTTCAAACTGAAAATAATAGAACCGACACGCAACACCCTTCCCCATTCAAAGTAGTTTCACCACTGCACTCTATAGTGTCTGAAGAATATTTTTGGCCAATATTTTATTTCTCTAAAAACACTGCCGCCTAAATAAGAACCATGTGTAAACCATTTGATTTTGTGATATGCAGTACACCTCTGTTGGTTATCAAACCGAAATCCCATTTATCAAGCAGTCTAGTACCCAAGCTAACAGTAAACGATTGTACTAATGTAATGTTCAAATTGTAAGAACTTGTAACTTTTACCAATAATAGACTTTCAAGTATTCCCGCTTCCTAATTTTTCTTTGTGTTCTTTACCTTGCTCCTACTTTTCATACTGTTTTCCTTGAAATTCCTATTTTTTCTATTTTTTATATGAAAACTGCGAAAATGAAATCTCACTGAATATATTTCATGACAGTGTTACACACTATCATTTGTAAATCACACAATGACGGGCTTAGGCGCAGGAGTACTGCAACTGTACTTCCAAGAGCTTTGTTGAGGATGGAGCACAAGTGTTGTGAGTACAGAACATGCCAAATGAGGCTTATGATGCTGTGGACATGGGTGAGCATGCATCAACGAAAACTACTCCTGAAAGCCCGCAAGTTCTACTTTTATCCTGATTTTGGTCTCCAAAGTCTTACTTTTATTCTGTTTTGTTTTTGTGTTTTTTTATCCCAGTGTTCTCTTACTTTTTCACCTGGGTCTGCTTGAAAGCCTGCAATAAAATGGAGTCACTTCTGTTTATGCGCCGAAATGTGACCGGCTCCACAAACAAGAGTATATTATGTCATGCTGAGCATAATTGTGTAATGGCGCTCAACATTAAGAGGGTGAAAATTTTGTAAAAATGTGATTTTCATTTTTTATCACGAATGACATCTTTAATACCTACAGTTTCAGGTTTCATTCACAGAAATGTTGATTTTGATGAACAAAGTGGAAAAAACAACCATTTCGTGTGTCCGTTGTTCTGTTGTTCTACAACAAAGACGGCTATTTCAAAGCCTGTTTTCTCGTTTATGTAATTTGAACTCCAAGAAAGTATTTAATATGAAAATACATCATATCTCCAGATTAGGAGGGGCTGTGGGGCTCAATTATATGCCAAATGAAAGATTACATTGTGGGCTTACACCTACCATGTATGTTTCTCAATTTCACTTTTTTTGCGACATAATACTCTTTTTTTTGTGGAGCCAGTCACAAATGGTACTGTACTGCTACAGCGCCCTCTTTGGTCATGCACAAGACCATTTGCTAATTGTGGCAATTATCTCTCCATAGGCCATCTGGATATTCAGTGTGGTGGGCTGGAAACCGTTAGAATACAACGATTACACCTTCCCGCTCTGGGGTGAAGGTATAGGCTGGTTCTTTGCCCTCAGCTCCATTGTGTGCATACCCGTTTACTTTGTGTACAAGTTGGCCACAGCGCGGGGAACTATACGTGAGGTAAGGTCATGACTAGGGGACAATTATCAAAGAGTGGCTAGCACAGAACTTTTTCCAAGTACCGAGAAATTGTTAGGTAAAGAGAGACTTGATATCCTTAAGGTAACATGTGACATTTTGTAAACATCAAAACAAAGAGTTTACTTTGCTGTCGTGTTAAAGAAAAGTTAAATTTTTGAATAATTTCCAACTACGGTCGGCCGACCATCGTTAGAAAAAAGATGGCTTTTTCAAATACTGCCCCCAATTTACCAAATTTAGTTAGTCCACATTTGTTTGCAATCGGTTACACATCCGTGAACGGGTGCAAGCTGGCTAGTCTGGTTCCCTTGACCTGACAATTCCCAGACGCCTATAAATTGCTCCGCTTGGTTAGAAGTAGCGTCAGGGAACCAGACTACGAGAACAGCATGTTTATCTTGGTTTTTCCATCGTCTATGAACACAAAACTTTAAACGGGCCAGTGTAACAGTATTTAGTATAAAATACTAAACCCCCAAGATCCATCTATTTCAGAAAATTACAGCAAAAGCAAATATTGTATAACTTCCTGTAGTGCCTTGCCATGTACACGCACATAGCTTGTGACTTGTTCTATCTCATTTGTTTTTAGCTGAGCTTGACGTTTACTCTGTTATCGATACAAACAACCAGACCGTCAATCAGATAAAGCCAAGAAGAAAATTACCTCTGCTTCGATCCCATCCAACGTAGAAATTCACATGCACACTACTTATAAAATTTTAGAGTAAACAAAAACAAATTACCTGCCCACCCACCCTCCTTTTTTTTTCAATTTAATAGAAACACAATCTTTTTCTTGGCCCAATCGTTGTTTTGAATATCTGTTTTGTACGTTTTTATATTTTAAACCAAAATTATGAAGAAAAAGGTACACTTAACCAAAAAACAAAGTTCCCCCCCCCCCTTCCAATACTTTTTTGGGAATCAGCCATACTCTTTATTTGGCCCAAAATAGTGATAATGTGTACGAATTTATGCAATTTATGACAAATGCTACCGAAAAACAATTGCACGTTTTGTATACGTGCAAGTTGTGGTTCACCACTCACCTTGCCTGTTTACAAAAGTGCAACTTTTTTTTGGGGGGGGGACCATTTGTCATAAATTGCATAATTGTGTACACATTATCACTGTTTTGGGCCAAACAAAGACTATAGCAGGATTGCTGAGGAATTTCTGTACTGATCAGTTGTAATTTGAGCAAGATATGCCCAGTAGTTTTTGAGTTAGACGAAAAAGTATTAAGGGGGACTTTCTATTTTGGTTGAGTGTAGATTAACTTTGAGCAAAAATTAAAATTTCTTCAGTGTCCAAAAATGCTCAGGTGTTTGTTTTGTGCATTCCTGATGAATGATCTTTATTTATTTATTCATCTGATTTTCAGCGTTGGAGCCATGTCACAACACCGATCTTCACAAGTCAACAACTTACACCGGAGAGTTCTGACAGCATATACCTCGACGAGACAAAATACAGCAAGATTGACTCTTGTCCCGAAAAGCAAATGTTTTAATTCTTCAAATTCTTTTGGTTATAGAAAAAAAAACATATTTTTGTTCATTGTTTAGCCTTTATAAACTCTGTAAGCAGAGATGGTTATAGATGGGAAAGAAAAGTTGTGTTAGTGAGAAGTGATCTCGGAGTTCGGTTCTTTTCAGAACCTCCAAATCAAATATTGTAGCCTTTATAAACTCTGTAGGCAGAGATGGTTATAGATGGGAAAGAAAAGTGGTGTTAGTGGAACTAATGTCTTCTTTTGAAAGTGTGGTTCTGAAAGAACCAGTGGTGAGAAGTCGTCATGTTCTTGGAGTTTGGTTCTTTTCAGAACCTCCAAATCAAATATTGTAGCCTTTATAAACTCTGTAGGCAGAGATGGTTATAGATGGGAAAGAAAAGTGGTGTTAGTGGAACTAATGTCTTCTTTTGAAAGTGTTGTTCTGAAAAGAACCAGTGGTGAGAAGTCGTCACGTTCTTGGAGTTTGGTTCTTTTCAGAACCTCCAAATCAAATATTATAGCCTTTATAAACTCTGTAGGCAGAGATGGTTATAGAAGGGAAAGAAAAGTGGTGTTAGTGGAACTAATGTCTTCTTTTGAAAGAACCAGCGGTGAGAAGTCGTCATGTTCTTGGAGTTCGGTTCTTTTCAGAACCTCCAAACCAAATCAAATATTGTAGCCTTTATAAACTCTGTAGACAGAGATGGTTATAGATGGGAAAGAAAAGTGATGTTAGTGAAACTAATGTCTTCTTTTGAAATTGTGGTTCTGAAAAGAACCAGTGGTATGAAGTCGTCGTGTTCTTGGAGTTAGGTTCTTTTCAGAACCTCCAATTCAAATATTGAGATGGACTAAAAGCCTATGAACAAGTTAAAGGAAAACTAAAACGATAATGTGGTTTTAATAAAAATGGTGGCACATAGAAATCTGGTAAACTAACGATGGGCCGTTCTTCTACATGTACAAGGTGTCCCAAAAAAGTTGTGCAAGATGATATCATTTCTCAAAAACTACTTCATTTCATATTAATTATACTCTGACTTGTGAATCATCAGTGAAAGTGCCATGGAAATCCGTTCATGCACACCAGAGATCTAACAGAAGGCTATGGATTTTTCACCCATTCCAGTGGGATTTACACAGTGAAAATGCATCATGGGACTTTTCACTCTGATGTAAATTAAGTTAAAATGTGTAAATCCCATCCCCTTGGAATGAGTGAAAAACCCATAGCCTTCTATAATCTGTTAGATCACTCTCTGGTTTGCATGAACGGATTTCCATAACAGAAATTAAGGATATTAGTGCCTGCACAATTTTTTGAACAATCTGTATTCATTCCTTTTTGGGGGGGGGGGGGGGGGGGAGGAGTACGTTTGCTACTTTTGGGGGATTTTTTAGGTAATTGTTAGGTTTCGGGGATTTTTTTCCAGTTACTGCAAAATGCCTTACACAGTACACTGTTTACTACATTATGCTTTTTACAGTATTTTAACCCGTGAGGTTATATGGACAAAGGAAGACAGTATGAGACGAAGTTGTACTTGAGCTGAAGGTTTATTCGGTTGGCTGTGACGCTCTCTGTCTGATTTCTAGATTCTACTGGGTTTTTATACAGGTAATGGACATTCCAATCTAACAGCTATCTTACAGGTTTTCTTGCCTTATTAGGAATTGTTCACTAACTATTGAACATTAATAATACAAGATTAAAGGTGTTTGGTCAACTTGTATCTGGGGGCAGGGCTAGGCAAATTAATAGAACAATCGCATTTCCTTATAAGTCGGTGGGCTGATTCACTGTGGCCTTTCGGTGCAGCCCAGCATCAACCAGCGCGGACCTTGTGGCTAAACTGGCAATTCCTTAGATGTGTCTCATTACCAGGAAAGTGGTCCTGTTCCTTGAAGGTCAACCCATACAACTTATTCAATAAAATATAAAACATGATATTTGATCATGGTGATAGTATGCCTTAGGTAAATTCTAAGTATTTTACGGGTAATTAAAACTGCAGGGAGCTTTGTTTATATTTTTTTGTATATTATGATTAATTGCTCATAGGAGAAGACGAAATAACCGAAACTAATAGCTAACAAAAACAAGGACACAAATTCAACTCCTTGTCAAATAACCAGTTTAAAAGGTATTCAATTTTTTTTAAATTGTATTCAGGTGGTTTGTGATTTATTTTGCATAATTACTACCGAAGCCAAAGGCTGAATTCCATGAATTTGAAATAGAAATATGTAAACCATGATAATAATGAGCTTCAGCTATAAATTTGGTGCCACTGGAAAGGTAACGAGCTGTGCTCTACAACATTGTTTAAACATTTCTAACTTTAATGTGGTTATTCCTCATATGCTATAGCAGGTCAAAACGTAACATACTCCCGTACTGAAATAAACATAATAGTTACAAGAATGTTGTACAATGTACATGTACAAAAACTCATCACATTACATCGATATATTTGAAACGAACACAATATGGAAAAATTGCGCCGTTTGATATTCAATAAACCTGTTTTGTAAAACAGAGAGGCTTGCCCTGTGTTTGTGTGTGTGCATTTGGCTTGTTTAAGAAGAGGGACAATCACAAAACCACCTGGATGCACCCAGTTCCAGACATATTGGCATATGATCGATTACATCATTTATACAAGGCAGCGAGACAAGATGGATATCCACAGCACCCGAGCTGTATGGAGCTAATTGCTGGACCGATCACCAGTTGCCAAGATCCAAAGTCGCCTTCACCATTCGCCTAAACACAACAAACAAGCTAGGCTCTACTAGACCCTTCAAGCTAGACACTGTAAAGCTTCATATTGTTGCGTACAGAAAAGTTTAGAACAGGAGATGAAAGCGGCACTATGGAAATACAAGAATGTTCGTCTCTGGACCAGGAGTGGAAAGTTGTGTATGACATAGCAAAATATGCTATTGGTAAGCCCAATCGGAAACACCAAGATTTGTTCGATCCTAAAGATTCCAAACTGAAACTACTAATGCAAAAGAAAGACCTGGACCACCGAAGAGTGTTACAGACTAGAAGTGCTAGATCCACAGTGGCAGCGTATAAAGACATTTACGGGCTGTTACAAAAGTATACTAGAAAACTGTAATGGTGGGAAAAGAACGCAAAAGATCTTCAGCGGGCAGCAGACAGGAATGATATTTCTATCAGGGATTCAGACAAGTTTGGGGTCCACAGAATCAAGGAGATCTTCTCAGACAGTAAGAGAGTCCTGGGGAGGTAGACAGAGCATTTCCAAAGCTACTCAGTGTACCTGGTGACATTGAAGCCACAACACTTGCCAACATCCAACAGCAAGATGTCATAACAATACTAGATAAGACACCAATTATGAAAGAGTTATAGTGAAAGCGGTTGCCTCTCTAGCAAATGGTAAAGCACTTCAGAGCTAAGACCAGGTGTTCACCAATTCTCGTTCGAGAACTTCTATTCGCAGATGACATCGCTCTTGTCGCTAACACGTGAGTTCAGACATTAGTCCGGAGCAACATACATATCACATACTGCATACTGGGTAAGTACGTCATCCGGTCTTCGTTTATTTGTTTTTTCTTTTAAGAATGCGTTTGTGGCCGATAATTAACCGAATCAGTATTAAAAGGCACACTAGGTAAACACAACAGTTCAATTTGTTTGCGTTTTACACGCGGCAAAGAAAAAAAAAGATGTAAAAGTAAGAATATGTTTTACAAGTTGCCAAGGATTCCTCCTTTTTATAACTTTATTAATTTGCATTAAAAATACGGTGGCTTCTAAATATGTCATTTCATTATTATCTCATTATTTGTGCAGTTTTCTTCAAAAATCAAAAACCGTGCTCAAAATACGGGACGTGAAAACGAGAGTGTATTATTTTTGGCACTTATTTTACTAATATGCTAAGTCAACTTTTGGCTTCTTCTCGAATTTAAGGACGCAGGAAAAACGGCTTGTATGTTCCTTCCTCTGGAGTAGAAATCTGAAATGGAGGAAAACAGAATCGTTATTTTTCTCACATAAATAAGGGCGACTGGTCGAGTATTGCGATTTCAATATTTCAAATTTTGAAATTGATATTATCAATGATATACTCTTTGACTGTTTCCCCTGTGAATGCATGCTTCGTAAAAAAGCTTGTCGATCAAGAATAATAGCTACTGATCTGCCAGCAGGACAACTGTTGAGCTGTTTAGTTCTTTATTTTCATATTTGCTATGTGGATGTTAGTGGTTTGGTCTGAACCTGTTTAGTGAACTGGTCTTGGCATGCCATGCGGATTCTCTCTGCCGTGGCTGGACTGTCTAGACGGAATGCTCGAGGGATGCCAGCATCCTCCCTGGCTGATTGGATGGCATCCTTGATGGCGAAGAAGATGGAAGCTGCGAGAAACAATGGAGGTTCTCCCACAGCCTGCAAAAAAAAAATCAGATACCATTTCGGCTTACTTAATACTAGCCTTCCAGTATTAGTAAGCATGTATGCATGTTAACCCTCTTCAACAATATTTGCAGAATTTTACATGATCTTGGAGGTAATGTCGGGCTTAAGAACGAAACAAAGTCTCAGTAGAATAAATTACTTGCCTTTGATGAGCAGATGGCCAGTGGGTTAGGTGCCCTGGTCAACAGACTGACATTGAACTCGGCCGGTATGTCGCCAAAGCTGGGGATCTTATAGAATCCAGGACCAGTGGTCAGCAGCTGACCAGACGGGCTGACCCGATAGTCCTCCAGGACAAACAGGCCATAGCCCTGGATAAACCCTCCCTCAATCTGAAGAGGTAATTCACAAAATCCGATTATATTTCTAAGCAGAACAATCTTACGGGTCATTGCTAATCGTAAACAAGAAGAAGGTAACTGCACAACTCTGCACAGATCTAGGCCATATTCAAAATCGTCCTCAGGTGGTACTTTTGCGTTTTAGGTTGCTCGTCTTGGTAACATATCCGGTACCCGTGATCATGCCACCGCATTTCTTTGTTTTCCTGTTTACTGTTGCCTCTAGCCTTAGGTGTCTTCTAACTAATCAGTGAAGAAAATGTTGCAGTAATTGCTTATGATACACACCTGTCATGAATCAAATACATTTTTAAAACAAGTTAGCTAGTATTTCTGCGCTTGTACATCTGTGGTTTTAAGGTAGTTGCTCATTAAGACACTGTGATACCAGCGCATTTCTTTCTTTTTCTCTTCTTTAATCCTAGGTGGCTTCAACCCATGTTAGAGAGAGACCTCCTTAGACCTCAATGGGCACTACAATTATACCTGTCCCATATCAATTGCCGGGTTGAGACTGTCACCCACATCCATGACGATGTCGGTCCGTTGCACCTGGTGATCCCCAGTCAAGCAGTCAATCTCCACTTCAGAGACCGCCACACCGTATACGAAGTAGGCATAGGGATCCCCCTTCCCTTTCTCCCAGTCGAAGTACAGATCACGCGCTCTGCCGAATCCCGTGGATGACAGACTGATGCGGTCTTTGTACGCGGCGTCGACCCAGCTCTCCCAGGTACCTTTGGGATTGTCCTGGATGAACGGTTCTAGTCGGTGCAGGAGAGTTTCACAAGCCTCCTTGATGGCCATGCCGTTGAGATCGGAGCTGAAGCTGGCAGCAGTCGAGGAGGTGTTCGGCACTTGGCTGGTGTTGGTCTCATTAATGTGAATCTTCTCCTGAGGAATCCTCAGCGTCTTGCTAGCTACTTGGATCATCTTGGTGTGCAACCCTTGACCCATCTCGGTACCTCCATGGGAAACCAGGACCGAACCATCGTTGTAGATGTGCACCAACGCACCGGCCTGGAACAATCCGAACAAAACAATTTATGAATTGTGCCCGAAATGGCCCTATTGAGGTTCAGAAGTTGTGTCGAATGGGGTTCACAGTTGTGGCTCAATTGGGACTCTGCATTTAGGAGGACAAACCTGGAGAAAACCTTTGCCCTTTGAGTGCAGGGAGGCTCATTTTCTTTGATGAAATTCTAGAAGGTTCTGAAACGCCAGGAATACGAATCGTGCCCATGGAAGATTCTGATATCCTCGAGGAATCGTATCCTTATGAGCAACTCCGAGCAACTTTATCCTAGATTTCAAATCGTGACATAGCTAATATGCTGATCGTTTCAGAAACGTTAGTCTCCAGTATAATGTCGAACCATACAGCCTTAACTAAGAATTTGTTAACTGACATTATATGTAATGACTACCTGATTATAGTATTTGACGATGAAGGAGATACCAAACTTTGTCGGTGTAATGGCCAGACCGCGCTTCCTCCATCGATTTTTACTGTGAAAAACAAACGAAATACAAGAAGGCACCTTTCAGGTTACTTGTCGAATTTGCAATGAAATATCTAACTTAATTGTAACAACCATCGTTGATAATATGTCATCACGAGACGAACAATCAGACAGACATTGGCCTTCACTAAAAGAACGGATATAAAGGAATTAGAAAGCCTATAATATAGGATGACTAACCTCTCTCCCAGTCCGTCTGACTAATGTTTTTTTTTCCATTAACATTAACTAGAGAATACTGCCATATTCGTAATGCCATAATCCCGAAATTACGTCGTGAAATATCGCAAATCTTAATCACATTGCCACAAACCTTTGACCTCTTTAACACAGACAGCCTGTCGGTGTTAGTTGCAACACGTCAACAGCCCACGAAAAATCTGGACTTTAAAACCTTAGCCTCTCCTTTGAAAAATCCTAGATCCACTATATTGAAAACAAACAGTTTGACCTTGTCAGTGGAAGAAGTATACTTCCGGGCCTAGGATGAAACAAAACAACTAACTAAACCTGGTACCTTTTGTAAATGATCAGACAAGGCAAAGCCTTCCTGCGTGTTTGGCGTCACCTAGAAAGTGACTCCTGCGATACATTTCCTTGCCGATAATCTTACCGATTGTACTCATCCACGTCTAGTCTGCGATTGTCGTAGTCACTCTGAACAAGACACTGGTCCCAGCATTTATCGAGGTTCCAATGCTTTAACTCCTGGCCGTAGAATGTCTCGTCGCCACCCTTGTAAAAATTGACGTCCCTGACCTGTAAGATTAACGAACGAAGTCAAAAGGTCATTATCATCCATAGTTGGGCAAGGAATGGGACCAATGTGAAAACATCGACCCCACTAATGAAGTTTATGCACAGAGGTGAAGAAATGGAATGTAATGCAGTTCGGTGCAATTGAACATTGAAATATATAAACTCAAGGAACTCGACCTGGTGGCGGCCAAGTCGGTCCTTGGACATCGAGAGCAAGACTGAGACCAAAACCTTAACGGTTCCAGACTGAGTCAAGACTGAGACAACGAAAAAATTGCGTCTCTGGACCGAGATATAGTATTCCAACGCTGCAGTGTTGAAGGTAAGGTCATTGGGCTTACTTTGATCTGCGTCAGTCCACATTTCAAGGCGATTTCTGACATGATCGTCTCCGCAACCAGCATTGCCTGGGGGCTTCCGAACCCCCGGAATCCCGTGTTGGATGCCAGATTGGTACGGCACATATGACCGGTGACTTTGACGTTGGGACACTTGTAGCAATTGTCAACATGCTGCATCGACCGCTCAAGTACCTACAACGATGAACGACGATGATAACATAGGAAAAATGGAATACAAAGATCAACGCAAACCTGATAGTTTTTTATGACCCGCGTGAATTAGGAAATGGGCTCATGTGTTGGAGCTTGCTTTTCCAACTTTATTTTCCCTCTTTAAGTTCATTTTGTTTTCTTACTCTTTTCCACCGACGGTAGCTGCCGCCTTGAATGGTCTTTGTGAATTTGTGACGTCAAGGCATGTTTTCTTGCTGCGAACTCGAAATAGTTGAAGGTATTTTCACACAATGAATTTCAACATATGCGGATAAATACCAGTTTCGCCGTGAAAAAAAAATCACGGCGATTACACGGCGGATTAACCCCGGCGAATTGCGGCGCGAATGCTTTGTGACGTCAAATTTTGCATTCCCTTGAAGTATGAACTGATGTAGCGTGAATTTAGGTTTATATGAAATACAGACTCGTTGGTAGTATTGCGCATGCCTAAGTGAATATAATTAGGAGGTGACCGGTCACGTGAGAGGTTTTAACCAATGAAAGGGAAAGGAGTCCCATTTTCACGGAGTCTGATTTTCATTCGACTCCGGCATTAATTAAAAGGGACGGCACAAGATAGACAGAAAATGGAACCTTCATGTATGTCATCCAACCCGTTCGTATTGACCAATTAGATAAGGACTTTGAGTCATGTGTTTACACACACTGTGAAAATTGTACAAAGGGGGCGGGGCTTATGTATAAATACGGAACGGTCCATTAAACATGCGGCATAACCATCGTGAAAAATTTATTCAAGTTAAAATTACGTCTTTTTGGTAAAAATCTACTTTCTCAACAAAAAAAACGTCTTACACTCGGCGAACAATCGTAAGTGCTGCCGGCGTTAGAGTACAGATCGACCTCCAGCGCCCTCAGCTGCCCGTAGCTCGTTACTCCAACTTTGTAGCGGGCTAGGAAAGGATGACGTGTGCCAGAAATCATCATGTCCTCGTTTCGGTCGAGCATTAAGCGGACTGGACGCTTGACTCTGTCATAAAGTGTAGAAGATTAATGTACATGTATGTCAATGAAAAAAATATGAGCTGTGCTTTGGTAAGAATAATAAGGAAAATAGATCTGGATCCGAACCAGGACCAATCTTTTATCATCGATGCTGAACGTAAAGTTCCGTAGGGTAGGGGTCATTTAATAAATTTAATATGAAATAATTGTGACCTGCCGAAAGTCTCTTTTTTTTCTGAATTTGGTATTTGCTTTTTGGATCATAAACCTGAAACAATAGTAAGGGAATACGATTGTTGTTTTAATGTTTATAAATTTCAGCAACTTATAGAAACAAAAGTGTTCTGCGGATACCAACTTGGTGGAATCAAGTACATGTATGCGCGTAGTGTATACTATGCACATAATAGCTTCGTTTGGGCCTCTCTGGCCGGTTCAACCGTTAATTTTCTGTTAAATTCACGTTTCACATCGCAGATTGCGTGCCTTTATACTTTTTAACCGGCACCATGGAAATGTCTTTATCAGTGTGCGTTTAATCGCCCGTTGATTATTTCCACTTGAATATTTCCACCCTATAAACTTAGCCAGGTTTAGTAATAGACCATTACTTGTTTGCTGCGACGGCACACACTGCTGCGTGGAGACACGCCCTGGCCTCCTTGCCTCCAAACCCGCCACCTAGTCGTTTGACACGTGATACCACCTTGTGGCTTGCGATGCCTAACGCCTCCGCTACAAGGCTCTGTAATTGATTGAAATGAAATAAAAAGAGGAGAGAGTTAATGGTTGGGTCGGGTCCGAAACGGACCTCCAGAGCTACGGCTATATACGTCTGTTATCAGTATGTGCCTATGTAGTTGTAATTCCCGAAGACCCATAAGACAAAAAATAGCTCTGCGGAAAAGAGAGCGCTGCCAGACTGATGTCCAATAGTCGTAAACTTGCTCGTCAGTTGAGCCTATAGTTTTAATATTGACTTGTGCGCTTCAATGCAGACTGCGCAGACAGTGGGCGGAAGCGTCGGCAAAGTTGATCGTCTGCGAGATAGTTTGCTTCAGTCTGGTTTGTCGGTGACATTTGCGGATGAATGGGTTCCGTATGTCTGCGATGCAGTTTGGGTCTTGTTAATGGTTCCGCTGTTCTCTCGTTTCTTACCCCGATGTCAAAACTAGGTTTAAGAGTATGAACTATGACTCTGGTAAGTGTAGTTTTACACCATTTGAGAAGAGCGGCAACGCAAAGAGGGGACGATCAGACTTCCTAGCTCCCCTCTGGTGTCTTATTTTAATCCCAATTTCACCATGTAAAATGTGATATAGTTTTTGTTCCACCTATATATGGATATATATTACATCAATGACATTGCCACTTTTCAGTGGGTGTTCCGCTGTAATTGTAAAATGAATATTTTAACCACGACTTGTCGTAGCGAATGCAGAATAACTCAACCGAATACCATTGCTCACTTTTTTTACGAATTAAGGAACACTTTTTTTATTCAATAAAAAAACAGCTATTGGTCATATCCTTAACAAATTTTGCTTATGTACCAACTGCCTGTACTATTTCGGGCAGAGTTTCTCAGAATTAGATAAATATTTACCTACGATTTTTTGTCCTTTAATACCATTTGACAGGTAGGCTAACAATTAAAAAAAAAAAAAATTCCAAAGCCTTTTTTATGTTCAGAGGGAAAATTTATAATCCAGATTAAGATAAAAAAAAAACGTTTCTATGGCAACCGGCTCATACCTGTGTTCTGGACGGTGATTGGTTGGCCGAGATGACCTCGATCTCCCCTCCCTCTCCCGGGATGACCAAGGTTGTCCATGTCTCCAGGTAGAAGTGCTCCTGAGCACCGCTCCGCACCTCCCCTTCAATGATGTGATCGGAAGTCTCAAAGCCTTGGTCCAAGTCTCCCGTTTGGATGCACCGGCTTACAGGGAAGAATGAGTTTTGTTCTATGGCGTCCTGATAAGAAAACAAGGATCATTCGGTTTTTATTTCAAAACCCTTAAATGGTTTAAGTTATAAACCATTTTTGCAGGTTGTAGAAGCTTATTCCTTCATGACTGTAGAGTATCTTCGCTAGACAGGATAGTCTTCTTGTACGTCGTACCGTCTTACACGACGTACGCGGGTAACACTATCTTGGCCAGCGTGGATGTTGTAGAGACGCTAGCGCGGATTCAAAAAGTTCGGTGATGATCTAATGTCCAGTATTAGGCAATCGGGTAAACAAACATTATGGCTTTATAGTCAAGTGGCTTATGGTAGGAATCGTAACCAACTGGTCCAAAGCACCGAACTCGGCAGATAGATTCTTATGACCCTAAGATCTAAGCCACCTGACTATTGGAAATATCGGGGATGGGCTGTCCTGGAATTTTCTTAATGAAACCTTTTTGTGTACTTTTACCTTTGTCAGTACGGCATGAGACCGGATTTCACTTGGAAATCGATGAGTTGAACTCAAAAGTCGATCGTCTTTACTTATTTGTACTTTTGACATTTTATCACCAGCAGCAGCTCTGCATCGTATTCTGTCAACATCTATCCCCTATATTCCTAAGCGTGCAAATTACTTAGTCAAACAGGCTTGGTATAACGCTAAAATTGTGGTACCCTCTGATACAAACATTTAATTTGAACCGACCCCGAAGGCTCGATGGTCTAGTGGAAAACACGCCTGTACTATAAGTAGGAGGTCATGGGTTCGAGTCCCGCAACTTGTTTTTCTCGTATGCGCTCGGATGGCACTAGGTACTGGTGAAGGGCCAAACCCAATCAGTGTACGTAGGGACTAGGAACAAGATTTAATGTATCATACCTCTATGGTGAATACAGCCAGCAGCTCTTCGTACTCCACTCGCACCAACTTGGCAGCTCTCTGCGCGATAGCCTGGTTGTCAGCTACTATCACCCCGATCACCTGACCTACAAAATTTACCTGGTGGAAAAACAGTCGTTAACAGATCGTATTGATTCGGCAGTAGTAAGGTGTGTTTAAAAATAGAAACAAATCGGAAAAAACTATTTTGTGTAAAATTGCATTTTCATGAGTGGGTACTGAGTGAGAAGAAATCACTTCCGATGGCTGCCGTAGTTGACGATTACAAGACCCAAGAAAAAATATTGACATTTTCCAAAACAAAATGGCTCAGATTTCTTATTAAAGAAAGAGAAATATTTCTTTTAGCGGGTGGATAACTTATAAAGAAAGTGCTGTATGCTTACTCTCTCCACTTCACTTAAATTCGTAGTTGACTGTTTTAAACAAATCAATGTGAATGGTTTGAACATAATCTCTTTATCTCCAAGCAGAAACTATCATCACTTTACGAAGTACAAACACACCTCGCCTTTCACAGCACTTTTAATATAGGTTTTCCTGGCCAATTTCCTAGTCATTCATTTCTGAAAATCGGGCATTCATTTTCGTCTGAATTTGAGAATCGCTCTGAACACACGTTTCATTTTTGCTAACAGGCCATTCGATTCCATTTCAGTTCAATCAATTAAGTGATTAAGCAGCAACTTTCGTTTGTGTCCATTCTGATTCGTTTACAAGACTTCTTTTTCGCTTTTAGAGGGCGATTTCACACATTCACCATTCTATTTCACTTTTAGTTAATGCCATCGACACAAGATACAATTAGGAAATTTTTTTTTTCATTAACCCGCCGTCAATCAAATTAGCTGTACCTGAAATCAATTTAGAAATGGTATGCTTACGTAAATGAATGCACAGGTAACGTAATTGGCCGTCTGTTTCTCAAAACCGAATGCACGGACAATGAAAACAATTGAACTTTCGTTGAATTGAAATGGGATTAAAGACGTACATCCAAATTCAGACGAATATAGAATGACCGATTTTATGACCGATTTTCAGAAGTAAATGAACATTTCAGGAAATTGGCCGGGAAAACCTATAATGGGAGGAATGTGCTTGTGGACTGGGATTTGTAAACATCACATAAATATAATGAAAAAACGAAGCTAACCGTTTTATCTGCATACAGGACATCGTCATACACTGGTGACGATCCCAGCAAGTTATTACCGGGCACATCGTCGGCATTCACGTACGCGTGGACGCCATTCAGTGCTAGAGCTACCGTGGTATCGACAGACCTAACGCAAAGCAGAGATAGAGAAGTTTAAAAAGTGCCCTAACATCCAGCATATCGCTTCCAAAACTTTTTTTCAGGCATCTTGAAGATTTGGAAATCGAAAACTAAGGCAGCATTGAAAAGAGTACCGGTACTTAATTCATTTATAGGCCTATATGTTTTTATTAGTTTCATCGCGCTTAGGCCCCCTAAATGAGATTTACGGACTATTTCAAAGTCATTTTAATATAATGATAAAAATCACTACAAATTCAAACTTAGTCTTCAAAAGAGAAATAGTAATCAGGAAATTATGTAAGGAACGAGAAATAATTGATGAAAAATATCAAATGCAAACTGTCGTTGACTAGTGGGACAGCACGTGCCAACACTATACAATGCGAGTCAAAACAAAATGACCTGGATTAATTATTTTTGCCTTATAAAGCAATCCAATGAAGCATATAATACACGGGTATACATGTTCTTCCACTCATCTGTCGATAAGCAACAAGAATTACTGAAATTTATCCTTGCTATCAGGAGTATCAGATGTTACGGATGTTTTTAATAAGAGAACCCATTTTCACAGCTGTCCCTGGCATTATGCTAAATGCCTTAAAGCTATTCGGCCGAGTGAGGACCAGAGATTACCCACAGGCATTTCAATTGAAACGAGATTTACTATGAGTCAGGACTGTCAGATTTTGTGTTTTGATTATGAGATGAAAACTATTCAATCTTGTTCTGAAAATAAAACGGTGATTTTTGTCTGCGTTCCTTTGGCAGTTTTCGTTCATTGTAACGGGTATTCACATGGGCATCACCAGGATTTTTTTCTAGAGGGGGAAAAAGCCCCCCCCCCCACCCCTATATTTTCCAGCATTTTCCCGATTGATCATTGGTTCGGGGATGGGCAGGGACATTCCCCCCCCCCCCCCGCCCATTAAATTAACAGAAATATGATTTTGCGCCTCTTTTTCTTTATTTCCCCTTTCTGTCCTTTTTCTTTTGCTTGTCTAGGGAAAGCATCCCCCTTGCCCCCTCCCCCCTTGCGACGCCCATGATTATTCATCAATGCGTATCGGTAAATGGAGGTATACAGCTGAATTTTGTATTTCTATTAAAATATGAATTACTTGGAGTAGTGTATGCAAATTACGTGAAATGCTCACAGTTACTGGTCAATACATGTACATATTCCTATGGTAATTAAAATAAACCTTAATTTTCCAACTTTCTTTTTGATTCACCCTGTCATTAACTTTAATGTCTTAAAATGGGATCGTGAACATACCTAAACATTACATGACTTGTGACTTTTGATTATGTTTTGTTATGTTTTGATTATGTTATGACTTTCGATGGGAATGGAAAACGAATATACTCACAGAATATTAGCGTGTGCTTTCCTGCTCATGACCAATGCAAGGTACAGCTCACCTGTTTCAGAAAAGCCACATTTTTTTCAAAGAATCGTTTGAAAGTTTAAGAGCGCCGTCTTTACCTAGCGTTCGGATTCGGAACTAGGTGGAGGCAAAAAGACCATTAAACGAATGCACGCAAACTGGGGGGCATCACCAAAAAGGGATACTTGCACAGCCGTGCTGAAATGTCGACTTGTCCGCAGGTGCCCCCCCCCCCCTTAGCCCCCCCCCCCCTTTTCGGTTCCGCTGCCCCTGAATGCACTGTAAAAAGAAAACTGCCAACACGGGGTATGGTAGAGTGCTGATACGATGTTCCAGAGTTTGAGGATGCAAATACTTCCCTTTACTTTTCTCTTTCCATTCAATTAGAAGCAACTTGAAAATCCTTTTAGTTTTTCTGTGTCGTACCGTCAATCTCTTACCATATCCCTTTTACCAATGGAAGAAAAACATTTCAATATGCTCTTACATGTAATAATTATTAAAAGATCCTTTCTACTGAACAATTATTTCGTTTGTGTATTTTCAAAAAGCACCAAACTTGTGTTTCTCACGCATTGCTACTCCCTCGCTATCCGGTTGTTACGTCGAATCCACTTTCTCGAAAATATACTTACGGCCCATGCTGGAAACTATATTTTCGAACAGGACATGCGTTTTTCTCTATTACTACACAGCAGTTATTTCTGTATCGAAACGTCTCAAAATATAACGAAAATCTGCTATGTGAACTAAGAGAGATCGGGAGCTATAGAATCCAGTGTACAACACAAACAGTAACCTTCGAACTTCGAATAGTATCTCCAATATACATATTCTATACAATTTTAGATACATGTATAGTTGTTTAAATATATAATAATATAATTATGAGCCCAAAGGTAAATATCGTTGTATACCTTTAATAGGCGGCATATCATCCACATATATTGCTTCTCCTGAGGCCTGTTTGAAGGCAGATTGATGGGTCAAAGGTCGACCTACTGCATCTGAATCAGGTTGACCTGATGGTACCTCCTGGTGACGTGAGAAATAACGTTACCTGATGTTTTTTTTTTCTCCTGATGACTCGAAATATAGCCTAGTGATAATTGTAATGCATTCTATCCTTGCCTGCAATTAAAAGTCTTTTTTTTATCAGAGTCGGTGAATGTCTGTCAGTCTCTGTATGTTTCCCGTTTTGTTCATTTAAAATCGGATAAATATGGTATTCCACGCAAGCTACGGTTGTAGTGGCTTCTATTATTTTATTTTGCTTTTTAGTGGGGCAAATCGTGAATGGCACGTACCTTTTTTCTGTTGTATTGATTTAGTAGCGTGTCATGTCTGCTTAGGGTTTTCTTTGTGACGCACAAGAAAGTAGTGTACTTGCGAGACTATTCATGGGGAGCATGAACAACTCGAACCATTTTATTGCTTCGTGTTTGAACAAACTAGTTATTCCAACGAAACCTCTGCGTAGATTTTGGGTAGAAATCGAAGGGAAAACACGGGAAATAGTTATGACAAATGTTCAGACCTTGTTTTTATATCAAGGTCGAAATGATGAGATTCGCTTCACCTAGGTCTGTGTCTTGTTGAATGTTGTTGGATCAAATTACCTGATACAACTGAACACCTCGAGCTGAGTTCTTATGGTAGGGCTGATTGGCTGACTTGTAGGAAGGTGGAACGGCTGAGCCACTAATAAGGCCAGGCTGACAAAGATTTAAAATGAATAACCAATAACAATCGGCGCAATGTTTGCGATGACACTACAAAGAGATATCTCGTTTGAGTGTTTAAAGGGAGTATTCAATATTTGCTCTTGCTTTAATTTTCAGAAATGGATGGCTTTGGGGTTAGTATTTTATAGCAAATATTGTTACACTGACTTGTTTGAAGTTTCGTTTTCGTAGATGCTCGAAAACCAGGAAAAGCAATAATGTACCTGTAGTCTGGTTCCCTGACCCCACTTAAGATGAAATGGAGCAATTTATAGTCGTCGGGAAATTGTAAGGTCAGGGAACCAGTCTAGCTTGATTGCACCCGTTCACGGACGTCTTAATTGCAAACAAAATGTGAACTGAATTTTTTTTGGTAAATTGGAGGCAGTAGTTGAAAAAAGTCAGGTTTTTCCAACGCTGGTCGTCCGTTGGAAATTGATACAACAATACCACTTTCCTTGAAAATGACAACACACCTGGGCCATGATTTTACAGGATGCTTTAGACTGTCATTCACTAACAGTCCAGGAAGGTATTTCATAATAATCCGATAGTTTTGTTTTTCAATGTTTGCAAATGTTTTACATTCCCTTTAAGACAATGGTTCGGAGGTCCTGAAGAAGATCAGATCATACTGACTGAAACGTCGAATGATAAACATTCTTAACAACTTTCTCAAAAGAGATTTAGACATCATTGTCAGCCTTTCATATTTCACTCCACACACTTTTCATTAATAAAATCTCTCACTCACGAATAGTAGTGATTTAAAAAAAACACCAAAAAAAACACATAGATTGGTTAAACATAGTTGATAAAATATGGTAAAAACGATGAAACGAGAAATCGATGTGCACATGTCACGTGTTAAAGATTTTAAATGGATGGGGCGTCACAAATGTTTAAATTGTTGAAAGTAAATAGTATTGCCAAGATAATACATTGCTGTGAACTAAAAATGAATAAAATAAGTTCAAATTAACGCAGCCTACACGACAAGACAACAGATAGGGAAGATAGGGAAGGGGGAGCAATGTGGTCCCTTTCCCCTTTCCCCTCAAAATCACCTGTTTGAGTCTAAGTTGCTCCAGGACGGCGAGGTAGAACTTGAAGAAGAAGCTGAGGGTGAGTGATTGCCGATAGGGCTCCATACCGCCTGGGGCACCAGGAGTTAGAGGTAGATCCTCGAGCAGAAAGGGGGTCATGGCCTCCACTAAACCATCACTCCAACACCTTGTGGGAAAGATGGTTGAAATCTCGGCTAAATCTATTACATTGTTACCTTGTGACAAATTATGTACTAGGTGTTCTAACGTTAAACGTGTATTACGTGTTTTCACTATCACATCCACTTTTTTTGGATTTGCACACGATCCTGTACCATGCAGGGGGAGAGCAGCTATAGTGGTATCGTACTGCACTGGCTTCTCCTAGGTTTCTTATAAGGCTTCCAATAGCCACGCTGCTCATTAATTTTGAAGAATCTTTAACCGGTCTCAGTAGAAAAAAGGGGGAAACAGAGAAAGGCAAGCCTAGTTAGCAGACTTATATGACTCGTGACTCGGACTCGAGTCCGACTCGAGCCCCATTTTTTCTTCATGAATTGGACTTGAATGACAAATGACTCGGACTCGGACTCGACCTGTGTGACTCGGGACTCGACCAAGTTTACCACAAATCACCTATTTTGTCAACAATATCATTACAAATATATTTTGATTTGGGAAATCGAAACATGAACCCCAGCGTCCACATTTGATCTTGCGTAAATGCAAGCTTCATAGAGTTCGGTACCAGATTATTCCTTTCCTGACACTGGGGCCGTGCCTTATTTGACATGTTAGACATGCATTTCCATTTCATTAAATTAGAAAAATTGAAGTATTTACACTAGAATGTTGCAAGTGAGAATAGGGCCTACCTCAAAATTTAATTCCAATATACACTGTATATTAAAGGGGACTCGTGACTCGGACTCAGACTCGACATTTGTGACTCGTGACTCGGATCGGACTCGACCTGCATGACTCGGACTCGGACTCGGGAGAAGTGACCGGACTCGGACTCGGCCGGGCTCGATGTTAGGTGACTCGAATACAAGTCTGCTAGATGGTCCGAGAGTGCAAACAATCTCTTCAATTACTTCAGAGAAGTACCGATATTCCCTGGGAGTCCTTTCGTGCATCTGATGTACACAAATGACCGTATTTAGCCCATATCGTATGGGTCATCCCATACGATAGAACTGCCCGGCTCCCTTCACCAGCCTACTGGCAAGCTAAGTCACAAGTGACAGTCGGTGAGTCAGCAAGTAAGTCAGTCAGGAAGTCAGATATACAAAGAGGACACTAGGTTGGCACCGTCTGTGGCCAGCAATGAATTTACTAACGATGTAACCACTTCCTACCTTCCCGTTATGTTCTTCATTGTCTTCGTAGCCAGGACTGTTGTTGGCGCCATGCCACCGTAAGAAAGGCTGCAATCCTGTACTTCATTAGTACCAGGCGTCAAGACTACTCTCATACCAGCATTGACTATGGCGATATCATCCTCGCGACGTGGAGATTGCTTGTAGCCGTAGAAGAACTCGTTCTATGTGGAGTGTAAGATCACCGGATCCTTGGTTATTGATCAAGAGTTGTAATCGAGTCTCCCATAACTCAATCGCAAGTCACATCACAAGACCATTGTCACTAGTAACGAGAGACGAGCCGTGACAGCTAATGGCCTTGTCGCTTCGCCAACTTGCCATTTGAGACTGGATTAAGACGGGATTACTCGTGACAGACCTGTGACTGACCTGTAACTGACTTGTGATTGACTTGGGAGTGATTTTACGATTGGCCTACGATTGACTTGTGATTGACTAGATTACAATTTTCATTGTTGTAAATTATTTTTTGGTTTTAGGTATCCTGCTGTTAAGATAAGATTTCGTTTTGTTTTATTATAAACAAGGACCAATTCACTGCTGCTCGTTGGTAACAATCGGAATTGCCTGTGTTTTGAGTGAATCGGGTGCACGGACTAAAACCTGTAATTTATATTACTCGAACTTGAATCGAGTGCAGGAAAACATAACGAATATGTTAGGCGAGGAACCACACAGAGCGATCACGGACAACACTTTAATCAGTTTCAATTTTGTGTCAAGAAGGCGTTCAACTACCCGAGGTACAATGCAGAGTGATTGTTGGAAACTTTAAATTTCATCTCAGATATTGGGGAATTATGACTGGCCAACAAATACGTTGCCTGTGTTGATTCATTTTTTAAAGGAAAATACATCATAAGTAATCCAAGATTTTAGTATATTCTTCTTTGTTTTACCTCACACGTGAAGGGGACATTGATAGCCAAGATTATCTCGTCTGTCTTGATAACATTCTTCCTATATCCGGTGAAGAAATTGCCGTCCATGCTCACGGTACGTTTACCTGATTGATGTACCAAATTAACCAACCCATTAAGCGATCTTCTACGTCATTATGACATGTCCAAAACATGTATTTACAGTGGTAATTTTGTGATTACAGATAGTCATTAGGAGGATAAATTGCTTTAAGTTGTTTTATTAACAATCCATAAAATCTGAACTACGAAAGGTGTTTTGAAGGCATTGGTGGACATGTAATATAGTATAAATTCATGACATATTTTGTCTTCCACAAAAGAAAAGAAGAAAATCCACTACAAATCAACTAACTTCCAAAGTCATGCGTAATTGTCAAATTGTCCATAAACTTCTCACCTGATTTCGAACTTAGTTCAATGGTACAGACGGCTGCCATAAACAACGGGTTGAGGTCAGAAATAGGACTGCTTGTTGCTATGTTACCACCGATGGTCTGAAAGACATTTAAAAATCTTCCTTCATCAGTTCGAAGTGTAATAAGATTTAGCGAGCTTACATTTGCCATAGAACAGGACTTCTCTGAAAAAAAGCTATAAAAATGTGCCCCCTTCGTATCTCTGGTAGAAAATGTCCATTAATTAAAAACGCACTTTCACTATCGTGGTTTCTGAGACACGATTATAACTAGCAGAAAACCAAACGTTGCTTTCCACACGAATTGCGTTCAATTTGTATCCAACTGAACGTGTACATACCAGGGAGTATGGCTTGACTGCGTTACTCTCTAAATTCCAAAAAGTGAAAATTCTCTCCATTCGAGTGAAGATTCACTCCCACTGTCGGAAACTTAGGGACTAGACGTTGAAGTGTGAAATTTCTTCAATCGTTAAGATCGAGTTTCACTTGAGCTTCGATTGAAGTGGCTCTTTTTTTTTCAGACTATTTCAATCGAAAATGAGAGTGATTTTCACTCTAAAACGTCTAATCCCTAATTTCACTCTTTGGAATGTACAGAGTAACCCTTGCATAGGCTTAAGCGCAAGGAGGCTCAAGATTAGTGAAGTGCCCTTCATTTACAGACCGGTTTGTGTTTTTTACCACGAGGATGCGTGCAGTCCATTCACTCGACGTCGGAGAATAAGGTTTAATTTTACTTTATGAGCGCTATTTCTTCGGAGGTTTACATGGACTTTGTTAAACATAATGTTATTATTTATTTATCTGCCAACTTACCGCCACATTTCTGATCTGATGTCCAGCAAACCAGCGCAGCATCTCCACAATGGCCGCAAAGACACGCGTCTTATGCTCTGCAAGGCAAAAAATGAATGCAAACTGTAGTCTCTGGTTAAATTTAACCATTCATACCAAATATTTCATTTTGGTGAACACCAACAAAGCAATGTTTTCTGGGTCTGTGTATCCGTGGAACATTGATGAAAAATCGGACATCTGAAGCATACCTGGTTCTTTGTGTATGATTTCCTTCAAGTGATCACTGACTGACGTCAGAGACACGGCGGCGCCAATTCTAACTCCAGAGGGCGTCCTCTCGACGCTAGTCAGCTCAGGGATGTGAGTGGGATCAACGAGAACAGGATAGTGTTGATTCTTAAACTTCACTTCAACACCTTCATTACATTAAAACAAAACAAATTGAGTACTGCAATCTATAAAATCACGAATAGTAAAAGAAATGTGTTGATTTTCTCATTCACATTATGATTTATAGATGCCTTTGTATTTAAGCTCCTTGAAAGCAAAGTTATTGTGTTTAGTAACATTTTGTTAAAGCCATCTTACTTTAGCTACCTGGGTTTTTTTTCATCTCAAGAAACCAACGGATGATCGACACATCTTGAGATTCAGTGCACGTTCAACCTGGTTTCTTATCTATAAGGCCTTATCAAAGGTTAGAGGTACATGTTATGGTATGTTTCCTTGAGCTTTCAAAGGAAAGATTTGTTTTACCACTATCTTGCTGGGATAAATAGTTGCGCGTGCGCACGAAGCGTACGGGAGAAGTGTACGTTGCATTCCTACCATAACATATGACCGCGTCCGCATTATTTGGCAACAACCCAACCTCGTTCCCCTCGGGCAGGATCTTGCTGCGCCATGTTGTTTCCCATCATGCCTTGCGCGATCTTATAGAGTCGAGGCTGGCTACAACCATAATTATCAATGTCTATGGGAAGTGACTTCAACCCATTCCATAGGCACATTAGTTCTTGCAGACTTGATTTATTTGTGGAAGAGAATGACTGTCACCAGTTTTAATACTTTAGTCACCCGGTTAAGTCCTCGGAAGGGAAATATTGAACATCATCACTAACCAACTTCCGAGTTGCCAGCAACGATTTTCGCCTTTGGATTGGTAGCCTTCAGTTCCAGCAGCTGCTGCAGTGTAACGGGACGAAACCAGGCCACCCGAACCCCAACAAACGTCCGGGGTCTGGAGTCCATCTCGTACAAATTGATCTAGAGAATTAGCATGATGTTCATCACAAGGGTGGATCCAGAACACAATTTTTGGGGGGCCCAAAAAAAATTTGTTCCCCCCAAAAAGTGGGTCCCAAAAATTACGGCGTGGGGTTCGGGGCCCGCTTAAGGGCCCCGAAAAAAAATTTGGATTCTAGATGCTCTGTGGTGCGATCTGAGGCAATTTCTGACCACTTTAACTAATGATTTTTTGAGGAAAAGATGGTGGTGTACTCATTGCCTGCCTTTATTGCGGTGTCACATAAAAAAAAAAAAATTGGTTTCGTTTTGGGGGGGCCATGGCCCCCTTTGCCCCCCCCCCCCAGATCCGCCCTTGGTTCATCATTATTTTCAGCAAACCAACACATTTCCTCGGAAAATTGCAGCTTTTAATGACACCTGTTTTTTTCCCACTAATCACGGTCTTTTCCTTCGTTTTCTCCGAAGACAGCAATAAATTAAACAGTGCAATTAAATTAAAAACTTCCTAACTTACCATGAGCTCGGGAGGGAAGATGGGTTCTTGGGAAGGGTCAAAGGGCGTGAACTTGCTTGCATCAAACAGTGTTGTCAATACCTATTTGAAAACCGGAAAAAAATTTCTATTTACTCTCATCTTCTCCTTGACTTCACGCTATTTCTTGAGAACCATGTACAAGCTTTTACTACTAACATCAGATACACAAAATTATCCTATGTATTGTGTGCAACTTGGAACATTTTTTGCAGACCAAAGTGTTTCATTTTGAACAGCTTATACATTCTTTTTCAGAACTCATTGATCCAATCACTGTTACAATGATTGTGTTTTAGGTCTACTATTCAAATGAGAGAATTAAAAACGATCCTTGAACTCATAAGCTTCAAATACTTCGAAGTCAAGTTCTAGAACTGAAAACAAAAATATATAAAACATCCTTTGATACTTACACCTTCCTCTTGTACACTGATGCCATTGGGAATGTTCTTACAACATGTAGTGTTGGTCCCTCCACAGCATCCATCCTATATTAAAGAAAAAAATGAACGCTTTTGCAATGATTCTATATAGCATTCACCATGGTCCTCTTGCGCACATCCGCATTCTACCTGATCTTAAGGTTTTAAAATTCTCTATCCATTTTTCAGGACGTAGTGCCCCTTTAAAGATAAATTCGTTATCACGCCTGCGCTCGTGGAACACGGAAAATGTAGTGCGTCTGTGTCCCACATACCACTCGGCCTTCGGCCTCGTGGTGTGTGGAAAAACTAATAGTGCGTGCGGTACGTACGGTGTGATACGCTTGTATCGTTGGTACCCACGCTATTTTTACTTTGTTTTCACACGAGTGGGAGCAGCGAACTAGCAGACGATCAGCTGTTTCGAGCACGTGACATGCATGTGAGTTGCTGTTAGATTGTCATGATTGTTGTGTTTACTGCCGTTTGTTTTCGGGATTTTTACATCAAAATACATTGAAAGAATCCAAGACAGCGGTATAACAAAACAATTGTTGACTGCTGTGATTTGGGATATGACGTTTTGAACACCCTCGGGGCGCATAGCACCATAGCTGCGCCTCGGGTAATATGCGCCCTCGGGTGTTCAAAACGTCATATCCCGCATCAAAGCAGTCATTTGTTACATACATGTAGTAGTTAAGCAGCAACCTGCTATCCTTATTTTCATTAGCTTTCTATTCCACAGTTTTTGTACACAAAATAATGTGCATGGAAACTGTTTAATATTGAGAGTTTCAAATTTCAAGGGGATACTTCTTACTTTTCAGGCATTATAGGCAATTTTCTTCATTTATAGTGAATGAGGGCTTCTCGATATTTATGGTTAGCAATCAGTCGCACGACGAGGTGACGTATCATGTTCACGAAGTCCATAGACGATACGTCACCTCGTGGTGCACCCGTTACAATAAGAGTTAGTTCTACTATTTAAAGATGTCCAAGCAAACAGATATAAAGACAGGTTTTAATAGAAAAAAAGGAGCAAACCTTGGTGAATGTCTTGTAGCCTTGTAAGATGGGTCTGTAGCCCGTACAACGACACAGATTGCCCTCAAAAGTGCTCTCAATCTCCTCCATAGTAGGTTGTGGTCTGTTTCTCAGCAGAGTATACATTGACATGACAATACCAGGAGTACAGAAACCACATTGGGAGCCGTGGGCCTTGGCAAGGCGCTCCTAAAGGAAGGACAGTTTACGTTAAACGTACAGCGTGTTTGGTGTCTTAATTTTGGTACCATTGGTTTATATTCTTGGTGTGATCTTTAGTCTTTGCTTCGTCTAGTTTTGGATTCAAGTGTTTTCTCTTACGGTTCCTAACTTCAAAGTTTGGTGTTTGACTTTGGCCTTCTCTGTTAAGTTTTTGGCAGTTGGTCATTGGTTTTGGTCAGAAGATCGTTTAGATCGTAGACATGGGCATTATGTCTAAATTTGTCCTAGTTCCTGGTTCCTGAGATATGGGTCCTGTGCTCAGTGTCCAGGCTTACTGGGTCTGGGTCCAAGATCCTGGGTGACTGGGTCCTGGGTGACTGAATCCTGGGTCCAAGGTCCTGGTTCTTGGGTGAAGTGGCCTTGGATCTTGGTTCCTGGTTCCTAGATCCTGGGTCCTGGGGCCTAGGTTCAGAGTCCAGGACTAGGTACTGGATCCTTGGTCCAGGGTGACTTGGTCCTGGGTGATGGGTCCTGGGTGCTTGGTCCTAGATCCTGAATCCTAATTGGTCCTAGGGTGTAGGTCCCCGGTCTTTGGGTATATGCCAATGATTTTTGGAAATTGTTCTTGGGTCCTAGATCCTTGGCACTAAGTTCCGGGACCTGGGTCTGTGACCCTTAAGCCTGTGTCCTCGGTCCTGGGTCCTACCTCCTGGCTGAAGGTCCTTGGCCCATATTCCTTGTTCCTGGGTCAATCGATCCTTAATCACGGCTGCTATGTTCCGGGTCTAGATTTAATGAGTCAAGGGTCCTTCGTCCTGAATCTTAGGTCATATGTCTGGGGTTCTAGGTCCAGCGCCCCTGAACTTGTGAATCATGGGTCAAAGGTCCTGGGTCAAATATTCCTTGCCCTTGTTCCTAATCCCTTTGTCCTACGCATTTAGTCCTGTGTTTTGTGTCCTGTGTTTTGGATCCTTGAACCTGGACCTTGATCCTGGGTCCTTTGCCCTTGATTCTGGGTCTATAGTCATACAACTTGGTCGAGAGTCCTTGGCCATTGTTCCCTTGACCCTTGTCCTAAGTTGTTGGTCCTACGTCCTGTGTCCATGGTCTCAGGTCTTGGGTCTTAGACTGAGCCTCTAGGGTTGTGGGTCTTGGGTAACGGCATGAGTTCCTGAGTCCTGGGTCTTGGGTCCTTGGTCTGTTGATTTGTTCCGTGGTCCTTGGTCGTTTGTCCTTAGCTCTTGGTCCAGGTTTTGTCGTGGGTCCTGGATGATAGGTGAAGGCCCTGGTCTTGGGTTCCGGGTCTTGGGTTCTAGGACCTTGGTCCTTGTTCATATGTCTCTTGTCTTGGGTGCTGGGTTCTTTGCCCTTGATCCTGAGTCCCGGGTCAAAGGTCTTGGGTCCTGGAGCAAAGGTCAATGCACCGAGCTTTTGTGTGTTTTGATTCCAGAGTTACTTGGCAAAAGATCCTTGGTTCTCGCTCCGGGATCCTTGGCCCTTGATCCTGGGTCCTTGGCCCTAGATCCTGTATCCTGAGTGCTTCCTCCTGGGTGAAGGCTCCTTGGCCGTTGTCCCCGGTTCCTGGGACGCAGGTTTCGGGTCTTTGGTTGTGGCTACAGGCTTCTTGGTCATTTGTGACCGAGTCCCTGGTCCAGTGTCTGTGCAAGGGTACTATGCCAGTGGTCTTTGGTCCTGGTTTCTTGAGTCCTGGGTTTTGGGTTCAAAATGTTTCTTGCTTTGATCCTAGGTCCTGTGTCCGAAGTCGTTTGTCCTTTGTTCTTGGTCAAAGAGTTTTGTCCTGGGTTGTATGCATTGGTCCATGGTCCTAGGTCCTGGTTCATTGTTTTGGGGTCCTTGGTCCTGGGTCCTGGGTTCTGGGTTCTGGGTCCTGGTTCCTAGATCATGGGTTTGGTACCCGCTCCTGGGTCCAGGTTCTTGGCAATTTGGTGGTGTTTGTGCTATGTCTTGAGTCCTTTGTCTCTGGTTTAGGGTCATTGCATTGAGTCCTTGGTCTTAGGTCTCAAGTCTTTGGTATTTGGAACTAGATCCTCGGACAGGCAACATAATCTTGATCCCTAGAACCACAACAGCGGTCTTCTTTTTCTTGATCAAGGCATTTCAGTGTGATAAATGTCATCTGCTAAAGCTAAAACGAAATGGCTTGATACTGCTGTTTCGTTGAACAGACGTGTTTAGTGTTACTACCAGGCATACTTATAAAAAAAAAAATAAAAAAAAAAAATGTTTTGGCAGATCCCTTCAAAACACAATAAAAATCCTTGCATATTATCAAATCCAGTATGTAATTTTTTTTATATTTATTAAGATCAGACATTTCACATATTGGGTTATCTAACTAACTGCAAAATTTGGGTTATCCCATCTTTTCACCATATATAATTGATCGATAAGGTACCATTACGTTTTCGTGATCTTCAACTCAAACTATTTCTGACACTACTCGGCCGCGGAACATACCTGTACTGGATGGAGTCTGGTCGTGGTGCTGCCGATCCCTTCCACAGTTGTGACGGCCATAGCGTGCACAGAACAGATGGGGGTCAGGCAGGCATTCACTGCAATGTGACTATCAAAAAAACCCATACAAATCTATATCTGAAATGTAATAAAACTGTGCCACAATCGTGGTTTAAAATGCTGTCTGGTAAATAACAGTTAATGACCCCGAAACGAAACGATCCTGCATTGTGCCATATAGGTACTTACTGCTTTTGGTCCAAATGGTACGGTCTACCTACTTACGTGTACATCTGCCTGATGGGGTAACCAAGTGCACAGAGTAACAATAGGGACAACCGACCCCACAAGTCAGTCTTTAGAAATCTAGGTTTCCTACTCTAGAGAAACCCGAGCCACGAAGTTGGAGAATTTAATAGTAACAGAGGAACAAAAAGAGTAAAAGGCCTTCCCCACAGGTATATGTTCTGAAGGCTATGTCCGATGGTATGTGGATGCGAACCCTGATTGGAACATTGGGCTTGTGTTCTTGGGCAAGACACTTAACTACCATGGCCTATAAAAATTAGAGTATAAAATGGTACCATTGGAGATAGAAAGCAGACTCGCTAGCTGCCAAAACAGAAAAAACTGATGCCATGTCCTCATAATGGTGACCAAGCTAAGGTTGATAAATGTAAAGCACTCTGAGAAATTGGGTATGAAGCCATATAAGCAATGCATCATCACTATCAATTAAAAAACCGCGCACATTATTATATTGCAGTTTACATTCGACGAATCTATTAAACAGAGCCCTTTTGGTGATTATTGACTTACATGATGAAACTGTACAGGGTGAGTCAAAAAAAAAGAAACCCAAATGTTGGGACCATTGTTTTTAGTGAAGTTCTGCATGTAGCGCTTTCAAAATCTGAGATATGAAAGCCCCATTCATAAGCTTTCTTTTAATACAAAATTCATTCAAATCACTTTAAAACAATGAACGAATTTTAAACACAACCACCGTTTTAAGGTTCTGTCCACGGATCACAAAAAGTTCAGTGTTCTTTCAGCAAAAAGAAAACACATCACATAGGGATGTGTGTGAATTGTTTTCTTTTTGCTGAAAGAACGCACATCTTTTGTATGATAAGTGGACAGAACTTTAAAACGGTGGTTTGTATTGTGTTTAAAATTCCGTAACTTGAAAAGTACATGAGTGATTTGAATGATTCTTGTACTAAAAGAAAGCTTATGAATTGGGCTTTCATATCTCAGATTTTGAAAGTGCTACATGCAGAACTTCAATAAAACAATAGTTCCGACATTTGGGTTTCGTTTTTTTTTAATCACTCTGTACTTCAACACATCCAAACAAAAATCTCTCACCTGATGGTTTTGTCCTTGGGTGAGTATTTGGACACCATGACGGTACATGCCCCACAACCTCCTTCCCCACATCCTAGCTTACTACCAGTCAGGCGTACTTAATTCTATGTGTAAAGGACACTGCAATAGCTCTCGTCATTTCAACTTACAGTTCTCGTCATTTCATCTTACAGTTTCCAACTTATTAAGCTATAGTATTGCTGGGTCCACATAAGATCGATTTGCATTCAATCGTTGACTCGTAACAAGAGGAAAATAGCGTCCACGATAGGATGAACGTCAACAGTTGGAGGTCGTGTACGATTTGTTGGTCCGTCAAACTTTGTTTGTTTTTGTTGTTTTTTAATGTGCGGTTTGAGGAGAATAAGCTCAAAACATCTTAGATTCACTCAAACAAAGACATGCATCTTTAATGACTCCCGAGGATTAGGTTCCCTTTTGAGATCACTTCCTTCTTTCACTTTTCTTCTTACGGATTCACTTTCCGTAGTAAACAGCAAACGATACGGTCGATACTTTTGTTTATTTCATTTTGAAGGATTTTTTTCAAGTCCCTTTTTAAAAGTATTTTGACCATTAACAACGGCGCCTCAGTTTTCCATTCGTGATCTTCAAACTCGCCTAAACCTTGAATTCGATTGGGAGAGTACGTAAGCGTCTCGACGCACACGTAATATAGTTGCAGACCACTTTAGTGGTCATGTTTACAAAATGTTTATTAGAAAAGCGTACAACTATTCGCAGTCTTGTTCAAAGGATACATTTGGTGCGGAGGTATGTCAGCAACGTCAGTGCAGGATCAACGTCAGGATCAAAGATCTGGAAATGTGTTTACTCGATATGAGTGGGGCAGGGTTTGAACCTGCGTCCTCCGGATTGCCGTTCCGGTGCTCTACCAACTGAGCTATCCAGCCCTGTGTTGGCGGTTTCCCATATTGACAATGCCCTTGTTTAAAGCTATAGTCCATCATTTGCAGCCATCCGAAAAGTAACTGGCGTAATTATTGTTGAAAAACAAACTTGGTTGAAAGATAGTAAGGGAACTAAACTCCCTGTGAAATTATTCTTTCTGGGAAGCTGTCATTTTGAAGTAATCAACGAAAGAAGGCATTTCCAACGGTGATTCTTAAGAAGCACCGTAGGAAAATTTAAATTAGTAGTTCGTTTTGTTATTCAGCGCAGCACGCACAAGCATTGGAACGACGCACACGCGCGCGCGGTTGTTATAATTCGTCGGATCAGTGCGCTACGTCGCGTATAGCTGCAATTCAAAACAATTCAAAACATGATTCAGTAACTTTTGATTTGAAATTGAGATCTTAGAATGCTGTTTTTCTCGGAATGTACAGCTGAAGCTTAGCTGAAACTTCATCAGGTTAGTTGCTTAGTATCCTTCATTAGATTTTGAACTCTTTTGTTGCTTCAAAGGAACAAAATGCACAAATTACAAATGATGGACTGTAGCTTTAAGGGGCGCTTGTCAGAAGTCATAAACCCGTGTATACCATGTAGCCAGGGATCACGCCCAAAGTCACGCTGTTATAGCAACATTAGCAACATGTGAAATAGAAAAAGGGGCTCAGTCAGAGAGGATAAGGCATTGACAAAATGGGGAATCGCCAACATACTCTCTAAATTCCAAAGAGTGAAAATTCACTCCATTCGAGTGAAAATTCACTCCCACAGTCGGAAACTAGGGACTAGACGTTTTAGAGTGAAATTTCTTTAATCGTATAAAGATCGAGTTTTTACTCGAGCTTCGACCGAAGAGGTTCTTTTTCTGACTATTTCAATCGAAAATGAGAGTGATTTTCACTCTAAAACGTCTAGTCTCTAATTTCACTCTTTGGAATTTAGAGAGTAGGGCTGGATAGTTCAGTTAGCAGAGCACCGGAACGGCAATCCGGAGGCCCCAGGTTCAAACCCTGCTCCACTCATATCGAGTAAACATATTTCCAGGTCCTTGATCCTGACGATATGAGTGGAGCAGGGTTTGAACCTGCGTCCTCTGGATTGCCGTTCCGGTGCTCTGCCAACTGAACTATCCAGCCCTATGTTGGCGGTTCCCCATTTTGTCAATGTCTTATCCTCTCTGTCTGAGCCCCTTTTTCTATTTCACATGTTGCTAATGTTGCTAACAGCCTGACTTTGGGCGTGATCCCTGGCTACATGGTATACACGGGTTTGTGACTAGCGCCCCTTTAACAGGGGCGTAGTCAATATGGGAAACCGCCATCACAGGGCTAGATAGCTCAGTTGGTAGAGCACCGAAACGGCAATCAGGAGGTGGCAGGTTCAGACCCCGCTCAGACCCCGCTCAACTTTGTTTCTTCGATCAACTTTTAAAAATTATTGTAATGCACATAGTTAATTTCTCTGTGCGGTTTACTAGATAAGTAACACTTACAGGTAGCATCCAAGTAGACTTTTAATTGGAATGTTTGTTCAGGGATTACTAATGTGATGGAGCAACTGTTATAAGAGTTTGGTTTACAACTGGTTAGGGGCCTTGTCATCGATAATTATTGGTAACTAATTCATGCAAAAGAAAACTTGTTAATTGATGCACATCTTGTATATGGGGTATTTGTTTTCCGATTACGCATCTGACAGCTTATGAGCTATTTTTAATTAGCTACAGTTTGGGGTACATATTTGTACAGAAAAGTCGTCAGTGCTTGGCCCTGACATCACGGCTTTAAAAATCGTGTTAAGATACTCTTTTGACGAAAAACAAACTTTAGCAAAAATCGTGCCAATTATTATACTACACGAATGAGGAATGGATAGTTTCAAAAAGCAAGTTTTATTATAAAATCTATAAAATGGCTCCTTCAATATCGACACATGGTACCTGCCCCTCCCCCCCCCCCCCACCAGTATATTTGATTGTACGGAGGCAAAGTGTCTGAAGGAAAAAAAAGTGTCTACATTTCAGCACGGACGGACAGGCACGTGCCTTTGGCAAGGAATCCCCCCTCCCCAATAAAAATGGCCTTGCTACGCTCCTGCACGACGCAAAACCTTCGCAACCGAAGGCTGTAATAAGCGGTAGTGGTGCATGGCGAAAGGCCAAAATGTACAAGGCCGGGTCGAATAACAATACAGTCTTGTATAAGGTTAAGCCACTTGAAAAGTCATAGGTTATTAATTAAATGAACATTAGGCCTAAATCATAAAAAAAATCTTCCAATGAAGAAACGTTTTATAGGGATTACCTTAGTACCGTTGCAATAAAACAGGAGTGTATCACTGTCAGATTTCACTGCCAGGTTGTCCATTATTGTATCAGTCGTCAGAGAGGTCAAAGTACTTAGCACACGAACCATTGGTACCGATGGTTTGTGTATAAACCAGAATAAGCCAATACGACAACAGCGCCGATGGCCTGTGCACCGACAGATATATAGAGCATACAATCACCGGCGGCCGTCGGCCGTCGGCCTAGTGCCTTTGCACAATAGACAAATTGCACAGTATTTGGTCAAAGGGCTGCTGTGCAATCACTCTTTGATCATCACCCTTTGGTATGGTCACGGTGGCAGATAAGAGTTTTGGTAGTTGTGGCCATCAGATTATTAAGTTAAGTTTCCCCTGTAGGTTAGATAGTACATGTCGTTTGCCATTAGTTTTTAAAGTGATGTTTCTCCTACAGTTTGATATTGAGGAAACTGACCTTACCTATTTCTTTTACATTGTTTGTTTATTATGATGTTTGAATAAACACTTTCACATATTTTGGCAAAGTGATCAGACGAACTCACAACAGTCTTCTCTTTTGTCTTTGCCCAATAGAAATAACGTTACCACATGACAGCTGGGTAACATATTAATGCGACACAAATATACAAGTACGTACGTACTGTATAAATTTAGTGTGCGTTTTGGGGGGTGTCGAAACGTTACACTTTGGACTCCTGGATGTATGCCTGCTGTGTGGATGTCCTTATTGGATGCATGTCCTTATTGTGTGCCACCATGTGGATCTAAAGTGGCGTCTGCGAAGTACTTCAAGGGCATATGTGATATGGCTCTTACGCACCTTGAGGAGTTCTGAGCATTGTACCTTTTTGGAAGGGGGGGGGGGGGGTCATCATTGGTGTTTACAACCCAGTTTGACGGAGGTCGAATTAGAGCTAGCTGGGCAGCTTACGGATGAACATGGAGGAACGACCCGGTACGCGTGATCAGTGACCCATGATATATAAATCAAGGTTGATGACCAGGCTCCTTTTTTATACTGCTGGATGAGTTGTGCCCAGATGTCGTTCATTTGGAATCCGATTTTTTTCAGAACTAATTCTTCGAAGAAAAGATAACTTTCAATATGGTGTTACCCAAGGGCGGATCAAAAGTGGGGGGGGGGGGGGGGGGGGGTGCCAACGGGGGCCATGTCCCTCCTCCCCCCCAAAAAAAAATGATGTACGTCGCAATAAAGGTAGGCATTGCATACACCACAATCTTTTCCTCAAAACTTTGGGAGACCAATTTTTGCCCCACCCCCATTTGTGTTTTGGATCCGCTCTTGGTATTACCATGGAGGAATATGAACACACCCGCAATCTTGATATACTTTAATTACGTATTTGTCTGCCGATCGGCAACACTCGAACCAGGCGTAGCCAGCTGGGAAAGGGGGTATCTGACATGTTGTGCGATAGTGTGAATGGTCGTGAGATTTCAGCAGCGCTCCCATTGGAAGATGGTACGAGCATCACTCCTCGCTCTCGGGCAAAATTAAATATGAAAGTCATGCAGAAAGTTGCATATGCCCCCTCTTGACTGCCCCCCCCCTTGAGCCAAAATTGGATCCGCCCCCGTAGACCCCTTATCAGATAGTTTGGATGCGTGCGATATCATGGTGTTATGTGTTGCATGGAATTGTGGGACAGTTTGTGCTGCAAGTAGAGATTCTGTACAAATTACTGTGGGAGAGTACCCCGTACGGTAATACACCTGCATGTTCCGACACCCCTATGTTCCGACAGCTCAACCTATTTTCCGACACCCCTATGTTCTGACACCCCTATATTCCGACACCACTACAAAATGTAGCCTATGTTTCACCATGTACACAATCATGTGAATAAACATAATATTTCCCATTGAAAAAAATGATATTCTTCAGTAACAACCCTTAACCATCCTGGACAATGTTTAGGCCTGTAAGTGTGACCTTGTAGGTAACGAGGGGTTAAACACAGTGGCGTAGCACGGTCATTTTTATTGGAGGGGGGGGGGGTAAAAAAAAAAATTGAAGAACGGCACTTGCACATCCGTGGTGAAATGTAGACAGTTTTTTTTCTCCGGACACTTGGCCTCCGTAAATTCAAAAAGCGGGTGGGGGGGGGGGGGGGGGGGGCGCTGGTACCATCTTTCGATGGGGGCGATTATGCACACAAACGGCCAATAAATGGTGCTTTTCAGGGCGATACATGTGCGAAATTCAGTAAAAGGCACCCAAAACGGTAAATGCCACAAAAAGGGCACCACTTCTTTTTACATTCCATTCAGTTGAGCAGAAGATTAAAACAAGGCATTGGTGCAACAACTTATTGGCATTTACATGGGACAATTTTATACTGTCGGGAAACAGAAAGATCATTCAAAGATTATTTGATTATAGTAATTTACTTCAGAAAGGCATCTTTTCGGACTGTTGAGCACGAAGGTATACTTTGAAAGCGGCCATCTGTCATTATAAAATTACATTTGTATTAAGTACTGGGAAGAAGATGAGCAAAACAATCAAGCCCACAAAAAAAACATCGGTTTTAGGGAATCTTGGATGAACGTGCCCTTCCCCTCATGCGTCGATAAGTATGAAAGCCAGGGTTCGACCTTACCTTTTATTTGGCAGTAGCCAGCCGTGCATCTTTTTCTTCTTTTGTAGAGCGTCTCGTAAACAACAATATGCTTACATGTAAACGTGTTACCTGAGGCAATCTTGTTTAATAGTGTTTTTAATAAGCAGATCTAATAATTTAACCCTGAACATTTAACAACATTAGAAACAAAGTCCTTTTATCTTTGGCGTGTCCCAATAATTTTTGACTCGCCAACCGGGCTATACTTCAGGAGTAGTTTGACTAGCCCGCCGCTGTTTTGACTAGCATTTGGCTAGCGGGCTATCACTAAAGTCGAACCCTGATTGAAAGCCCATTGAATTTGATCGGCGAGGCGATAAAAACCTGTCAACCTTATGACTGAGACATGATCTAGTGGTCTATTCACCAACGGGCCATGACGGTGGAGGTTAGGGGGATGGTTTACAGAAACGGACCAATCAGCCACTTGTGGGCCTTTCATGAAATCTTTGCTGGCCAATCAGACAATGTGTCTGTACCACCTCTTCGTGATGTGAAAGATGAGGCCAGCCTTGGCACCGGTTAATATCACAGGGAGGCAAGGACACAGGGGAGTATATGTGATACGGCCGTTATAAGGCGGCTTGGATTTTCATTTCTTATTAGTTACTTAGGATATCAAATCGGATATTTACGAATGATCTATGCTGGCGGATGAAAGTGTCAAACGGGGGAGATGGCTTTGCATCCCAGGTCTCCACTACTGCTCTTCCGGATCATTTTGTTTCTCTCTGCAGTTTTCGCAGGTAAAGTAATCTTTTCAGTACTTTTCCAGTAGTTCTTAGATATGGTAACGGTGATAAGCAGCTGTCACTTGTATGTTTATTGCCAATCACTAGCACGTGTGGTCTAGCGGTGGAGCACAGGATCGTGACGTTGTGGGTAAGTGCCCCGCCGTGGCCATGCGTGTTGTGCCCTTGAGTAAGGCGCTTTACCTCAATTTCTCCTCTCAACCCAGCTGGGAAGGTAACAGACTTGCTGTTGAGGAGGTGTGGCGATCTCTCTCCCCCCCCGGCAGCATATGAGTCTGGCCCAATCGCTAAAGAAAGAAAGATGGGCACTCCATTCCCTGTAAAAATTCCTCAAAAGCGCCATATATAGGCACGGTATAGATCGCAAGCCGCCATATATAGGCACGGTATAGATCGCAAGCCTGAAGTAACATGTAGAGAGAAGATAGTGAGAACGAATGACAGTTTTAGAGGTGGGAGGTAAAATCCCATAAGATTTTTTTGGGGAAAACCGACGGAATCAGGTAATGACTAAAAGTCTAATCCACATGTTGGCCCGGGCGGGATTCGAACCCGGGCCACAGCGGGGGAAGGCGACGAAAGTACCGCTACGCCATCCTGACCTTAATCCCTATAACATACATCGTGACAGACTGGTCCAAAAACACCACATTTGGCAGATAAATTCGCATAGCCGTAGAGAACATATTTAGAAGGAGTACACCTGATTTTTTTTTTTCTTTTTTGGAAGGAGTGCCTATTCTGCATAAATCGTAAATAGCTGCCATATAATATGTTATTTTTTTTAAAAATATTTGGGCTATTTTTATTTTTTATGTTTTTTGAAAAATCTATTTGGGGATTCTGCTTACATATCCTTAGGTAAATAACTTTTTCTGAAGCAAAACGTGACTGGATATTTATGAGGACATATAACAGATAAAATGGCAACCATTATACCCTAAAGTTGTGGGCATTTACTCCAGATATCATCAAGAAGTCTTGCCGTGATTTTAAAGTTCACAAAGTTAGTGACTGGCATAGCCTAATAAACTAAATGGAGAATCATGTGAACAAATGATAACATTTTGATATTTCACCCACTGAAAACAAAAACAGGGAAAAAAGGTAGTGTCCGTTAATTTGGCTAAAAGTAGGCGAAGGGTTGCCAAACGTGGGAACTCGAACAAGGTCAAGAAATCCCCCATAATAAGAGATTGTGATTGTTTATGATAAATATGGCTACATCCAAAAAAGTTCTTGCAGGTTTATAAGGATTGCTTTACTGTCAATTTGTTACATTATTTTGTTGTACCTCGAAATGTCAGTGTTTTATCGGAGTCACAAATTAAAAAGGCGGTCCGGGGCCGGATTAAGGGTGTGTGAGTTTGTTTCTGCATTCAATGGGGGACGTGGAAACATAGAGGACAATAAGGTCGACAATTCCCGAAGGTCCCTAATTTACGATCGTCTGCAAAACACATCGGGGTCTTCTTAAAAATTTAAGTTACAAACAGAAGAGGGACAAATAGGGGTCGGCGGTTGCAGGTAAATACACCCTTGTGTGTTTGGGGGGGGGGGGGGTTGTATGGCCTAAGGAATGTGGGAGGTCCCAAGCAAAGCAAGAAGACTCTGCACTGCAAAAACTGTGTTTGGCAATTACACACTTTTCTAAAAACTTTCTTGCTATCAGTTTGTCAACATGTTAAAGTATAGGTTTTTAAAAACATTATTCGTTCGAATTCACCGATTTGTTTATCGAAATTCGTCAAGCAACATAAATTTGATGAACTTCCAATGTTTAATTTTGTCTTTTGTCAGACAATTTCAAATTTAGTCCAAGCAAATTCAAACAATGAGCACACGTTTTCGACCCTGAGTATTCTATTTCGTCTCGTCTACGCCGAACCCTGTCATTCAGAAATCAAATTCTTGTAAATGGTTTTCATAAGACGAATTCGATCTCACAAGTCTAAAGATGCGCGCATTTACCTTTTCCCCAGATATCATCAAGTATTCTTGCCAAACCTTAAAATTAATGAGCTTCGAATTCACAAAGTTAATTAGGGCCTACTGGCACAGTTAACCTATTACAAACATATGTGAATATTCATGTTAACAATGATAACATCATCGTAAGATCAGAAAACAAAAACAAAGCGGGGAGATGTGTCTGTAAATGGACTCAAATTATAGGCGAATTGTCTTTCTTAGCAAAACTATATTGATATCATTTTAACGTAATATTCCATTAAGTTTTTAGGGTGACTACAGGCCAGTAAGTATTTGTTAATTTGAAGCTCATCAAAACCGAGGTTTGGCAAGACTACTTGATGATATCAGGGGGGAAAGGTACATGCTTGCACTTTTAGCACTTTTAAGTCTAATGGTAGCCATTTTGGATCTTTCAGACGTCCTCATAGCTTTCCAGTCACTTGTATGCTTTAGACAATTTTATTTAACCCTAAAAGGGCCGTGGGGATCTGCCCCCTCCCCCCTCAACTTTTTCCGCAATACCCTTACAAAAATATCCCGACCTGACCCCAGCTTTCCTGACTTTTTAGCCTCGAGTCTTGCTCATCTTTTGATAAAAAAACTAATACATTTCCCCATATTATGTAGTGTACACAAAGCACAATTACCAATTTGTGCATAGGAATAATTGATAAGCCATAATTCCACGATGGCCGAGATCAGGAGCCCCCCCCCCCCTCCACCACCACTGTGAGATGGTCAAAATAACCAGGCCCCCTTTAGGGTTAAGGACCCTTTGCATGGTGCGCCCTTATGGGAAAAAATGTTTTTTAACTTCAGTGACAATTAATGAAAGCACAATTTGTCTTGCACACAAAACACAGAACAAATACCTGTCCTTCCATAGACTTTGATATATATTACTATAATGGCTTCCGTTTTCAGGGATTACCATTATGCCGATCGCTCGAGTCGGGCATATTACAGATAATCGGCTCAACCAGGCAAAACAACCCTGATAGGTTGCCTAATGGCACGGATCCCAACGCCTTTGTGCTTCTGTCACGACAAGGGCATCTTATTTTGGTCACGCATAATTCCTCCATTCATAGAATAAGTGACCCGCATGACTGCACAGCCTTTGTGTGGTAGCGGGACAGCCCAAGAGCAGCGGCTCTGGAACTTTCCCTTAACCGTGTGCAAAGGCATACCGCTGCTGGCAACTGCATTCGAGTGAGAATAAGCGGCCACGTTTATAGCCGCTCCCCGGCTTTAAGGGGTTAAAAATTGGATGATTGAATCGGCAAATCTGGCCCAATGTGAAGGCAACATATATATGCCCAACATGAAAAGACTTCCAGTGAATAGGCATATCCAATCAATGAAACAGAACTTTGTACTCTGTGTCCAGCTTTATTTTGCTTGCCTTGTCTTGTTTTTAAATTATTGTTGAACGCGACCCTGGACCGCCAGTTTGAAGTTACAAGAATGTTGTACAATATAAAATGTACATGTACAAAAACTCATCTTCATCGATATATTTGAAACGAACACAATATGGAAAAATTGCGCCGTTTGATATTCAATAAACCTGTTTTGTAAAGCAGAGAGGCTTGCCCTGTGTTTTTGTGTGTGTGTGCATTTGGCTTGTTTAAGAAGAGGGACAATCACAAAACCACCTGGATGCACCCCGTTCCAGACATATTGGCATATGATCGATTACATCATTTTATACGAGGCAGCGAGACAAGATGGATATCCACAGCACCCGAGCTGTTTGGAGCTAATTGCTGGGCCGATCACCAGTTGCTAAGATCCAAAGTCACCTTCACCATTCGCCTAAACACAACAGACAAGGCTCTACTAGACCCTTCAAGCTAGACACTGTAAAGCTTCATACTGTTGAGTAAAGAAAAGGTTAGAAGAGGAGATGAAAGAGGCACTATGGAAATACAGGAATGTTCGTCACTGGACCAGGAGTGGAAAGTTGTGTATGACACAGCAAAATATGCTATTGGTAAGCCCAATCGGAAACACCAAGATTGGTTCGATCCTAAAGATTCCAAACTGAAACTACTAATGCAAAAGAAAGACCTGGACCACCAAAGAGTGTTACAGACTAGAAGTACTAGATCCACAGTGGCAGCGTATAAAGACATTTACGGGCTGTTACAAAAGTACACTAGAAAACTGTATGGTGGGAAAAGAACGCAAAAGACCTTCAGCGGGCAGCAGACAGGAATGATATTTCTATCAGGGATTCAGAGAAGTTTGGGGTCCACAGAATCAAGGAGATCTTCTCAGACAGTAAGAGTGTCCTGAGGAGGTAGACAGAGCATTTCCAGAAGCTACTCAATGTACCTGGTGACATTGAAGCCACAACACTTGCCAACATCCAACAGCAAGATGTCATAACAATACTAGATAAGACACCAATTATGAAAGAGTTGTAGTGAAAGCGGTTGCCTCTCTAGCAAATGGTAAAGCTCTTGGCGCCGATGGAATCCCTTCAAAAATCTGGAGAGACTGTGGATTCATACTTACCTACAGACTGCTCAAAATGATCAGTAAAGCATGAGAAGAGGATTTTGTATACCACAGGAATGAAAAGAAGCTACCATCGTCACAATCTTTAAGAAAGGCGATCGAACAGACTGTGGAAACTATCGAGGGATTTCACTTCTTTCCATAACTAGCAAAGCGTTCACTAGGATCCTCCCGAACAGAATCACTACCTACATAACACCAGAAATAATACCGGGGACACAATGTGGCTTCCACGTAAACCGAAGCACAGTGAACATAATCTTCTGTCTCCAGGAAAAATGTATTGAACAGGGCAGTCACTCTATGTGGTCTTTGTGGATTTTACCAAGGCCTTCGATACTGTGGGAAGGACAGGGCTGTGGCAGCTGTTGAGAAAACATGGATGCCCGGAGAAATTCACTAGAATGGTAGAGGTACTACATACTGGAATGATGGCCACGTCAGGTGAAATACGGTGAAACATCGGACACCGCCACCGTAACAAATGGGTAAAGCAAGGGTGTGTCCATGGCACCACACTGCTCTCCATCTTCTTGTCGGCAATGCTGGAAGAGGCTTTCCGTGATTTTGATTTTGATCATGGAGTTTTCATTCAGACCCGCCAAGACGTAAACCTCTTCAACGTCTCGCACTTCAGAGCTAAGACCAGGTGTTCACAAATTCTCGTTCGAAAACTTAGTCCGGAGCAACATACATATCACATACTGCATGCTGGGTAAGTACGTCATCCGGTCTTCGTTTATTTTCTTTTTTTCTTTTAAGAATGCGTTTGTGGCCGATAATTAACCGAATCAGTATTAAAAGGCACACTAGGTAAACACAACAGTACAATTTGTTTGCGTTTTACACGCGGCAAGGAAAAAAAAAGATGTAAAAGTAAGAATATGTTTCACAAGTTGCCAAGGATTCCTCCTTTTTTATAACTTTATTAATTTGCATTAAAAATACAGTGGCTTCTAAATATGTCATTTCATTATTATCTCATTATTTGTGCAGTTTTCTTCAAAAATCAAAAACCGTGCTCAAAATACGGGACATGAAAACTAGAGTGCATTACTTTTTGGCACTTATTTTACTAATATGCTAAGTCAACTTTTGGCTCCATCTCGAATTTAAGGACGCAGGAAAAACGGCTTGTATGTTCCTTCCTCTGGAGTTGAAATCTGAAATGGAGGAAAACAGAATCGTTATTTTTCTCACATAAATAAGGGCGACTGGTCAAGTATTGAGATTTCAATATTTCAAAGTTTGAAATTGATATTATCAATGATATACTCTTTGACTGTTTCCCCTGGGAATGCATGCTTCGTAAAAAGGCTTGTCGATCAAGGATAATAGCTGCTGATATGCCAGCGTACAACTATTGAGCCGTTAATATGTTTATTTTTATATTTGCTATGTGGATGTTAGTCGTTTGGTCTTAACCTGTTTAGTGAACTGGTCTTGGCATGCCATGCGGATTCTCTCTGCCGTGGCTGGACTGTCTAGACGGAATGCTCGAGGGATGCCAGCATCCTCCCTGGCTGATTGGATGGCATCCTTGATGGCGAAGAAGATGGAAGCTGCGAGAAACAAGGGAGGTTCTCCAACAGCCTGCAAAAAAAAAATCAGATACCATTTCGGCTTACTTAATACTAGCCTCCCAGTATTAGTAAGCATGCATGCATGTTAACCTCTTCAACAATATTTGCAGAATTTTAAATGATCTTGGAGGTAATGTCGGGCTTAAGAACGAAACAAAGTCTCAGTAGAATAAATTACTTGCCTTTGATGAGCAGATGGCCAATGGGTTAGGTGCCCTGGTCAACAGACTGACATTGAACTCGGCCGGTATGTCGCCAAAGCTGGGAATCTTATAGAATCCAGGACCAGTGGTCAGCAGCTGACCAGACGGGCTGACCCGATAGTCCTCCAGGACAAACAGGCCATAGCCCTGGATAAACCCTCCCTCAATCTGAAGATGTAATTCACAAAGTCCGATTATATTTATATAATCGTGGACAAGAAGAAGGTAACTGCACAACTCTGCACAGATCTAGGCCATATTCAAAACGTCCTCAGGTGGTACTTTCGCGTTTTAAGTTGCTCGTCTTGGTAACATATCCGGTACCCGTGATCATGTAACCGTATTTCTTTGTTTTCTTGTTTCCTGTTGCCTCTAGCCTTAGGTGTCTTCTAACTAATCAATAAAGAAAATGTTGCAGTAATTGCTTATCATACACACCTGTCATGAATCAAAGACATTTTAAAAATAATTTAGCTAGTACTTCTGCGCTTGTACATCTGTGGTTTTGAGGTAGTTGCTCATTAAGACACTGTGATATCAGCCCATTTCTTTCTTTTTCTCTTCTTTAATCCTAGGTGGCTTCAACCCATGTTAGGGAGACCTCCTTAGACCTCAATGGGCACTACAATTATACCTGTCCCATATCGATTGCCGGGTTGAGACTGTCACCCACATCCATGACGATGTCGGTCCGTAGCACCTGGTGATCCCCAGTCAAGCAGTCAATCTCCACTTCAGAGACCGCCACACCGTATACGAAGTAGGCATAGGGATCCCCCTTCCCTTTCTCCCAGTCGAAGTACAGATCACGCGCCCTGCCGAATCCCGTGGATGACAGACTGATGCGGTCTTTGTACGCGGCGTCGACCCAGCTCTCCCAGGTACCTTTGGGATTGTCTTGGATGAACGGTTCTAGTCGGTGCAGGAGTGTTTCACAAGCCTCCTTGATGGCCATGCCGTTGAGATCGGAGCTGAAGCTGGCAGCAGTCGAGGAGGTGTTCGGCACTTGGCTGGTGTTGGTCTCATTAATGTGAATCTTCTCCTGAGGAATCCTCAGCGTCCTGCTAGCTACTTGGATCATCTTGGTGTGCAACCCTTGACCCATCTCGGTACCTCCATGGGAAACCAGGACTGAACCATCGTTGTAGATGTGCACCAACGCACCGGCCTGGAACAGTCCGAACAAAACAATTCATGAATTGTGCCCGAAATGGCCCTATTGAGGTTCAGAAGTTGTGTCGAATGGGGTTCACAGTTGTGGCTCAATTGGGACTCTGCATTTAGGAGTACAAACCTGGAGAAAACCTTTGCCCTTTGAGTGCAGGGCCAGGCTCATTTTCTTTGATGAAATTTTAGAAGGTTCTGAAACCCCAGGAATACGAATCGTGCCCAGATATCCTCGAAGAATCGTATCCAACGGCGCCTATAGGCGCCGTTGGAGCAACTCCAAGCAACTTTATCCTAGATTACAAATCCCGACATAGCTAATATGCTGATCGTTTCTGAAACGTTAGTCTCCAGTATAATGTCGAACCATACAACCTTAACTAAGAATTTGTTGACTGACATTATATGTAATGACTACCTGATTATAGTATTTGACGGTGAAGGAGATACCAAACTTTGTCGGTGTAATGGCCAGACCGCGCTTCCTCCATCGATTTTTACTGTGAAAAACAAACGAAATACAAGAAGGCACCTTTCAGGTTACTTGTCGAATTTGCAATAAAATATCTAACTTAATTGTAACAACCATCGTTGATAATCTGTCATCACGAGACGAACAATCAGACAGACATTGGCCTTGACTAAAAGAACGGATATAAAGGAAAGCCTATATAGGATGACTAACCTCTCTCCCAGTCCGTTTGACTAATGTTTTTTTTCCATTAACATTAACTAAAGAATACTGCCATATTCGTAATGCCATAATCCAGACATTACGTCGTGAAATATCGCAAATCTTAATCACATTGCCACAAACCTTTGACCTCTTTAACACAGACAGCCTGTCGGTGTTACTTGCAACACGTCAACAGCCCACGAAAAATCTGGACTTAAAAACCTTAGCCTCTCCTTTGAAAAATCCTAGATCCACTATATTGAAAACAAACAGTTTGACCTTGTCAGTGGAAGAAGTATACTTCCGGGCCTAGGATGAAACAAAACAACTAACTAAACCTGTAACCTTTTGTAAACGATCAGACAAGGCAAAGCCTTCTTGCGTGTTTGGCGTCACCTACAAAGTGACTCCTGCGATACATTTCCTTGCCGATAATCTTACCGATTGTACTCATCCACGTCTAGTCTGCGATTGTTGTAGTCACTCTGAACAAGACACTGGTCCCAGCATTTATCGAGGTTCCAATGCTTTAACTCCTGGCCGTAGAATGTCTCGTCGCCATCCTTGTAAAAATTGACGTCCCTGACCTGTAAGATTAACGAACGAAGTCAAAAGGTCATTATCATCCATAGTTGGGCAAGGAATGGGACCAATGTGCAAAACATCGACCCCACTAATGAAGTTTATGCACAGAGGTGAAGAAATGGAATGTAATGCAGTTCGGTGCAATTGAACATTGAAATATATAAACTCAAGGCACTCAACCTGGTGGCGGCCAAGTCGGTCCTTGGACATCGAGAGCAAGACTGAGACCAAAACCTTAACGGTTCCAGACAGAGTCAAGACTGAGACAACGAAAAATTGCGTCTCGGGACCGATATTTAGTATTCCAACGCTGCAGTGTTGAAGGTAAGGTCATTGGGCTTACTTTGATCTGCGTCAGTCCACATTTCAAGGCGATTTCTGACATGATCGTCTCCGCAACCAGCATTGCCTGGGGGCTCCCGAAACCTCGGAATCCCGTGTTGGATGCCAGATTGGTACGGCACATATGACCGGTGACTTTGACGTTGGGACACTTGTAGCAATTGTCAACATTCTGCATCGACCGCTCAAGTACCTACAACGATGAACGACGATGATAACATAGGAGAAATGGAATACAAAGATCAACGCAAACCTGATAGTTTTTTATGACCCGCGTGAATTAGGAAATGGGCTCATGTGTTGGAGCTTGCTTTTCCAAGTTTATTTTCCCTCTTTAACTTCATTTTGTTTTCTTACTCTTTTCCACCGACGGTAGCTGCCGCCTTGAGTGGTCTTTGTGAATTTGTGACGTCAAGGCATGTTTTCTTGCTGCGAACTCGAAATAGTTGAAGGTATTTTCATACAATGAATTTCAACATCGTGAATTTGCGGATAAATACCAGTTTCGCCGTGAAAAAAAATTCACGGCGATTACACGGCGGATTAACCCCGGCGAATTGCGGCGCGAATGCTTTGTGACGTCAAATTTTGCATTCGCGTGAAGTATGAACTGATGTAGCGTGAATTTAGGTTTCTATGAAATACGGACTAGTTAGTAGTATTGCGCATGCCTAAGTGAATATAATTATATTAGGAGGTGACCGGTCGCGTGAGAGGTTTTAACCAATGAAAGGGAAAGGAGTCCCATTTTGTACAAAGGGGGCGGGGCTTATGTATAAATACGGAACGGTCCATTAGACATGCGGCATAACCATCGTGAAAAATTTATTCAAGTTAAAATTACGTCTTTTTGGTAAAAATCTACTTTCTCAAAAAAAGAAAGCGTCTTACACTCGGCGAACAATCGTAAGTGCTGCCGGCGTTAGAGTACAGATCGACCTCCAGCGCCCTCAGCTGCCCGTAGCTCGTTACTCCAACTTTGTAGCGGGCTAGGAAAGGATGACGTGTGCCAGAAATCATCATGTCCTCGTTTCGGTCGAGCATTAAGCGGACTGGACGCTTGACTCTGTCATAAAGTGTAGAAGATTAATGTACACGTATGTCAATGAAAAAAATATGAGCTGTGCTTTGGTAAGAATAATAAGGAAAATGGATCTGGAACCAGGACCAATCTTTTATCATCGATGCTTAACGTAAAGTTCCGTAGGGCAAGGGTCATTTAATAAATTTAATATGAAATAATTGTGATCTGCCGAAAGTCTCTCCTTTTTTTTCTGAACTTGGTATTTGCTTTTTTACGGAGCTTTTAAAGGGACATAGAGGGAAAAAAAATTGAAAACATCTTCGTTAGAAAGAAAAAAAATCTTCGTTCGAACGAAAAAACATCTGCGTTCGAACGAAAAAACTCTGCGTTCGAACGAAAAAACTCTGCGTTCGAACGAAAAAAATCTGCGTTCGAACGAAAAAAATCTGCGTTCGAACGAAAAAAATCTGCGTTCGAACGAAAAAAATCTGCGTTCGAACGAAAAAAAATCTTCGTTCGAACGAAAAAAATCTGCGTTCGAACGAAAAAAATCTGCGTTCGAACGAAAAAAATCTGCCTTCTTGGGCTGCCGGCCGGAGACACAGACGCCATTGCTGACGACGTGGTTAATTTAAAAGTTAATTCCAAGAATTTGGTTATATTTTACACCAATGGTGTCGTCATATATAGATAACGGGAAAAAATCAAGATTAACACCGTGGTGCTTGATCGAAATGAAAGAAGCAAATATGGGATAAGATAAAAAAAAAATATGGTTCTCATTAGGATTGAAACCCAGGACTCTTTGCAAGGGCCGTCACAGCCTGCACTATGAAATTAGAGAAGGAAAAATCTGGTGGTAGTCCCCCTGGTCAGTGTTTTAACTGTGACATAACTGATTGAGTGCCCCCCCCCCCAAGAAAAACAGGCCCCCAAGTGCCCCCTGCAAATTATACCCCAATTATGAAACTGGTCTTGGTTTTGAATCCCGATGATGAACAGGTGCTTTTCTCTCCCATGTTTAGTTCGATAGTGATTTGGCACCACAATATTTCTGGCCTTTCTTGCAAAGTAGGGTCCTGAAAGGGTCCTGTTATTACACAAGTGTTAAAACCTTTAGCCAAACCACGAGTACTTTAAAGTAAACAGCAATGTCAATTTCAAAAGCTTTAGGCTTTAAAATAAATACCAATTACAAACTCACAAAAAGTCACCGAAAACCAATGATTTAATGTCATGTTTATAAGACCGCTTTTCTTTATTTGCGAGTCTGTAAGGCTCATGCATAAAGAAAGCCCAAACAAACACGGCTTAAGCCATTAGTTGATATACTTAATTGTTCAAAACATCTTTCGGGAAAACAACGAAAAGTTTTGTTCGTTCGAACGCAGATTTTGTTCGTTCGAACGCAGATTTTGTTCGTTCGAACGCAGATTTTGTTCGTTCGAACGAAGATTTGTTTTCGTTCGAACGAAGATTTTTTTCGTTCGAACGCAGATTTTTTTCGTTCGAACGCAGATTTTTTTCGTTCGAACGAAGATTTTTTTTCGTTCGAACGAAGATTTTTTTCGTTCGAACGAAGATTTTTTTCGTTCGAACGAAGATTTTTTTCGTTCGAACGCAGATTATTTTCGTTCGAACGCAGATTTTTTTCGTTCGAACGCAGATTTTTTTCGTTCGAACGAAGATTTTTTTCTTTCTAACGAAGATGTTTTCAATTTTTTTTCCCTCTATGTCCCTTTAAAAGCTCCGTACTTTTTGGATCATAAACCTGAAACAATACTAAGGGAATACGATTGTGGTTTTAATGTTTATACATTTCATCAACTCATAGAAACAAAAGTGTTCTGCGGATACCAACTTGGTGGAATCAAGTACATGTATGCGCGTAGTGTATACTATGCACATAATAGCTTCGTTTGGGCCTCTCTGGCCGGTTCAACCGTTAATTTTCTGTTAAATTCACGTTTCACATCGCAGATTGTGTGCCTTTTTACTTTTTAACCGGCACCATGGAAATGTCTTTATCAGTGTGCGTTTAATCGCCCGTTGATTATCTCCACTTGAATATTTCCACCCTATAAACTTAGCCAGGTTTAGTAATAGACCATTACTTGTTTACTGCGACGGCACACACTGCTGCGTGAAGACACGCCCTGGCCTCCTTGCCTCCAAACCCGCCACCTAGTCGTTTGACACGTGATACCACCTTGTGGCTTGCGATGCCTAACGCCTCCGCTACAAGGCTCTGTAATTGATTGAAATGAAATAAAAAGAGGAGAGAGTTATAATGATTGGGTCGGGTTCGAAACGGACCTCCAGAGCTACGGCTATACGTCTGTTATCAGTATGTGCCTATGTGAGTTGTAATTCCCGAAGACCCATAAGACAATAGCTCTGCAGAAAAGAGAGCGCTGCCAGACTGATGCCCAATAGTCGTAAACTTGCTCGTCAGTTGAGCCTATAGTTTCAATATCGACATGTGCGCTTCAATGCAGACTGCGCAGACAGTGCGCGGAAGCGTCGGCAAAGTTGATCGTCTGCGAGATAGTTTGCTTCAGTCTGGTTTGTCGGTGACATTTGCGGATGATGGGTTCCGTATGTCTGCGATGCAGTTTGGGTCTTGTTAATGGTTGCGCTGTTCTCTCGTTTCTTACCCCGATGTCAAAACTAGGTTTAAGAGTATGAACTATGACTCTGGTAAGTGTAGTTTTACACCATTTGAGAAGAGCGGCAACGCAAAGAGGGGACGATCAGACTTCCTAGCTCCCCTCTGGTGTCTTATTTTAATCCCAATTTCAACATGCAAAATGTGATATATTTTTTGTTCCACCTATATATGGATATATATTACATCAATGACATTGCCACTTTTCAGTGCGTGTTCCGCTGTAATTGTAAAATGAATATTTTAACCACGACTTGTCGTAGCGAATGCAGAATAACTCAACCGAATACCGTTGCTCACTTTTTTTACGAATTAAGGAACCCTTTTTTAATTCAATAAAGAAACAGCTATTGGTCATATCCTTAACAAATTTTGCTTATGTACCGACTGCCTGTACTATTTCGGGCAGAGTTTCTCAGAATTAAATAAATATTTACCGACGAATTTTTGTCCTTTAATACCATTTGACAGGTAGGCTAACAATTTTTAAAAAAAATTCCCAAGCCTGTTTTATGTTCAGAGGGAAAAATTATAATCCAGATTAAGATAAAAAAAAAACGTTTCTATGGCAACCGGCTCATACCTGTGTTCTGGACGGTGATTGGTTGGCCGAGATGACCTCGACCTCCCCTCCCTCTCCCGGGATGACCAAGGTTGTCCATGTCTCCAGGTAGAAATGCTCCTGAGCACCGCTCCGCACCTCCCCTTCAATGATGTGATCGGAAGTCTCAAAGCCTTGGTCCAAGTCTCCCGTTTGGATGCACCGGCTTACAGGGAAGAATGAGTTTTGTTCTATGGCATCCTGATTAAGAAACAACGATCATTCGGTTTTTATTTCAAAACCCTTAAATGGTTTAAGTTATAAACCATTTGTGCAGGTTGTAGAAGCTTATTCCTTCATACCTGTAGAGCATATTTGCTAGACAGGATAGTCTTCTTGTACGTCGTACCGTCTTACACGACGTACGCGGGTAACACTATCTTGGCCAGCGTGGATGTTGTAGAGACGCTAGCGCGGCTTCAAAAAGTTCGGTGATGATCTAATGTTCAGTATTAGGCAATCGGGTAAACAAACATTATGGCTTTATAGTCAAGTGGCTTATGGTAGGAATCGTAACCAACTGGTCCAAAGCACCGAACTCGGCAGACAGATTCTTATGACCCTAAGATCTAAGCCACCTGACTATTGGAATATCGGGGATGGCCTATCCTGGAATTTTCTTAATGAAACTTTTTGTGTACTTTAACCTTTGTCAGTACGGCATGAGACCGGATTTCACTTGGAGATCGATGAGTTGAACTCAAAAGTCGATCGTCTTTACTTATTTGTACTTTCATATTCATATTGTACCTTTTCATCACCAGCAGCAGCTCTGCATCGTATTCTGTCAACATCTAACCCCATATTCCCACGCGTGCAAATTACTCAGTCAAAAAGGTTTGGTATAACGCTAACATTGCGGTACCCTCTGATTACAAACATTAGATTTGAACCGACCCCGAAGGCTCGATGGTCTATTGGAAAAGACGTCTGTACTATAAGCAGGAGTTCATGGGTTCGAGTCCCTCAACTTGTTTTTCTCGTATGCCCTCGGATAGCACTGTGGTGAAGGGCCAAACCCAATCAGTGTACGTAAGGACTAGGAACAAGATTTAATTTATCCTACCTCTATGGTGAAAACAGCCGGCAGCTCTTCGTACTCCACTCGCACCAACTTGGCAGCTCTCTGCGCGATAGCCTGGTTGTCAGCTACTATCACCCCGATCACCTGACCTACACAATTCACCTGGTGGAAAAAAAGAGTCCTTAAAAGTTTGTACTGAATCGGCAGTAGTAAGGTATGTTTTAAGAAATAGAAACAAATCGAAAAAAAACTATTTTGTGTAAAATTACATTTTCATGAGTGGGCACCGAGTGAAAAGAAATCACTTCCGATGGCTGCCGTATAGTTGACGATTACAAGACCAAAGAAAAAATAATGACATTTTCAAAACGAAATAGCTGAGATATTTTATTAAAGAAAGGGAAAACAATTTTGGCGGGGGGATAACCTATAAAGAGAGTTCTGTAGGCCTATGCTAACTCAACCCACATCACTTACATTCTTAGTTGACTGTTAGTGTTTTAAACAAATCGATGTGAATGATTTGAACATGCTGTCTTTATCTCCGTTCCAAACGCAGACTATCATCACTTTCCGAAGTACATTGGAACGCCGCTACAACTAACATCGCGGGATTCACAGAAAATGTTCGTAATAGCGATCGTTCGGTAAGCCCTATAGAAAATGAACAGCCAGTACCCTCTTTGAGCAATTGTGAACTGGCATTTCTCACATCCCGCGGCCGCACGAGGAGTCGTTACAAAACTCAGAAATGTGTGGTTTTCCCTTTTATTCCTTAGTGAAATAATAGCCATCTATGCTCTTCAACATTTAAACATGATGTAGGCCTAACCATATTTCATTTGACATTCGGGAATTAAAAGTTGCACAAATAACCCGGTGGATTTTTTGTTAGTCTGTTGACTTTTTTCCAACAGCAATGTTCGGTACGTTTTGTACATTAAAACCGGGATCCAAGGATGATGTTCGGTATAGCCAAATGTTCGTTAAAGTGGTGTTCGGTATAGCGGCATTCTACTGTACAAAGTAACACACCTCACACTTCACAGCACTTTTAATAATGAGGGGAAGTGCTTGTGGACTGGGATTTGTCAACATCACAAATATGTAATGAACAAACGAAGCTCACCGTTTTATCTGCATACAGGACATCGTCATACACTGGTGACGATCCTAGCAAGTTATTACCGGGCACATCGTCGGCATTCACGTACGCGTGGACGCCATTCAGTGCTAGAGCTACCGTGGTATCGACAGACCTAACGTAAAGCAGAGATAGAGAAGTTAAAAAAAGTGCTCTAACATCCAGCATCGCTTCCAAAATTTTTGTATTTCTATTAAAATAGAAATTACTTGGAGTAGGGTATGCAAATTACTTGAAAATGTTCACAGTTACTGGCCAATAACATGTACATATTCCTTTGGTATTTTGAACAACCTACTTTTTTTTATTCACCCTGTCACAAACTTTAATGTCTTAAAATGGGATCGTGAACAGACCTAAAAATTACATGACTTGTGACTTTTGATTACCCGATGGGAATGAAAAACAAATATACTCACAGAATATTAGCGTGTGCTTTCCTGCTCATGACCAATGCAAGGTACAGCTCACCTATTTCAGAAAATGAAGACATAAGAATCCTGAAAGATTCTCATAGCCAAATTTTCCGCATGCATGCGTTGGGGCTCGGAACTAGTTGAATGCAATAGACCATAAATTAAACGAATGCATTGTAAAAGGAAACTGCCAACACTGGGTATGGTAGAGTGGTGATACGATGGTGCGGAGTTTGATGATGCAAATACTACCCTTGACTTCTCTCTGTTATTTACTTAAGAGCAACCTGTACATCTTTTGAGAGAAAAATTGCATTGTGGTTTTTCTGTGTTGTACTGTCAATCTCTTACAATATCCCTTTTACCAATGGTAGCAAAACATTTCAATATGCTGTTACATATAACAAGGTAAAATTATTGAAAGTTACTTTCTACTGAACAATTATACAGTTCGTTTATGTGTTCTAAGAATACACAAAACGTGTGATTCTCACGCACTGCTACTCACTCGCTATCCGATTGTTACGTCAAATCTACTTTCTCGCAAATATACTTACGGCCCATACTGGGAACTATATTTTTTAACAGGACATAATGTTTTTCTCCACTAATAAACAGCAATTATTTTCTGTATCGAAACGGCACAAAATATAACGAAAATCTGCGATGCAAGAGAAATCAGGATCTATAGAATCAAGTGTAGGCCTAGCTCAAAACCCTTCGAACTTCAGAATAGTATCTCCAAAATACATATTCTGTAATTTTTTTTAGATACATATATTGTGTATGGTTGTTTAAAATGGGTAAATGTCGTCGTATACCTTTAATAGGCGGCATATCGTCCACATATATAGCTTCTCCTGTGGCCTGTTTGAAGGCAGATTGATGGGTCAAAGGTCGACCAACTGCGTCTGAATCAGGTTGACCCGATGGTACCTCCAGGTGACGTGAGAAATAACATTAACTGATTTGTTTTTTTTTCTCCTGATGACTCGAAAAAGAGTGATAATTGTAATGCATTCTATCCTGGCCTGCAATTATAAGTCTTTTTTTATCAGAGTCGGTGAATGTCTGTCAGTCTCTGTGTGTTTCCCGTTTTGTTCGTTTAAAATCGGATAAATATGTTATTCCACGCAAGCTACGGTTGTGGTGGCTTCTATTATTTTATTTTGCTTTTTAGTGTGGCAAATCGTGAATGGCAAATACCTTTTCTTCTGTTGAATTGATTTGGTAGCGTGTCATGTCTGCTTATGGTTTTCTTTGTGACGCACAAGAAAGTAGTGTACTTGCGAGACTATGGGGAGCATGAACAACTAGAACCATTGTATTGCTTCGTGCTTGAACAAAGTGGTTATTCCAAAGAAACCTCTGCGTAGATTTTGGGTAGAAATCGAAGGGAAAACACGGGAAATACTTATGACAAATGTTCAGACCTTGTTTTTATATCAAGGTCGAAATGATGAGATTCGCTTCACCTGGGTCTGTGTCTTGTTGAATGTTGTCGGATCAAATTACCTGATACAACTGAACACCTCGAGCTGAGTTCTTATGGTAGGGCTGATTGGCTGACTTGTAGGAAGGTGGAACGGCTGAGCCACTAATAATGCCAGGCTGACAAAGATTTAAAACGAATAACCAATAACAATCGGCGCAATGTTTGCGGTCACACTCCCAAGATATAATCTTGAGTGATGTTTAAAGAGAATATTCAATATTTGCTTTTGCATTAATTTTCAGAAATGGATGGCTTTGGGGTTAGTATTTTACAGCAAATATTGTTACACTGACTTGTTTGAAGTTTCGTGTTCGTAGATGCTGGAAAACCAGGAAAAGCAATAATGTACCTGTAGTCTGGTTCCCTGACCCCACTTAAGATGAAATGGAGCAATTTATAGTCGTCGGGAAATTGTCAGGTCAGGGAACCAGTCTAGCTAGATTGCACCCGTTCACGGCGTCTAAACAATTGCAAACAAAATGTGGACTGAATTTATTTGGTAAATTGGAGGCAGTAGTTGAAAAAAGTCAGGTTTTTCCAACGCTGGTCGACCGACCAGCGTTGGAAATTGATACAACAATACCACTTTTCTTGAAAACGACAACACACCTGGTGCCACGATTTTACAGGATGCTTTAGACTGTCATTCACTAACAGTCCAGGAAGGTATTTCATAATAATTCGATAGTTTTGTTTTTCAATGTTTGCAAATGTTTTATATTCCCTTTAGGACAATGGTTCGGAGGTCCTGAAGAAGATCAGATCATACTGACTGAAACGTCGAATGATAAACATTCTTAACAACTTTCTCAAAAGAGATTTAGACATCATTGTCAGCCTTCCTTATTTCACTCCACACAAAAAAAACACCAAAAAAACCACATAGATTGGTTAAACATAGTTGATAAAATATGGTAAAAACGATGAAACGAGAAATCGATGTGCACATGTCACGTGTTAAAGATTTTAAATGGATGGGGCGTCACAAATGTTTAAATTGTTGAAAGTAAATGGTATTGCCAAGATAATACATTGCCGTGAACTAAAAATAAATAAAATAAGTTCAAATTAACGCAGCCTACACAAGACAACAGATTGGGAAGGGGGAGCAATGTGGTCCCTTTCCCCTTTTCCCTCAAAATCACCTGTTCGAGTCTAAGTTGCTCCAGGACAGCGAGGTAGAACTTGAAGAAGAAGCTGAGGGTGAGTGATTGCCGATAGGGCTCCATACCGCCTGGGGCACCGGGCGATAGAGGTAGATCCTCGAGCAGAAAGGAGGCCATGGCCTCCACTAAACCATCACTCCAACACCTTGTGGGAAAGATGGTTGAAATCTCGGCTAAATCTAGTACATTGTAACCTTGTGACAAATTATGTACTTGGTGTTCTAACGTTAAACGTGTATTACGTGTTTTCACTATCACATCCACTTTTTTTGGATTTGCAAACGATCCTGTACCATGCAGGGGGAGAGCAGCTATAGTGGTATCGTACTGCACTGGCTTCTCCTAGGTTTCTTATAAGGCTTCCAATAGCCACGCTGCTCATTAATTTTGAAGAATCTTTAACCGGTCTCAGTAGAAAAAAGGGGGAAACAGAGAAAGGCAAGCCTAGTTAGCAGACTTATATGACTCGTGACTCGGACTCGAGTCCGACTCGAGCCCCATTTTTTCTTCATGAATTGGACTTGAATGACAAATGACTCGGACTCGGACTCGACCTGTGTGACTCGGGACTCGACCAAATTTACCACAAATCACCTATTTTGTCAACAATATCATTACAAATATATTTTGATTTGGGAAATCGAAACATGAACCCCAGCGTCCACATTTGATCTTGCGTAAATGCAAGCTTCATAGAGTTCGGTACCAGATTATTCCCTTCCTGACACTGGGGCCGTGCCTTATTTGACATGTTAGTCATGCATTTCCAGTTCATTAAATTAGAGAAAAGCTGTGAAAAAAATTGAAGTATTCACACTATGAATGTTGTAAGTTAGCAGTATGGCCTACCTCAAAATTGAATTCCAATATACACTGTATATTATAGGGGACTCGTGACTCGGACTCGGACTCGACATTTGTGACTCGTGACTCGGATCGGACTCGACCTGCATCACTCGGACTCGGACTCGGGAGAAGTGACTCGGACTCGGACTCGATGTTAGGTGACTCGAATACAAGTCTGCCAGATGGTCCGAGAGTGCAAACAATCTCTTCAATTACTTCAGAGAAGTTCCGATATTCCCTGGGAGTACTTTCGTGCATCTGATGTACACAAATGACCGTATTTAGCCCATATCGTATGGGTCATCCCATACGATAGAACTGCCCGGCTCCCTTCACCAGCCTACTGGCAAGCTAAGTCACAAGTGACAGTCGGTGAGTCAGCAAGTAAGTCAGTCAGGAAGTCAGATATACAAAGAGGACACTAGGTTGGCACCGTCTGTGGCCAGCAATGAATTTACTAACGATGTAACCACTGCCTACCTTCCCGTTATGTTCTTCATTGTCTTCGTAGCCAGGACTGTTGTTGGCGCCATGCCACCGTAAGAAAGGCTGCAATCCTGTACTTCATTAGTACCAGGCTTCAAGACTACTCTCATACCAGCATTGACTATGGCGATATCATCCTCGCGACGTGGAGATTGCTTGTAGCCGTAGAAGTACTCGTTCTATGTGGAGTGTAAGATCACCGGATCCTTGGTTATTGATCAAGAGTTGTAATCGAGTCTCCCATAACTCAATCGCAAGTCACATCACAAGACCATTGTCACTAGTAACGAGAGACGAGCCGTGACAGCGAATGGCCTTGTCGCTTCGCCAACTTGCCATTTGAGACTGGATTAAGATGGGATTACTCGTGACAGACCTGTGACTGACCTGTAACTGACTTGTGATTGACTTGGGAGTGATTTTACGATTGGCCTACGATTGACTTGTGATTGACTAGATTACAATTTTCATTGTTGTAAATTATTTTTTGGTTTTAGGTATCCTGCTGTTAAGATAAGATTTCGTTTTGTTTTATTATAAACAAGGACCAATTCACTGCTGCTCGTTGGTAACAATCGGAATTGCCTGTGTTTTGAGTGAATCGGGTGCACGGACTAAAACCTGTAATTTATATCACTCGAACTTGAATCGAGTGCAGGAAAACACAACGAATGTGTTAGGCGAGGAACCACACAGAGCGATCACGGACAACACTTTAATCAGGTTCAATTTTGTGTCAAGAAGGCGTTCAACTACCCGAGGTACAATGCAGAGTGATTGTTGGAAACTTTAAATTTCATCTAAGATATTGGGGAATTATGACTGGCCAACAAATATGTTGCCTGAGTTGATTCATTTTTTTAAAAGAAAATACATCATAAGTAATCAAAGATTTTAGTATATTCTTCTTTGTTTTACCTCACACGTGAAGGGGACATTGATAGCCAAGATTATCTCGTCTGTCTTGATAACATTCTTCCTATATCCGGTGAAGAAATTGCCGTCCATGCTCACAGTACGTTTACCTGATTGATGTACCAAATCAACCAACCATTTAGCGATCTTTTGATTTGATTTGATTTATTCGTAAATTCCACACAATGATGATTCGGATTTAATATCTTCTACATCATATGACATGCCCTATACCTGTTTTTACATAAAATCTGAACTAAGAAAGGTGTTTTGAAGGCATTGGTGGACATGTAATATTTATTAAGTATAAATTCATGACATATTTTTCTTCCACAAAAGAAAAGAAGAAAAGTCACAACAAATCAACCAATTTCCAAAGTCATGCGTAATTGTCAAATTGTCCATAAATTTCTCACCTGATTTTGAAACAAGTTCAATGGTACAGACGGCTGCCATAAACAACGGATTGAGGTCAGAAATAGGACTGCTTGTTGCTATGTTACCACCGATGGTCTGAAAGACATTTAAAAATCTTCCTTCATCAGTTCGAAGTGTAATAAGATCTAGCGAGCTTACATTTGCCATAGAACAGGACTTCTCTGAAAAAAAGCTATAAAAATGTGCCCCCTTCGTATCTCTGGTAGAAAATGTCCATTAATTAAAAACACACTTTCACTATCGTGGTTTCTGAGACACGATTATAACTAGCTGAAAACCAAACGTTGCTTTCCACACGAATTGCGTTCAATTTGTATCCAACTGAACGTGTACATACCAGGGAGTATGGCTTGACTGCGTTACTCTCTAAATTCCAAAAAGTGAAAATTCTCTCCATTCGAGTGAAGATTCACTCCCACAGTCGGAAACTAGGGACTAGACGTTGAAGAGTGAAATTTCTTCAATCGTTAAGATCGAGCTTCACTTGAGCTTCGATTGAAGTGGCTCTTTTTTTTTCAGACTATTTCAATCGAAAATGAGAGTGATTTTCACTCTAAAACGTCTAATCCCTAATTTCACTCTTTGGAATTTACAGAGTAACCCTTGCATAGGCTTAAGCGCAAGGAGGCTCAAGATTAGTGAAGTGTCCTTCATTTACACTGTAAATGAAGGACACTTACAGACTGGTATGTGTTTTTTACCACGAGGATGCGTGAAGTCCATTCACTCGACGTCGGAGAATAGGGTTTAATTTTACTTACCGCCACATTTCTGATCTGATGTCCAGCAAACCAGCGCAGCATCTCCACAATGGCCGCAAAGACACGCGTCTTATGCTCTGCAAGGAAATAAATGTATTCAAACTGTAGTCTCTGGTTAAATTTAACCATTCATACCAAATATTTCATTTTGGTGAACACCAACAAAGCAATGTTTTCTGGGTCTGTGTATCCGTGGAACATTGATGAAAAATCTGACATCTGAAGCATACCTGGTTCTTTCTGTATGATTTCCTTCAAGTGATCACTGACTGACGTCAGAGACACGGCGGCGCCAATTCTAACTCCAGAGGGCGTCCTCTCGACGCTAGTCAGCTCAGGGATGTGAGTGGGATCAACGAGAACAGGATAGTGTTGATTCTTAAACTTCACTTCAACACCTTCATTACATTAAAACAAAACAAATTGAGTACTGCAATCTATAAAATCACGAATAGTAAAAGAAATGTGTTGATTTTCTCATTCATATTATGATTTATAGATGCCTTTGTATTTAAGCTCCTTGAAAGCAAAGTTATTGTGTTTAGTGACTTTTTTTTTAAAGCCATCTTACTTTAGCTACCTGGGTTTTTTTTTTCATCTCAAGAAACCAACAGATGATCTACACATCTTGAGATTCAGTGCACGTTTAACCTGGTTTCTTATCTATAAGGCCCTATCAAAGGTTAGAGGTACATGTTATGGTATGTTTCCTTGAGCTTTCAAAGGAAAGATTTGTTTTACCAGTATCTTGCTGGGGTAAATAGTTGCGCGTGCGCACGAAGCGTACCCGAGTAGTGTACGTTGCATTCCTACCATAACATATGGCCGCGTCCGCATTATTTGGCAACAACCCAACCTCGTTCCCCTCGGGCAGGATCTTGCTGCGCCATGTTGTTTCACATCATGCCTTGCGCGATCTTATAGAGTCGAGGCTGGCTACAACCATAATTATCAATGTCTATGGGAAGTGACTTCAACCCATTCCATAGGCACATTAGTTCTTGCAGACTTGATTTATTTGTGGAAGAGAATGACTGTCACCAGTTTTAATACTTTAGTCACCCGGTTAAGTCCTCGGAAGGGAAATATTGAACATCATCACTAACCAACTTCCGAGTTGCCAGCAACGATTTTCGCCTTTGGATTGGTAGCCTTCAGTTCCAGCAGCTGCTGCAGTGTGACGGGACGAAACCAGGCCACCCGAACCCCAACAAACGTCCGGGGTCTGGAGTCCATCTCGTACAAATTGATCTAGAGAATTAGCATGATGTTCATCATTATTTTCAGCAAACCAACACATTTCCTCGGAAAATTGCAGCTTTTAATGACACCTGTTTTTTTCCTCAGTAATCACGGTCTTTTCCTTCGTTTTCTCCGAAGACAGCAATAAATTAAACAGTGCGGCACCAAAGGCACTGGTCAACACACATTGAGTTATTTCATGGACAATCCTTTTACGACATTCAACTGAAATTTGGTATTTTCAAAACTGATACTTCCTAACTTACCATGAGCTCGGGAGGGAAGATGGGTTCTTGGGAAGGGTCAAAGGGCATGAACTTGCTTGCATCAAACAGTGTTGTCAATACCTATTTAAAAACCGGAAATTTTTTTTTTCTATTTACTCTCATCTTTTCCTTGACTTCGCGCTATTTCTTGAGAACCATGTCCAAGCTTTTACTGCTAACATCAGATACACAAAATTATCCTATGTATTGTGTGCAACTTGGAACATTTTTTGCAGACCAAAGTGTTTCATTTTGAACAGCTTATACATTCTTTTTCAGAACTCATTGATCCAATCACTGTTACAATGATTGTGTTTTATTAAACTGTATAAATGTAGGTCTACTATTCAAATGAGAGAATTAAAGACGATCCTTGAACTCATAAGCTTCACATACTTCGAAGTTAAGTTCTAGAACTGAAAACAAAAATATATAAAACATCCTGTTGATACTTACACCTTCCTCTTGTACACTGATGCCATTGGGAATGTTCTTACAACATGTAGTGTTGGTTCCTCCACAGCATCCATCCTATATTTAAGGGAAAAAAATGAACGTTTTTGCAATGATTCTATATAGCATTCACCATGGTCCTCTTGCGCACATCCGCATTCTACCTGATCTTAAGGTTTTAAAATTCTCTTTCCATTTTTCAGGACGTAGTGCCCCTTTAAAGATAAATTCGTTATCAAGCCTGCGCTCGTGGAACACGGAAACTGTAGTGCGTCTGTGTCCCACATACCACTCGGCCTTCGGCCTCGTGGTGTGTGGAAAAACTAATAGTGCGTGCGGTACGTACGGTGTGATACGCTTGTATCGTTGGTACCCACGCTATTTTTACTGTGTTTTCACACATGAGTGGGAGCAGCGAACTAGCAGACGATCAGCTGTTTCGAGCACGTGACATGCATGTGAGTTGCTGTTAGGTTGTCATGATTGTTGTGTTAAGTGCCGTTTGTTTCGGGATTTTTACATCAAAATACATTGAAAGAATCCAAGACAGCGGTAAAACAAAACAATTGTTGACTGCTGTGATTTGGGATATGACGTTTTGAACACCCTCGGGGCGCATAGCACCATAGCTGCGCCTCGGGTAATATGCGCCCCTCGCGGGTTCAAAACGTCATATCCCGCATCAAAGCAGTCATTTGTTACATACATGTAGTAGTTAAGCAGCAACCTGCTATCATTATTTTCATTAGCTTTCAATACGGCAGCTTCTGTACACAAAATAATGTGCATGGAAACCATTCAGAACGTAAGGCTCTTTGGTGTCGAGAGTTTCAATTTTCAAGAGGATACTTCTTACTTTTCAGGCATTATAGGCAATTTTCTTCATTTATAGTGAATGAGGGCTTCTCGATATTTATGGTTAGCAATCAGTCGCACGACGAGGTGACGTATCATGTTCACGAAGTCCATAGACGATACGTCACCTCGTGGTGCACCCGTTATAATAAGAGTTAGTTCTACTATTTAAAGTTATCCAAGCAAACAGATGAAAAGACAGGTTTTAATAGAAAAAAAAGGAGCAAACCTTGGTGAATGTCTTGTAGCCTTGTAAGATGGGTCTGTAGCCCGTACAACGACACAGATTGCCCTCAAAAGCGCTCTCAATCTCCTCCATAGTAGGTTGTAATATGTTTCTCAGCAGAGTGTACATTGACATGACAATACCAGGAGTACAGAAACCACATTGGGAACCGTGGGCCTTGGCAAGGCGCTCCTAAAGGAAGGACAGTTTACGTTAAACGTACAACGTGTTTGGTGTCTTAATTCTGGTTCTATTGGTTTATATTCTTGGTGTGATCTTTAGTCTTTGCTTCGTCTAGTTTTGGATTCAAGTGTTTTCTCTTACGGTTCCTAACTTCAAAGTTTGGTGTTTGGCTTTGGCCTTCTCTGTTTAGTTTTTGGCAGTTGGTCATTGGTTTTGGTCAGAAGATCGTTTAGATCTTAGACATGGGCATTATGTCTAAATGTGTCCTAGTTCCTGGTTCCTGAGTTATGGGTCCTGTGCTCAGTGTCCAGGCTTACTGGGTCTGGGTCCAAGATCCTGGGTGACTGGGTCCTGGGTGACTGAATCCTGGGTCCAAGGTCCTGGTTCTTGGGTGAATTGGCCTTGGATCTTGGTTCCTGGTTCCTAGATCCTGGGTCCTGGGGCCTAGGTTCAGAGTCCAGGACTAGGTACTGGATCCTTGGTCCAGGGTGACTTGGTCCTGGGTGATGGGTCCTGGGTGCTTGGTCCTAGATCCTGAATCCTAATTGGTCCTAGGGTGTAGGTCCCCGGTCTTTGGGTATATGCCAAGGATTTTTGGAAATCGTTCTTGGGTCCTAGATCCTTGGCACTAAGTTCTGGGACCTGGGTCCGTGACCCTTAAGCCTGTGTCCTCGGTCCTGGGTCCTACCTCCTGGCTGAAGGTCCTTGGCCCATATTCCTTGTTCCTGGGTCAATCGATCCTTAATCACGGCTGCTATGTTCCAGGTCTAGATTTAATGGGTCAAGGGTCCTTCGTCCTGAATCTTAGGTCATATGTCTTAGGTTCCGGGTCCAGCGCCCCTGAACTTGTGAATCATGGGTCAAAGGTCCTGGGTCAAATATTCCTTGCCCTTGTTCCTAATCCCTTTGTCCTACGCATTTAGTCCTGTGTTTTGTGTCCTGTGTTTTGGATCCTTGAACCTGGACCTTGATCCTGGGTCCTTTGCCCTTGATTCTGGGTCTATAGTCATACAACTTGGTCGAGAGTCCTTCACCATTGTTCCCTTGACCCTTGTCCTAAGTTGTTGGTCCTACCTCCTGTGTCCATGGTCTCAGGTCTTGGGTCTTAGACTGAGCCTCTAGGGTTGTGGGTCTTTGGTAACTATACAAGTTCCTGAGTCCTGGGTCTTGGGTCCTTGGTCTGTTGATATGTTCCGTGGTCCTTGGTCGTTCGTCCTTAGCTCTTGGTCCAGGTTTTGTCGTGGGTCCTGGGTGATAGGTGAAGGCCCTTGTCTTGGGTTCTGGGTCTTGGGTTCTGGGACCTTGGTCCTTGTTCATATGTCTCTTGTCCTGGGTGCTGGGTTCTTTGCCCTTGATCCTGAGTCTCGGGTCAAAGGTCTTGGGTCCTGGAGCAAAGGTCAATGCACCGAGTTTTTGTGTGTTTTGGTGCCAGAGTTACTTGGCAAAGGATCCTTGGTCCTGGCTCCCGGATCCTTGGCCCTTGATCCTGTATCCTGAGTGCTACCTCCTGGGTGAAGGCTCCTTGGCCGTTGTCCCCGGTTCCTGGGACCCAGGTTGTTGGTTGTGGCTACAGGCTTCTTGGTCATTTGTGACTGAGTCCCTGGTCCAGTGTCTGTGTAAGGGTACTATGCCAGTGGTCTTTGGTCCTGGTTTCTTGAGTTCTGGGTTTTAGGTTCAATGTGTTTCTGGCTTTGATCCTAGGTCCTCTGTCCGAAGTCGTTTGACCTTGGTTCTTGGTCAAAGAGTTTTGTCCTGGGTTGTATGCATTGGTCCGTGGTCTTAGGTCCTGGTTCATTGTTTTTGGGTCCTTGGTCCTGGGTCCTGGGTTCTGCGTTCTGGGTCCTGGTTCCTAGATCATGGGTTTGGTACCCGCTCCTGGGTCCAGGTTCTTGGCAATTGGGTGGTGTGTCCTATGTCTTGAGTCCTTTGTCTCTGGTTTAGGGTCATTGCATTGAGTCCCTGGTCTTAGGTCTTGAGTCTTTGGTGTTTTGAACTAGATCTTCGGACAGGCAACATAGTCTCGATCCCTAGAACCAAAACAGCGGTCTTATTTTTCTTGATCAAGGCATTTCAGTGTGATCAATGTCATCTGCTAAAGCTAAAACTAAATGTCTTGATACTGCTGTTTCGTTGAACAGACGTGTTTAGTGTTGCTACCAGGCATACTTATAAAAAAAATCAAAAACATAGCTTTTAGGAATGTTTTGGCACATCCCTTCAAAACACAATAAAAATCCTTGCATATTATCAAATCCAGTACGTAATATTTGTATTCGTGATCTTCAACTCAAACTATTTAGGACACTACTCGGCCGCGGAACATACCTGTACTGGATGGAGTCTGGTCGTGGTGCTGCCGATCCCTTCCACAGTTGTGACGGCCATACCGTGCACAGAACAGATGGGGGTCAGGCAGGCATTCACTGCAATGTGACTATCAAAAAAACCCATACAAATCTATATCTGAAATGTAATAAAACTGTGCCACAATCGTCGTTTAAAATGCTGTAAATAACAGTTAATGACCCCGAAACGAAACGATCCTGCATTGTGCCATATAGGTACTTAATGCTTTTGGTCCAAATGGTACGGTCTACCTACTTACGTGTACATCTGCCTGATGGGGTAACCAAGTGCACAGAGTAACAATAGGGACAACCGACCCCACAAGTCAGTCTTTAGAAATCTAGGTTCCCTTCTCTAGAGAAACCCGAGCCACGAAGTTGGAGAATTTAATAGTAACAGAGGAACAAAAAGAGTAAAAGGCCTTCCCTACAGGTATGTTCTGAAGGCTATGTCCGACGGTATGTGGGTGCGAACCCTTCAATTCAATTCAATATAACATTTATTTATATACAACCATAAACAAAATACAATTCATATAGCATGTACAATAAAGGAAAATAAATATAAATTGTGTCTTGGAAAAACAAATAATTAAAATTGTAAATGAAAAAGCAATTAATTCAAGCCATAATAAGCCTAAGCTTGTCAATGGCAGGTTGGAACATTGGGCTTGTGTTCTTGGGCAAGACACTTAACTACCATGGCCTATAAAAATTAGAGTATAAAATGGTACCATTGGAGATAGAAAGCAGACTCGCTAGCTGCCAAAACAGAAAAAATTGATGCCATGTCCTCATAATGGTGACCAAGCTAAGGTTGATAAAATGTAAAGCGCTCTGAGAAATTGGGTATGAAGCCATATAAGCAATGCATCATCACTATCAATTAGACAAACCGCGCACATTATTATATTGCAGTTTACATTCGACGAATCTATGAAACAGAGCCCTTTTGATGATTATTGACTTACATGATGAAACTGTACAGGGTGAGTCAAAAAAAAAACGAAACCCAAATGTTGGGACCATTGTTTTAGTGAAGTTCTGCATGTAGCGCTTTCAAAATCTGAGATATGAAAGCCCCATTTATAAGCTTTCTTTTAGTACAAAATTAATTCAAATCACTTTGAAACAATGAAAGAATTTTAAACACAACCACCGTTTTAAGGTTCTGTCCACGGATCACAAAAAGTTCAGTGTTCTTTCAGCAAAACGAAAACAAATCACATAGGGATGTGTGTGAATTGTTTTCGTTTTGCTGAAAGAACGCACACCTTTTGTATGATAAGTGGACAGAACTTTAAAACGGTGGTTTGTGTTTAAAATTACGTAACTTGAAAAGTACATGAGTGATTTGAATGATTTTTGTACTAAAAGAAAGCTTATGGATTGGGCTTTTATATCCTAGATTTTGTAAGTGCTACATGCAGAACTTCAATAGAACAATAGTTCCGATATTTGGGTTTCGGGTTTTTTTAATCACTCTGTACTTGAACACATCCAAACAAAAATCTCTCACCTGATAGTTTTGTCCTTGGATGAGTATTTGGACACCATGACGGTACATGCCCCACAACCTCCTTCCCCACATCCTAGCTTACTACCAGTCAGGCGTACTTAATTCTATGTGTTAAGGACACTGCAATAGCTCTCGTCATTTCAACTTACAGTTCTCGTCATTTCAACTTACAGTTTCCAACTTATTAAGCTATAGTATTGCTGGGTCCACATAAGATCGATTTGCATTCAATCGTTGACTCGTAACAAGAGGAAAATAGCGTCCACGATAGGATGAACGTCAACGGTTGGAGGTCGTGTACGATTTGTTGGTCCGTCAAACTTTGTTTGTTTTTGTTGTTTTTTAATGTGCGGTTTGAGGAGAATAAGCTCAAAACATCTTAGATTCACTCAAACAAAGACATGCATCTTTAATGATTCCCGAGGATTAGGTTCTTTTTTGAGATCACTTCCTTCTTTCACTTTTCTTCTTACGGATTCACTTTTCGTAGTATATAGCAAACGATACGGTCGATACTTTTGTTTATTTCATTTTGATGGATTTTTTTCAAGTCCCTTTTTAATAGTATTTTGACCATTAACAACGGCGCCTCAGTTTTCCGTTCGTGATCTTCAAACTCGCCTAAACCTTGAATTCGATTAGGAGAGTACGTAAGCGTCTCGACGCACACGTAATATAGTTGCAGACCACTTTAGTGGTCATGTTTACAAAATGTTTATCAGAAAAGCGTACAACTATTTGCAGTCTTGTTCAAAGGATACATTTGGTGCGGAGGTATGTCAGCAACGTCAGTGCAGGATCAACGTCAGGATCCAAGACCTGGAAATATGTTTACTCGATATGAGTGGGGCAGGGTTTGAACCTGCGTCCTCCGGATTGCCGTTCCGGTGCTCTACCAACTGAGCTACCCAGCCCTATATAAACCCGTGTATACCATGTAGCCAAGGATCACGCCCAAAGTCACGCTGTTATAGCAACATTAGCAACATGTGAAATAGAAAAAGGGGCTCAGTCAGAGAGGATAAGACATTGACAAAATGGGGAATCGCCAACATACTCTCTAAATTCCAAAGAGTGAAAAATTCACTCCATTCGAGCGAAAATTCACTCCCACAGTCGGAAACTAGGGACTAGACGTTTTAGAGTGAAATTTCTTTCATCGTATAAAGATCGAGTTTTTACTCGAGCTTCAACCGAAGAGGTTCTTTTTCTGACTATTTCAATCGAAAATGAGAGTGATTTTCACTCTAAAACGTCTAGTCCCTAATTTCACTCTTTGGAATTTAGAGAGTAGGGCTGGATAGTTCAGTTGGCAGAGCACCGGAACGGCAATCCGGAGGACCCAGGTTCAAACCCTGCTCCACTCATATCGAGTAAACATATTTCCAGGTCCTTGATCCTGACGATATGAGTGGAGCAGGGTTTGAACCTGCGTCCTCTGGATTGCCGTTCCGGTGCTCTGCCAACTGAACTATCCAGCCCTATGTTCGCGGTTCCCCATTTTGTCAATGTCTTATCCTGTCTGTCTGAGCCCCTTTTTCTATTTCACATGTTGCTAATGTTGCTAAAAGCCTGACTTTGGGCGTGATCCCTGGCTACATGGTATACACGGGTTTGTGACTAGCGCCCCTGTAACAAGGGCATAGTCAATATGGGAAACCGCCATCACAGGGCTAGATAGCTCAGTTGGTAGAGCACCGAAACGGCAATCAGGAGGTGACAGGTTCAGACCCCGCTCAGACTCCGCTCAACTTTGTTTCTTCGATCAACTTTTAAAAATTATTGTAATGCACACAGTATAGTTAATTTCTCTGTGCGGTTTACTAGATAATTTACTTAGTTACAGGTAGCATCCAAGGGTCATGCAGTAGACTTTTAATTGGAATTGTTTGTTCAGGGATTACTAATGTGATGGAGCAACAGTTATAAGAGTTTGGTTTACAACTGGTTAGGGGCCTTGTCATCGATAATTATTGGCAACTAATTCATGCAAAAGAATACTTGTTAATTGATGCACATCTTGTACATTGGGTATTTGTTTTCCGATTACGCATCTGACAGCTTATGAGCTATTTTCAATTAGCTACGTTTTGGGGTACATATTTGTACAGAAAAGTCGTCAGTGCTTGGCCCTGACATCACGGCTTTAAAAATCGTGTTAAAATACTCTTTTGACGAAAAACAAACTTTATCAAAAATCGTGCCGAATATTATACTACACGAATGAGGAATGGATAGTTTCCAAAAAGCAAGTTTATTATAAAATCTATAAAATGGCTCCTTCATTAATATCGACACATGGTACCTGCCCCTCTCCCCCCCACCCGTATATTTGATATTACGGAGCCAAAGTGTCCGAAGAAAAAAAAAAGTGTCTACATTTCAGCACGGACGGACAGGCACGTGCCTTTGGCAAGGAATCCCCCCTCCCCAATAAAAATGGCCTTGCTACGCTCCTGCACGACGCAAAGCCTTCGCAACCGTAAGGCTGTAATAAGCGGTAGTGGTGGCGAATGGCCAAAATGTACAAGCTAGGCCGGGTCGAATTCCAATAAAGTCTCGTATAAGGTTAAACCACTTGAAAAGTCATAGGTTATTAATTAAATGAACATTAGGCCTAAATCGTAAAAAAATCTTCCAATGAAGAAACAGTTTATAGGGATTACCTTAGTACCGTTGCAATAAAACAGGAGTGTATCACTGTCAGTTTTCACTGCCAGGTTGTCCATTATTGTATCAGTCGTCAAAGAGGTCAAAGCACGAAGCACACGAACCATCGGTACCGATGGTTTGTGTGTAAACCAGAATGAGCCAATAAGAAAACAGCGCCGATGGCCTGTGCACCGACAGATAGAGCATACAATCACCGGCGGCCGTCGCCGGGCCCAGTGCCTTTGCACAATAGCCAAATTGCACAGTATTTGGTCAAAGGGCTGCTGTGTAACCACTCTTTGACCATCACCCTTTGGTCAAGGTCAAAGACTCAATGGCAGATAAGAGTTTTGGTAGTTGTGGCCATCAGATTATTAAGTTAAGTTTCCCCTGTAGGTTAGATAGTACATGTCGTTGACCATTAGTTTTTAAAGTGATGTTTCTCCTGAAGTTTGATAGTATTGGCCATACTGATTTAAAACGTTATTATTGAGGAAACTGACCTTACCTATTTCTTTTACATTGTTTGTTTATTATGATGTTTGAATAAACACTTTCACATATTTTGGCAAAGTGATCAGACGTACTCACAACAGTCTTCTCTTTTTGTTTGCCCAATAGAAATAACGTTACCACATGACAGCTGGGTAACATATCAATGAGTCAAAAATATACAAGTACGTACTGTATAAAGAGTGTGCGTTTTGGGGGGTGTCGAAACGTTACACTTAGGACTCCTGGATGTATGCCTGCTGTGTGGATGTCCTTATTGGATGTCCTTATTGTGTGCCACCATGTGGATCTAAAGTGGCGTCTGTGAAGTATTTCAAGGGTATATATATTTGATATGGCTCTTAAGCACCTTGAAGAGTTCTGAGCATTGTTTCTTTTTGGAAGAGGGGGGGGGGGGTGTTCATCATTGGTGTTTACCACCCAGTTTGACGCGAGGTCGAATTAGCGCTGGGCAGGTTACGGATGAGCGACCCGGTACTCGTGATCAGTGACCCATGATTTAAATCAAGGTTGATGACCAGGCTCCTTTTTTTATACTGCTGGATGAGTTGTTTCCAGATGTCGTTCATTTGGAATCCGATTTTTTTCAGAACTAATTCTTCGAAGAAAAGATAACTTTCAATATGGTGTGTTACCCAAGGGCGGATCAAAAGTGTGGGGGGGGGGGGCGGCGGTGCCAACCGGGGGCCATGTCCCTTCGCTCCCCCCCCCCTAAAAAGTGACGTACGTCGCAATAAAGGTAGGCATTGCATACACCACAATCTTTTCCTCAAAACTCTGTGAGACCAATTTTTGCCCCCCCCCCCCCATTTGTGTTTTGCATCCGCTCTTGTAGTACCCGCAATCTTGATATACTTTAATTACGTATTTGTCTGCTGATCGGCAACACTCGAACCAGGCGTAGCCAGCTGGGAAAGGGGGTATCTGACATGTTGTGCGATAGTGAATGGTCGTAAGATTTCATCTTTCGAAGGGGGCGCTGTCTCAAAACCGACGATTATGCACACAAACGGCCAACATATGGTGCTTTTCAGGGCGATACATATGCGAAATTCAGTAAAAGGCACCCAAAACGGTAAATGCCACAAAAAGGGCACCACTTCTTCTTTTTTTAACTGTCACTTGTTCCGAAAAAAAGGCCACTTCTTAAACAAAAGGGCACTCTTTACAAATTATTTGGGGGGGGGGGGTAAGCCCGTTGAAAAAAGGGTATTTGAATGGAGAAAGGCATGAAACACAAAGTATCTGACCCCTAAAGCACAAGTCAATTCGAGCTAAAATATTCGTTAAGGGTTGTCGGAACATAGGGCTGTCTGAATTTAAATGGCATTTAAAATTTTTAAAAAGGCATTGGTGCATCAACTTATTGACATTTATATGGGACAATTTTATACTGTCGGGAAACAGAAAGATCATCCAAAGATGTTGATTATTTGATTATAGTAATTTACTTCAGAAAGGCAACTTTTCGGACTGTCGGGCATGAAGGTATACTTAAAAAGCGGCCGTCTGTCATTGTAAAATTACATTTGTATTAAGTACTGGGAAGAAGATGAGAAAAACAACCAAGCCCACAAAAAAAAACGGTTTTAGGGAATCTTGGATGAACGTGTCCTTCCCCTCATGCATCGATAAGCATTTGAAAGCCCATTGAATTTGAGCGGCGGGGCGATAAATACCAGTCAACCTTATGACTTAGACATGATCTAGTGGTCTATTTACCAACGGGCCATGACGGGGGAGGTTAGGGGGATGGTTTACAGAAACGGACCAATCAGCCACTTGTGGGCCTTTCATAAAATCTTTGCTGGCCAATCAGACAATGTGTCTGTACCACCTCTTCGTGATGTGAAAGATGAGGCCAGCATTGGCACCAGTTAATATCACAGGGAGGCAAGGACACAGGGCAGTATATGGGATAAGGCCGTTATAAGGCGGCTTGGATTTTCATTTCTTAATAGTTACTTAGGATATCAAATCGGATATTTACGACTGATCTATGCTGACGGATGAAAGTGTCAAACAGGGGAGATGGCTTTGCATCCCAGGTCTCCACTACTGCTCTTCCAGATCATTTTGTTTCTCTCTGCAGTTTTCGCAGGTAAAGTAATTTTTTCAGTACTTTTCCAGTAGTTCTTAGATATGGTAACGGTGATAAGCAGCTGTCACTTGTATGTTTATTGCCAATCACTAGCACGTGTGGTCTAGCGGTGGAGCACAGGCAGCATATTAGTCTGGCCCAATCGCTAAAGAAAGAGAGATGGGCACTCCGTTCCCTGTAAACATAGATTCGGCATCTTACTTTCGCGTTAATTTCTTCTTCTTTTTATTTATTCATTTCTGGTAATGTAACCAAAAATTCCTCAAAAGCGCCATATATGGGCACTGTATAGATCGCAAGCCTGAAGTAACATGTAGAAAGAAGATAGTGAAAAAGAATGACAGTTTCAGAGGTGGGAGGTAAAATCCCATAAGAATATTTTGGGGAGAACCCACGGAATCAGGTAAGGTATTACACATTTGTGTGTTGGGGGGTGTTAGGCCTAAGGAATGTGGAATGTCCCAAGCAAAACAAGAAGACTATACACTACAAAAACTGTGTTTGAAAATTAAACACTTTTCTAAAAACTTTCTTGCTATCAGTTTGTAAACATGTTTGAGTATAGGTTTTTAAAAACATTATTCGTTCGAATTTACCGATTCGTTTAATGAAATTCTGTCGTCCTGCAGCAACATAACTTTAATGAACTTCCAATGCTTAATTTTGTCTTTTGTCAGACAATTTCAAATTTAGTTTTCGACTCTGAGTATCCGATTTTGTCTCGTACCGTCTACGCCGAACCCTGTCATTCAGAAATCGAATTCTTGTAAATGGTTTATATAAGACGAATTCTGATCTCTGAATGCTACCATCCGGCAACAGCTTAGACGAATTTGATCTGAAATGACGAATATTCTCGACCCGTTGACTATAGAGGGTGACAATAGATTATAATTGAATGCTGAATGACTAAATTGGTTTAGTTAAAAGCTTGTACATTTTTGTGGACGAAATTAAATGAGAGTTGGTGAATTTGAATGAAAAATCGTTTAAAATAGCTGTGAAAACCTATACTAAACATGTTTAGCGTAAGGGTGGATAGTAATAATATACATTAAACATAAATGTTTAGAAATTGAACACATAAGGTTTAGCTTCTTAACATGTTTTCAAAGTGATAGCAAGATTGTGCTTCATTGCTAAACACAGTTTTACACCCAAACTTTCCTCTTCACGTAGCCTTGATTCGCTTCTTTGTTGATGAGACTCAAACGTATTCAATTAAACAGTTACTATCTCAATATTAATATTGCTTAAATAATGTTTCGCATTAAGGAAAAGGGTTTCTCATTCTAAATTAGATGATTCAGCTTGATGTTAAATTAGTTGGGGGAATTATGGCTGTCTTGTACTTCTCTCTATTATTTCTGCTTCTTTAGTTGTTTTTCCTTAGGAGGAGAACGAACTATTGTTGCTTGCCTTGTCAAATATTATTTTCACAAACATTATTTGTCACAAATAATACTATTTTTTTCCAACAGCTTAAGAAGGACTGTTGGGAACGGCGAACTGATTAGAGGGCCGATTTTCCACATGTCGCACAAGACTATAAAGATGCGCGCATTTAACTTTTCCCCCAGATATTATCCAGTATTCTTGCCAAACCTCAATATCGATGAGCTTCGAATTCACAAAGTTAATTACAGGCACAGTTAACCTTATACAAAAATATGTGAATATTCGTGTTAACTATGATAACATCATCGTAAGCTCAGAAAACAAAAACAAAGGGGGGGAGGGAGGATGTGTCCGTAAATGGACTGGAGTTTTAGGCGAATTATTTTTCTTGGCAAACTATCTTAATATCATTTTTACGTGAGTTTCCATTTCGTTTTTTAGGGTAACTACAGGCCAGTAAGTATTTGTTAATTTGAATCTCATCAAAACCGAGGTTTGGCAAGACTGCTTGATGATATCTGGCGAACGGGTAAATGCATGCACTTTTAGCACTTTTAAGGTCTAATGGTAGCCATTTTGGATCTTTCAGACGTCCTCATAGTTATCCAGTCACTTGTATGCTTTAGACAATTTTATTTAACCCTAAAAGGGTCGTTGGGATCTCCCCCCCCCCTCAACTTTTTCCGCGATACCCTTACAAAAAAAATCCCGACTCCAGCTTTCCTGACTTTTTAGCCTCGAGTCTTGCTCATCTTTTGATAAAAAAAAACTAATAAATTTCCCCATATTATGTAGCGTACACAAAGCACAATTACCAATTTGTGCATATGAATAATGATAAGCCATAATTTCAAAACCCTTTAACCTATATAGTGATGAAATTCCTTGGGTATGTTCAAACCAAGTTTCATAACTTTTCGTCACTCGATGGCCGAGATCAGGAGCCCCCCCCCCCCACCACCACTGTGAGATGGTCAAAAAATAACCCGTCCCCTTTAGGGTTAAGGACCCTTTGCATGGTGCGCCCTTATGGAAAAAATGTTTTTCAACTTCAGTGACAATGAAAGCACAATTTGTCTTGAACACGTGACACAGAACAAATACCTGTCCTTCCATGGACTTTGATAGAGATTACTATAATGGCTTCCGTTTTCACGGATTACCATTATGCCGAGTCGGGCATATTACAGATAATCGGCTCAACCAGGCAAAACAACCCTGATAGGTTGCCTAATGGCACGGATCCCAACGCCTTTGTGCTTCTGTCACGGCAAGGCCATCATATTTTGGTCACGCATAATTCCTCCATTCATAGAGTAAGTGACCCGCATGACTGCACAGCCTTTGTGTGGTAGCGCGGGACAGCCTAGAGCAGCGGCTGTGGAACTTTCCCTTAGCCGTGTGCAAAGGCATACCGCTGCTGGCAACTGCATTCTAGTGAGGATTAGCGGCCACGTTTATAGCCGCACCCCGGCTTTAAGGGGTAAAAATTGGATGATTGAATCAGCAAAATCTGTCCCAATGTGAAGGCAACATGCCCAGCCCAGTGAATTGGCATATCCTATCGATGAAATAGAACTGTGTACTCTGTGTCCAGCTTTATTTTGCTTGTCTTGTCTTTTGTTTAATTATTGTTGAACGCGACCCTGGACCGCCAGTTTGAAACGGACATTGATTGTTGAATTATATTTGACACATGGCGTGATCAGCAGGGGGTGTGAGGGGGTATCCCCCCCCCCCCACACACACACATTTTTTTAAAGAGTGGCATCGTGTGCACATGTGGCCTTTTATTCCTATAGCTGTTAACCCCCCCCCCCCCCCTCAAAGTTCCCTTTTTTTGCACACAAGTGCCCTTTTTTCACCTTTTATGCGATCTCGCGCCTCAGCCCATCGGAGTCGACCTTCCTTAATCGTGACTTCTTTTTATTCCCAAATCAGGACTAAAACTGTGATTGGTCAATTCGAAAGCAGTGTTTTGTAATACAACAGCCGGGCGCGTATTCGGTAACTTTTTTTGATCCATGTCTATGACACGACAACGGGTGAATGACTGAAGACCCGGTATAGTAAGCGCCCGCTGATTCGTAAAAATCTAGAGGTCAAGCTGTTTTTGTTTTGCATAATTTATCAGCGAATCTGCTCGACTGTTACAGACCATGGCTTTCTCCATGATCTATTACATTGACTAGTCTATGACGCGGCAACGGGTGAATGACCGAAGACCGGATATAGAAAGCTCCCGCTGATTGGTCAAAATCTAGAGGTCAAGATGCGGTTGTCTTGCCTAACTTATCAGTTAAAGACCATGGCTTTCGCATGGTCTATTACATACACTTCCTCCCCCCCCCCCCATCACCCACCCCAAAATGACCTTGCTACCCCAGTAATATACGTATACATGTACTTTGATTCTCCAGGAAGTTGTTGCCCATCCGCAGCAGGCTGGCAACGAGAGGGAGATTTCTGCTTCAAAATAGTCAATTTTAATAGTCAAGGTCAGAGAGTGAATTGGGCAACGGCCTTGGGCGACTGTCGTGACGACGGTGGTCAACTAGCCAGCATACACAGTGCACAGCAACAATACTATTTACACGGTATTATATGGTTCTAATAGAGTTTAAACACTTTTGGTACACTGCAAAAACTGTTTTTAGCAATTAAACGCTTTTCTAAACGCTTTCTTGCTATCAGTTTGTAAACATGTTTAAATACCAAACATGTTTAGAGGGAGGATGGATAGTGTTTATCAATTGAACATTGATGTTTAGGAATTGAACACATTATGTTTAGCTTCTAAACATGTTTACAAAGTGATAGGAAAATTGTGTTTAATTGCTAAACACACTTTTTGGGGTGTACCCATTTTTTTCTTCACAGATCACGTGTAACACGGTAAGGATTTTTTCACAGTATGAAGGATTGTTAGTGCCATCAATAATAAAAATAACCTATAAAAACAAAAGTGAAATTAATATTTCTAATTGCGTTTTACCGATTTTTTGACATTTGACTTCAACCCGACGTCATTTTTACTTACTTTTACACTAGGCTTCTGTACGATGCCTAGGCTTTTGTACGATCACATCCATAAACCTAAATATGTCGTAGATACAAACATGTAAAAAAAAAAGGGTTCAATTAAGTGTTTTAATGTTGTGTTTAAACTCAAAAGACACTCTTCTCTTTCACATTGTACACTAAAAATAGATTAGTTTGTTAAATTTATGAATTTTACCATTCTCAGTGTGGCTGATCGGCTGTTTACCAAGTTGACAACTTTCGAATGATACTAATATACAAACAAAAATTTGAACCTTGAACCACATTGAGTTACTTGGAACCCATGTCTGCCTGTCTTTCTCTGTACTTTTTATTTCTGTACATTCTCCGAAATGCTTTTGTATTTTAATTTTCTATATCTTAATTCTTTCTTCTTTTGGGGGGTATTTTACCATCAGAAAACCTTGTTGACACTTATGAGTACTGGATTGGGCTGAATGACCAAGATGACGAAGGTACCTATATGTGGGTCGATGGAACCGACACGGTTAGTTTATCAAATGGATAAATGGGTTAACATATACATTGTACGAGTGTACTTATGCATAACGCTATTGCTATGGCCACCCCAACCCAACCCACCCCTGCCCCTGCACCTACCTCCACCCCAACCCCAGAACCAACTATATTTCACAGAAGGAATCGATCTTCAAATGGTGGCATAACCAATCAGAAAAATCAAAGCACATTATTAATTTACCCGAATAACAGTGTTTTTATTATTTACACCGCTGCAAAAAAAAATGCTGTGACCAGTTCATAAGTAGAACCTGACAAGTATTACATAGTTACGTTACAAACCTAGTGTGGACATTCCTTTGTTTTCGTGTAGTTTTTTAAAAAAACCTGTCAGAAAAGCTCATTTTACTCACAATGTGAAAACTCTTTCAATAATAATAATACAAATTATTTATATAGCGCTATTATATTCAACCCAATTTTTTTACTGTGATTCCCTTGAGTGTTTCTTTTCATTTTGCGACGGATAAACCTAACCCCCAAAAATGCCTCTAAACGTGTTTTCCAGAGAGGGGGAACCTTGTGTGGACGTATTTTGGGCAAGTCCACACAACGTCACTGCTACAGTGTTTGTGTGGACATCTTTTTTGAGAGGTCCTCATACAAACTGCGTCCCTAGTGAGTCAAATGACCAATGGCGTCGCGGGGAGGGGGGGGGGCAAGTGGGGTGCTTGCCCCCTCTCCCACTCCCCACCCCCCCCCCCCGGCCAAAAAAAAAAGAGAAAAAAGGGGGAAAAGAGGCGCAAAGTCATATTGCTGTTGATAAAATGGGTTCGGGAGGGGGGCAAATGCCCCTGACCACCCTCGTAAAATGGTAAATCGAGAATATGCTAAAGAAGTACAGGGATTTCGGAGAAATGAGCTTTGCCCCCCTCAAGAAACAATCCTGGCGACGCCAATGCAGATGACCCACTTTGGGGTTTTCTGTTTAGCAGATGGACAAAAGCGTCTGTCTTTACATTTTGAAAAACAATCAAATATCAAGCCATTTGGGTTTTATAGTGTGTTTTTTTCCCTACATGAAATGTAGAACGTGTTTTTCTGGAATGAGAATAAAAGTCCAGCTGAGCCAGATGGGGGCAATGGAGAAGACTGTGTCTTTATATCTAATGATGAAGGAAATTTGCAGACTGATATGGACAACGCTTGGGGAGATAGAAACTGCAATGTCAAGATGAACTACATCTGCGGTGAACGTAAGTCAGTTTGCATCGTGTTGCTGCAGTGTTACCAAACTGTAACATAGTCCGCTAGGCCAGCTGAAGGAGAGAAAACCCTTTACTCGTACATTTTGCTGAGTTAACTAAACTATCATCGTTTCGAAGCAGGGTCCCTGTGAATTGTTAAATTCTGCCACTTTCAGAAACACTTTTTTGCGGGTTATTTCTGACCAGTTTGCAGACACACTGGTTATGCTGATTCTGTGCTCACTGGAATTCACCATGAGCTTACATTATCCCGAGACGCAAATATCAAGTGCATAACTTGGCAAAACAGTAACACTGATAGGCCTGTTACAACTGATAATGTAGTAACCAACGGATAATGTATCACCAACCGATAATGTCACACAAATTGGCCGATACTGTATCACTAACCGATAATGTAACAGAAATTGACCGATTGTGTAGTAAATGTTACTACACTATCGGTCAATATTTTTTTACATTATCAGTTAAGACCGATAATGTAACAACAATCGACTGACGTAGTACATTTTTACTACACTATCGGTCAATTTCTGTTACATTATCGGTTAGTGATACAGTATCGGTCAATTTGTGTGACATTATCGGTTGGTGCACCGCACGGTGGTTGGTGATACATTATCCGTTGGTTACTACATTATCAGTTGTAACATAGGCCTATGTTGTTTCTTTGTTTTCGAATACCGTAGTTTTGATGTGGTTTTGTTAATCCCACAGCGGCTTACGTGCTCGTGCCTGATGTTGAGAATCAATGTGTTGATGCTGGCCAAGCATCCGTTTCACTGAACTGGATGGAGGTTACCGCCGTGGACAAGGAGATGGCAACTGTGGACGGTCCCATCACTTGTGCGGACTCAGGAGGCGGAACCAGCATCACCCTCATGGGTGGAGACTTTGGACTAGGGTCCCACATACTCACCTGTTCAGTCGGGTTTTCCGATGGAAGTACTGACTCGTCCAGTTTTACCTTCTCTGTAGCAGGTAAACTTCTCTTGACGGTGAATGGACCGATCCAGTAAGCCCCTCCCACTGCGCACGTGGGCAAATTAACCGCGTGCTCCTCTCCAATGCCACACTGCATTTTCCTGCCGCGCGCATCATACGCGCGTACACGCATGTCGGACTTTTGTGCATGCATGTCGGACATAAATCACGGCTGTGATTGGTCAGAATACCATGGGGCGGTGCTTACTGGATCGGTCCATTCATTGTTAAAAAGCCTCAAGTGGCATTCATGGTTTAAAGTTGCGATGTTGGAAGTGAAGTATTTTCAACTGTTTATTTTGCCTTGTTTCCCACCAAAGGACCACACACTACATCCCAACAAACTTAAGTGGCAGTCTGACTGTTTTAGAAATAACTACAAAAATAAAAAATATGAGGTCAATTTTGAATTTTGTTGGTTGTGCAGATACTCCTTAACCTTGGTCACAACCCCTATGAGTTTTTTTTATTTCAGTCATGCATCACTGCATACTAATCAATAACTGAGCAGCATTTTTGATAACTGTGACCAGCTTCCATGCCTTAGTAAATTCCAGTGCTGTGTTATGTAAGCTGTGTTCCTGCATGTTGTGAGAGAAAAGCCTGATGAGGTTTTGGATTTGAATCATTTGCCCTAAAGCATGAAACTGATGTCTTGACACGATGACTGGTAGCCAAGCAAATGATTTCAATCCCAACCGTCCAAGAATGATGTTGTGTGATCAATTGACAATTGTGTAGTGATGCGTTACTGAAATTAAATGAAACTCAGAGGTCGAGGCCACGGCCTAGTGGTATCTGCACAACCAAAAGTTTCCAAAATTTACCCAAATAGTATTGTAGTTATTCAAAAAAATAGTCAGACGGACACTTTTTGGGGGGACATACTGTATACTCAGTAATGTCGAACTGCCCGGGAATAGGAAATACACAAGCCTGCGCGATATCGAGTTGGCTCCGACCACACGAGTTTTGATTAGTGTTGTTTATATGTTTGTTTTTGTCCACAGCTTTTCCATCTCTGACAGTTCCAACTGTTAGCACCCAGACTCTCGAGGCCGGACAGTCAACAGTTACAGTGACTTGGGACGAGGTAACGGCAACAGATTCTGATTCCCAGCCCATAACGTGCTCAGACTCCGGCGACGGTACCAGTCTGAGTGTGACCGGTGGTGTCTTCGGCCTCGGACCCCACACAATCATATGCGAAGTGACCAACCTGGCTGGTTGCTTGCAAGAAGAGAGCTTCACATTTGAGGTTACAGGTAAAAATGTGTGCTCTTGAACTACAATTCGGGTGATTCACAATGCAGTGCGCCACCAAGAGTTTGCAACAGAGAGTCCATTTTTCAAGTTTACGGTCGACAAAACATGGCTCATTTGAATGAGTGTCGGTAGACAACTTAAGCTAATATATCATAGATTGGGGCATGCGGCGTTCTGCGGCCTTACAAAAAAAATACACCATATTGATAACAAGAAAAGAAATGGGCAAACAGAGCCTCGAATCATGCGCTTACGAAACCACAGACCGGAAAAACTAACAATTTCAATTAATCTAATCTTTCCAACAAAGTTTGGTTTGAATTAAACTCACCTGATGACACCTGGTAATATTTAAAGATCTTAACATCAAGGTTTGGTAAAGGGAACATCATGACCATTAACAATGTGCGTTTTATGAAATTTAAACTAAAACTGTGAAAAATTCTTGTGATGCGATAAGAAAAAGTGCTACTCCTGATAAGGATTGAAGTGACTCCATATATTTTCAAACTCAGTAAAATAATACGAAATTTGTATTTCACTTCCACTATTTGCAAAACCATAGAATCAGTCGTCCAAACAACCACCGAAGAGCTAACAACACCACACTTCAAACCAACAACAGAGGGGTCAATGAAGCAACCAACAACGTCAAAAATGCAAGTAACAAAAAAAGCAGTTGTTCTGCCAACTACAGACGGATTAGTTGATCGACAGACAACGTCAAGCAATCACCTAACCACGGCGGAAGTCAATAAACCAACCACAAACGTAGCAGTGAAGGTACCGACAACGCCAAACGTTCAACCAACCACAGAGGAAGTCAATCAACCAACTACGGCACAGCTAATGAAGAGACCAACAACGTCAAGCAATCAACAAACAACAGAGGACGTAAATAAACCAACCACAGACAGAGATATGAAAGGACCGACTACGGAAAACATTCAACCAACCACAGAAGACATACAACCAACCACAGACGGACCAATTGATCAAAGGACAACATTAAGCAATCAGCAAACCACAATGAAAGTCATACAACTAGCCACGACAATGCCAATGAATGGACTGACAACGTCAAGCAATCACCTAACCACGGTGGAAGTCAATAAACCAACCACAAACGTAGCAATGAATGTACCGACAACGCCAAACGTTCAGCTCACCACAGAGGATGCGATACTGCTAACCACAGACGGATCAGTGGACCGACAGACAACGCCAAACAGTCAACCAACCACAGAGGAAGTCAATCAACCAACTACGGCACAGCTAATGAAGAGACCAACAACGTCAAGCAATCAACAAACAACAGAGGACGTAAATAAACCAACCACAGACAGAGATATGAAAGGACCGACTACGGAAAACATTCAACCAACCACAGGAGACATACAACCAACCACAGACGGACCAATTGATCAAAGGACAACATCAAGCAATCAGCAAACCACAATGAAAGTTATACAACTAACCACGACATTGCCAATGAATGGACTGACAACGTCAAACATTCAACCAACCACAAAGAAAGACATACAACCAACAACAGACGGAGAAATGAAGGGGGCAACAACGTCGAGTAATCTACAAACCACAGATGGGGTCATTTATCAAACCACAGACAGAGAAATGAAAGGACCGACTACAGCAAACATTCAACCAACCACGAAAGAAGCTCTACAACCAACAACAGACGGAGTGATGAATGAACCGACAACGTGGAGCAATCAAGTAACCACAGTGGGACACACTACATCAAGCATTCAACAAAATTCAGATGGAATGACGTCTGCCTCATCAACAGAGTCAACAACGGAAGGTAATGTTTTTATTCGAAATGCTTCCACGACCGTTTCATCGGTTACTCAGTTTGCGACTGAAATTTAATATTTTCAATGGCGAACATTTGCTGTAGACGCCATAGGCAGTAGGCCAATTTAAGATGTTGTTGTAGTCAGTATGAAGACATACAATAAATGTTTTTGATCAAACAAAAAGCGCCTCCATTGTCAACTTCAGCAAAAAAAATCCGAAGGTAAATGAACTGACACTTTAGTTAACTTAGCGCTGTTTTTAATTTTGAACAAGCGATTCAATTGGATGCGTACCATCCAGAGGCAATCATGGTACCACCACAGTACGCCTTTTGATTGAAGTTGCAATATTATTTCACTCACTGGAAGGTGCAAGTGTCTTAGAACTTATGACACATCTCACTAATGCACGCGGTAAGAGGGCGCGTTTCACAATACGTGCAATTAACTTTAATAAACATTTGAAACTACATACAGTGCTTCTTGGTTTCCAGGTCTGAAAACAGTATCCGTCGAATTGCATATTAGAGGAGTAAATGGCACGGCTCTCAACTCCTCAGACTTCACCGATCCTAACTCCGTAGCTTCAATGGAGTTGGCAGAACTGGTGGCCAGAGTGGTAAGTCAGAGGCAGTCACATTTCAAGTCCTGAATGCTGGAGCCTCACATTGATGCCTTTCAGAATGTGATGTTGTTGGCTGATTCATTAAGTTTATAATTAGGCATCAACTTGAGTTCATTATTTTGACACTAATTCCCTTTTTTTCTAGATTGCACGTGAACTCGGAGAGAATGCAACAACAAGCGACGTCGAATCCGTCAGTGGTTCGATTTCTATTGGACCAGATGGTGTAGTCTTCACAGGTGACGTCTTCGTCCCGGTGGATTCACCTGTAACTGCTGAAACCATCATGCAAATCTTATCCAATCGGGCTGATGCAGGACCCTTAACTGATGGACAGAGTACACTGGATGTGGTTACTGCTAGGAGTAAGTTGCTTCAGTCTTAAGCTCATGTATGTTCTTTTAATTTATACTTCTTTCGGTCAACTGGTGTAAAAAACCGTTTAGGACATGACGTAAGTTTCAAGAGTGATCATTTTGAGGAAGCACAGAACAGCTCCAGGTAGGTAACATCATTTAAGATAATCCTCTGCATCGTCTCAGCTGAATTAGAAGCCAACATCGGTCTTCGATTGCTGTTTTGTTTTTCCAGGTCTGATATTAGTCACCATTGTACTGAATATAAGAGGAGTCAATGGCACGGCTCTCAACTCCTCAGACTACACCGATCCCAACTCCGCAGCTTCAATGGAGTTGGCAGAACTGGTGGCAAGAGTGGTAAGTCAGATGCAATGACATTTCAAGTCCTGAACGCTGGAACCTCATCGATGCCTTTTCAGAATGTGAGGTTGTTGGCTTATTCATTTAGTTTATAATTAGGCATCAACTTGAGTTCATTATTTTGACACTAATTCCTTTTTAAGATTGCACGTGAACTCGGAGAGAATGCAACAACAAGCGACGTTGAATCCGTCAACGGTTCGATTACCATTGGACCAGATGGTGTAGTCTTCACAGGTGACGTCTTCGTCCCGGTGGATTCACCTGTAACTGCTGAAACCATCATGCAAATCTTATCCAATCAGGCTGCTGCAGGACCCTTAACTGACGGTCAGAGTACACTGGATGTGGTTACTGCTAGGAGTAAGTTGCTTCAGGCTTAAGCTCATGTGTGATCTTTGTGGTTAGTACAGGATTTTAAGAGCTAATTCAAATCCTTCCTTCGGTCAACTGGTGAAAATAAAACTGTTAAGGACATGATGTAACTTTTAAGTGTCATCATTCTAAGGAAGCACATCACAGATCCCGGTAGGTAGCTTCATTTTGAAAATCCTTAGCATCGTCTCAGCTGAATTTGAAGCTAACATCGGTCTCCGATTGCTGTTTTGTTTTTCCAGGCCTGAGATCAGTCAGCATTGTATTGAATATTAGAGGAGTAAATGGCACGGCTCTCAACTCCTCAGACTACACCGATCCAAACTCAGCAGCTTCAATGGAGTTGGCAGAACTGGTGGCCAGAGTGGTAAGTCAGATGCAAACACTTTTCAAGTCCTGAACGCTGGAACCTCATCAGTGCCTTTTCAGAATGTGAGGTTGTTGGCTGAGCCATTAAGTTTATAATTAGGCAACAACTTGAGTTCATTATTTTGACACTAATTCCTTTTTTTTCAGATTGCACGTGAACTCGGAGAGAATGCAACAACAGGCGACATTGAATCCGTCAATGGTTCGATTTCCATTGGACCAGATGGTGTAGTCTTCACAGGTGACGTCTTCGTCCCGGTGGATTCACCTGTAACTGCTGAAACCATCATGCAAATCTTATCCAATCGGGCTGATGCAGGACCCTTAACTGATGGACAGAGTACACTGGATGTGGTTACTGCTAGGAGTAAGTTGCTTCAGTCTTAAGCTCATGTATGTTCTTTTAATTTATACTTCTTTCGGTCAACTGGTGTAAAAAACCGTTTAGGACATGACGTAAGTTTCAAGAGTGATCATTTTGAGGAAGCACAGAACAGCTCCAGGTAGGTAACATCATTTAAGATAATCCTCTGCATCGTCTCAGCTGAATTAGAAGCCAACATCGGTCTTCGATTGCTGTTTTGTTTTTCCAGGTCTGATATTAGTCACCATTGTACTGAATATAAGAGGAGTCAATGGCACGGCTCTCAACTCCTCAGACTACACCGATCCCAACTCCGCAGCTTCAATGGAGTTGGCAGAACTGGTGGCAAGAGTGGTAAGTCAGATGCAATGACATTTCAAGTCCTGAACGCTGGAACCTCATCGATGCCTTTTCAGAATGTGAGGTTGTTGGCTTATTCATTAAGTTTATAATTAGGCATCAACTTGAGTTCATTATTTTGACACTAATTCCTTTTTAAGATTGCACGTGAACTCGGAGAGAATGCAACAACAAGCGACGTTGAATCCGTCAACGGTTCGATTACCATTGGACCAGATGGTGTAGTCTTCACAGGTGACGTCTTCGTCCCGGTGGATTCACCTGTACCTGCTGAAACCATCATGCAAATCTTATCCAATCAGGCTGCTGCAGGACCCTTAACTGACGGTCAGAGTACACTGGATGTGGTTACTGCTAGGAGTAAGTTGCTTCAGGCTTAAGCTCATGTGTGATCTTTGTGGTTAGTACAGGATTTTAAGAGCTAATTCAAATCCTTCCTTCGGTCAACTGGTGAAAATAAAACTGTTAAGGACATGATGTAACTTTTAAGTGTCATCATTCTAAGGAAGCACATCACAGATCCCGGTAGGTAGCTTCATTTTGAAAATCCTTAGCATCGTCTCAGCTGAATTTGAAGCTAACATCGGTCTCCGATTGCTGTTTTGTTTTTCCAGGCCTGAGATCAGTCAGCATTGTATTGAATATTAGAGGAGTAAATGGCACGGCTCTCAACTCCTCAGACTACACCGATCCAAACTCAGCAGCTTCAATGGAGTTGGCAGAACTGGTGGCCAGAGTGGTAAGTCAGATGCAAACACTTTTCAAGTCCTGAACGCTGGAACCTCATCAGTGCCTTTTCAGAATGTGAGGTTGTTGGCTGAGCCATTAAGTTTATAATTAGGCAACAACTTGAGTTCATTATTTTGACACTAATTCCTTTTTTTTCAGATTGCACGTGAACTCGGAGAGAATGCAACAACAGGCGACATTGAATCCGTCAATGGTTCGATTTCCATTGGACCAGATGGTGTAGTCTTCACAGGTGACGTCTTCGTCCCGGTGGATTCACCTGTAACTGCTGAAACCATCATGCAAATCTTATCCAATCGGGCTGATGCAGGACCCTTAACTGATGGACAGAGTACACTGGATGTGGTTACTGCTAGGAGTAAGTTGCTTCAGTCTTAAGCTCATGTATGTTCTTTTAATTTATACTTCTTTCGGTCAACTGGTGTAAAAAACCGTTTAGGACATGACGTAAGTTTCAAGAGTGATCATTTTGAGGAAGCACAGAACAGCTCCAGGTAGGTAACATCATTTAAGATAATCCTCTGCATCGTCTCAGCTGAATTAGAAGCCAACATCGGTCTTCGATTGCTGTTTTGTTTTTCCAGGTCTGATATTAGTCACCATTGTACTGAATATAAGAGGAGTCAATGGCACGGCTCTCAACTCCTCAGACTACACCGATCCCAACTCCGCAGCTTCAATGGAGTTGGCAGAACTGGTGGCAAGAGTGGTAAGTCAGATGCAATGACATTTCAAGTCCTGAACGCTGGAACCTCATCGATGCCTTTTCAGAATGTGAGGTTGTTGGCTTATTCATTAAGTTTATAATTAGGCATCAACTTGAGTTCATTATTTTGACACTAATTCCTTTTTAAGATTGCACGTGAACTCGGAGAGAATGCAACAACAAGCGACGTTGAATCCGTCAACGGTTCGATTACCATTGGACCAGATGGTGTAGTCTTCACAGGTGACGTCTTCGTCCCGGTGGATTCACCTGTACCTGCTGAAACCATCATGCAAATCTTATCCAATCAGGCTGCTGCAGGACCCTTAACTGACGGTCAGAGTACACTGGATGTGGTTACTGCTAGGAGTAAGTTGCTTCAGGCTTAAGCTCATGTGTGATCTTTGTGGTTAGTACAGGATTTTAAGAGCTAATTCAAATCCTTCCTTCGGTCAACTGGTGAAAATAAAACTGTTAAGGACATGATGTAACTTTTAAGTGTCATCATTCTAAGGAAGCACATCACAGATCCCGGTAGGTAGCTTCATTTTGAAAATCCTTAGCATCGTCTCAGCTGAATTTGAAGCTAACATCGGTCTCCGATTGCTGTTTTGTTTTTCCAGGCCTGAGATCAGTCAGCATTGTATTGAATATTAGAGGAGTAAATGGCACGGCTCTCAACTCCTCAGACTACACCGATCCAAACTCAGCAGCTTCAATGGAGTTGGCAGAACTGGTGGCCAGAGTGGTAAGTCAGATGCAAACACTTTTCAAGTCCTGAACGCTGGAACCTCATCAGTGCCTTTTCAGAATGTGAGGTTGTTGGCTGAGCCATTAAGTTTATAATTAGGCAACAACTTGAGTTCATTATTTTGACACTAATTCCTTTTTTTCAGATTGCACGTGAACTCGGAGAGAATGCAACAACAGGCGACATTGAATCCGTCAATGGTTCGATTTCCATTGGACCAGATGGTGTAGTCTTCACAGGTGACGTCTTCGTCCCGGTGGATTCACCTGTAACTGCTGAAACCATCATGCAAATCTTATCCAATCGGGCTGATGCAGGACCCTTAACTGATGGACAGAGTACACTGGATGTGGTTACTGCTAGGAGTAAGTTGCTTCAGTCTTAAGCTCATGTATGTTCTTTTAATTTATACTTCTTTCGGTCAACTGGTGTAAAAAACCGTTTAGGACATGACGTAAGTTTCAAGAGTGATCATTTTGAGGAAGCACAGAACAGCTCCAGGTAGGTAACATCATTTAAGATAATCCTCTGCATCGTCTCAGCTGAATTAGAAGCCAACATCGGTCTTCGATTGCTGTTTTGTTTTTCCAGGTCTGATATTAGTCACCATTGTACTGAATATAAGAGGAGTCAATGGCACGGCTCTCAACTCCTCAGACTACACCGATCCCAACTCCGCAGCTTCAATGGAGTTGGCAGAACTGGTGGCAAGAGTGGTAAGTCAGATGCAATGACATTTCAAGTCCTGAACGCTGGAACCTCATCGATGCCTTTTCAGAATGTGAGGTTGTTGGCTTATTCATTAAGTTTATAATTAGGCATCAACTTGAGTTCATTATTTTGACACTAATTCCTTTTTAAGATTGCACGTGAACTCGGAGAGAATGCAACAACAAGCGACGTTGAATCCGTCAACGGTTCGATTACCATTGGACCAGATGGTGTAGTCTTCACAGGTGACGTCTTCGTCCCGGTGGATTCACCTGTACCTGCTGAAACCATCATGCAAATCTTATCCAATCAGGCTGCTGCAGGACCCTTAACTGACGGTCAGAGTACACTGGATGTGGTTACTGCTAGGAGTAAGTTGCTTCAGGCTTAAGCTCATGTGTGATCTTTGTGGTTAGTACAGGATTTTAAGAGCTAATTCAAATCCTTCCTTCGGTCAACTGGTGAAAATAAAACTGTTAAGGACATGATGTAACTTTTAAGTGTCATCATTCTAAGGAAGCACATCACAGATCCCGGTAGGTAGCTTCATTTTGAAAATCCTTAGCATCGTCTCAGCTGAATTTGAAGCTAACATCGGTCTCCGATTGCTGTTTTGTTTTTCCAGGCCTGAGATCAGTCAGCATTGTATTGAATATTAGAGGAGTAAATGGCACGGCTCTCAACTCCTCAGACTACACCGATCCAAACTCAGCAGCTTCAATGGAGTTGGCAGAACTGGTGGCCAGAGTGGTAAGTCAGATGCAAACACTTTTCAAGTCCTGAACGCTGGAACCTCATCAGTGCCTTTTCAGAATGTGAGGTTGTTGGCTGAGCCATTAAGTTTATAATTAGGCAACAACTTGAGTTCATTATTTTGACACTAATTCCTTTTTTTCAGATTGCACGTGAACTCGGAGAGAATGCAACAACAGGCGACATTGAATCCGTCAATGGTTCGATTTCCATTGGACCAGATGGTGTAGTCTTCACAGGTGACGTCTTCGTCCCGGTGGATTCACCTGTAACTGCTGAAACCATCATGCAAATCTTATCCAATCAGGCTGATGCAGGGCCCTTAACTGATGGTCAGAGTACACTGGATGCGGTAGATGCTATGGGTAAGCTACTTAAGTCTTTAGCTCATGTCTGATGATGGGTCCTTCGTGGTAACTACGGGTTTTTTGTCGGTTACTTTAACACCTTTTGGTCAATCGCTGAACATAACCATTTCGGACATTATGTGACATTCGACAGTGATCGTTCTAAGGAAATACACCACATAATCTCTTAGACATGTTGTATCATTTAAGAGAATAGTCTGCAATCGTCTCGGCTAAAAGTAACATCGGTCTCCGATTGCTGTTTCGTTTTTCCAGGTCTGAGATCAGTCAGCATCGTATTGAATATTAGAGGAGTAAATGGCACGGCTCTCAACTCCTCAGACTTCACCGATCCCAACTCCGCAGCTTCAATAGAGTTGGCAGAACTGGTGGCCAGAGTGGTAAGTCAGATGCAATCACTTTTCAAGTCCTGAACGCTGGAACTTCATCAGTACCTTTTCAGAATGTGATGCTGTTGACTGATTCATTTAGTTTATAATAAGGCATCAACGGGATGATATTATTTTGACACTAATAGAAAACTCGATTTTTTCCAGATTGCACGTGAACTCGGAGAAAATGCAACAACAAGCGACGTTGAATCTGTCAATGGTTCGATTTCCATCGGAACAGATGGTGTAGTCTTCACAGGTGACGTCTTCGTCCCGGTGGATTCACCTGTAACTGCTGAAACCATCATGCAAATCTTATCCAATCAGGCTGGTGCAGGACCCTTAACTGATGGTCAGAGTACACTGGATGCAGGTGATGCTATGGGTAAGCTACTTAAGTCTTAAGCTCATGTCTGGTGATGGGTCCTTCGTGGTAAGTACGGGTTTTTCCCGGTTACTTTAACACTTCTTTGGTCAATCGCTGAACAAAACCATTACAGAAACTATGTGACATTCGACAGTGATAATTCTTAGGAAATCCATCACATAATCTCTTAGACATGTGGTATCATTTTACAAAAAAATCTGCAATCTTCTCGCCTGAAAGTAACATCGGTCTAAAAATTGCTCTCTTTCTTCAGATCTAAGATCAGTCAGCATTGTATTGAATATTAGAGGAGTAAATGGCACGGCTCTCAACTCCTCAGACTACACCGATCCTAACTCCACCGTTTCAGTGGAGTTGGCAGAACTGGTGACCAGAGTGGTAAGTCAGATGCAATCACTTCTCAAGTCCTGAGCGCTGGAACTTCGTCAGTACCTTTTCAGAATGTGATGTTGTTGGCTGATTCATTTAGTTTATAATTAGGCAGCAACGGGATGATATTATTTTGACCCTAAACTCGCTTTTTTCCAGATCGCACGTGAACTCGGAGAGAACGCAACAACAGGCGACGTTGCATCCGTCAGTGGTTCGATTTCTATTGGACCAGATGGTGTAGTCTTCACAGGTAACGTCTTCGTCCCGGTGGATTCACCTGTAACTGCTGAAACCATCATGCAAATCTTATCCAATCAGGCTGATGCAGGACCCTTAACTGACGGTCAGAGTACACTGGATGTGGTTACTGCTAGGAGTAAGTTGCTTCAGTCTTAAGCTCATGTGTGATCTTTGTGGTTAGTACAGGATTTTAAGAGCTAATTCAAATCCTTCCTTAGGTCAACTGGTGAAAATAAAACTGTTAAGGACATGATGTAACTTTTAAGTGTCATCATTCTAAGGAAGCACATCACAGATCCCGGTAGGTAGCTTCATTTTGAAAATCCTTTGCATCGTCTCAGCTGAATTTGAAGCTAACATCGGTCTCCGATTGCTGTTTTGCTTTTCCAGGTCTGAGATCAGTCAGCATCGTATTGGATATTAGAGGAGTAAATGGCACGGCTCTCAACTCCTCAGACTACGTCGATCCTAACTCCGCAGCTTCAATGGAGTTGGCAGAACTGGTGGCCAGAGTGGTAAGTCAAATGCAATGACATTTCAAGTCCTGAACGTTGGAATCTCATCAGTGCCTTTTCCTATTATGATGTATATAGCAATTAGGCTACAATTAGGCATCAACTTGACATTATTATTTTTACCGTGACTCCCGCTTCAGATTGCACGTTCACTCAGGGAAAATGCAACAACAAGCGACGTTGAATCCGTCAATGGTTGGATTTCCATTGGAACAAATGGTATAGTCTTCACAGGTGACGTCTTCGTCCCGGTGGATTCACCTGTAACTGCTGAAACGATAATGCAAATCTTATCCAATCAGGCTGATGCAGGACCCTTAACTGATGGTCAGAGTACACTGGATGCGGGTAATGCTATGGGTAAGCTACTTAAGTCTTTAGCTCATGTCTGGTGATGGGTCCTTCGTGATAAGTTAGGGTTTTTTTCCCAGTTACTTTAACACTTCTTTGGTCAATCACTAAACATAACCATTACGGACATTATGTGACATTCGACAGTGATCATTCTAAGGAAAAACACCACATAATCTCTTAGACATGTGGTATCATTTAAGAGAATAGTCTGCAATCGTCTCGGCTGAAAGTAACATCGGTCTCCGATTGCTGTTTCGTTTTTCCAGGTCTGAGATCAGTCAGCATCGTATTGAATATTAAAGGAGTAAATGGCACGGCTCTCAACTCCTCAGACTTCACCGATCCTAACTCCGCAGCTTCAGTAGAGTTGGCAGAACTGGTGGCCAGAGTGGTAAGTCAGATGCAATCATATTCCAAGTCCTGAACGCTGGAACCTCATCCATGCCTTTTCAGAATGAGAGGTTGTTGGCTGATTCATTAAGTTTATGATTAGGCATCAACTTGAGTTCATTAAAATTCCCTTTTTTAGATTGCACGTGAACTCGGAGAGAATGCAACAACAAGCGACGTCGAATCCGTCAATGGTTCGATTTCCGTTGAAACAGATGGTGTAGTCTTCACAGGTGACGTCTTCGTCCCGTTGGATTCAACTGTAACTGCTGAAACCATCATGCAAATCTTATCCAATCAGGCTGATGCAGGACCCTTAACTGATGGACAGAGTACACTGGATGCAGGTGATGCTATGGGTAAGCTACTTAAGTCTTAAGCTCATGTCTGGTGATGGGTCTTTCGTGGTAAGTACGGGTTTTTCCCGGTTACTTTAACACTTCTTTGGTCAATCGCTGAACAAAACCATTCCAGAAACTATGTGACATTCGACAGTTATAATTCTAAGGAAATACATCACATAATCTCTTAGACATGTGGTATCATTTTACAAAAAAATCTGCAATCGTCTCTCCTGAAAATAACATCGGGCTAAAAATTGCTCTCTTTCTTCAGATCTAAAATCAGTCAGCATTGTATTGAATATTAGAGGAGTAAATGGCACGGCTCTCAACTCCTCAGACTACACCGATCCTAACTCCGCAGCTTCAATGGAGTTGGCAGAACTGGTGGCCAGAGTGGTAAGTCAGATGCAATCACTTCTCAAGTCCTGAACGCTGGAACTTCGTCAGTACCTTTTCAGAATGTGATGTTGTTGGCTGATTCATTTAGTTTATAATTAGGCAGCAACGGGATGATATTATTTTGACCCTAAACTCGCTTTTTTCCAGATCGCACGTGAACTCGGAGAGAATGCAACAACAAGCGACGTTGAATCCGTCAATGGTCGGATTTCTATTGGAACAGATGGTGTAGTCTTCACAGGTGACGTCTTCGTCCCGGTGGATTCACCTGTCACTGCTGAAACCATCATGCAAATCTTATCCAATCAGGCTGATGCAGGACCCTTAACTGATGGTCAGAGTACACTGGAGGTGGTTACTGCTAGGAGTAAGTAGCTTCATTTTTAAGCTCATGTATGTTCTTTGTGGTTAGTACAGGATTTTAAGCGCTAATTTAAATACTTCTTTGGTCAACTGGTAAAAAAAATCGTTAAGGACACGATGTAACTTTCAAGAGTCATCATTCTAAGGAAGCACATCATAGATAAAGGTACGAAGCATCATTTAGAAAATCCTTTTCATCGTCTCAGCTGAATTAGAAGCTTACATCGGTCTCCGGTTGGTGTTTTGTTTTTCCAGGTCCGATATCAGTCACGATTGTATTGAATATAAGAGGAGTAAATGGCACGGCTCTCAACTCCTCAGACTACACCGATCCTAACTCCGCAGCTTCAATGGAGTTGGCAGAACTGGTAGCCAGAGTGGTAAGTCATATTGCAATGACAGATCAAGTCCTGAACGTTGGAACCTCACCAGTACCATTTCCCATTATGAAGTGAATGCCGTTCATGTTATAATTAGACATCAACTTAGTTAATTATTTTCACACTAATTCCCTTTTTCAGATTGCACATGAACTCGGAGAGAATGCAACAACAAGCGACGTTGAATCCGTCAATGGTTCGATTTCCATTGGAACAGATGGTGTAGTCTTCACAGGTGACGTCTTCGTCCCGGTGGATTCACCTGTAACTGCTGAAACCATCATGCAAATCTTATCCAATCGGGTTGATGCAGGACCCTTAACTGATGGACAGAGTACACTGGATGCAGGTGATGCTATGGGTAAGCTACTTAAGTCTTTAGCTCATGTCTGGTGATGGGTCCTTCGTGGTAAGTACGGGTTTTCCCGGTAACTTTTACACTTCTTTGGTCAACCGCTGAACAAAACCATTACGGACATTATGTGATATTCGACAGTGATCATTCTAAGGAAATACATCACATAATCTCTTAAACATGTGGTATCATTTTACAAAAAAATCTGCAATCGTCTCGTCTAGAAGTAACATCGTTCTAAAAATTACTCTCTTTCTTCAGATCTAAGATCAGTCAGCATTGTATTGAATATTAGAAGATTAAATGGCACGGCTCTCAACTCCTCAGACTACACCGATCCCAACTCCGCAGCTTCAATGGAGTTGGCCGAACTGGTGGCCAGAGTGGTAAGTCAGATGCAATCACATATCAAGTCCGGAACGCTGGAACTTCGTCAGTACCTTCTCAGAATGTGATGTTTGTTAGCTGATTCATTGAGTTTATAATTAGGCATCAACGTGATGATACTATTTTGATCCTAACCCGGTTTTTTTTTTCAGATTGCACGTGAACTCGGAGAGAATGTAACAACAGGCGACGTTAAATCTGTCAATGGTTTGATTTCTAATGGACAAGATGGTGTAGTTTTCACAGGTGATGTAATCGTCCCAGTGGATTCACCTGTAACTGCTGAAATCATTATGCAAATCTTATCCAATCAGGCTGCTGCAGGACCCTTAACTGATGGACAGAGTAAACTGGATTTGGTTACTGCTACGAGTAAGTTGCTTCAGTCTTAAGCTCATGTATGGAGATATGCTCATTGTAGTAAGAACATAATTGTAAAAGTTATTTTTAACACTTCTTTCGGTCAACTGGTGAAAACACCATTAAGAACACAGATGTCATTTGCCAGTGATCATTCTAAGGAAGCACATTACAAACTTGTGGCATCATTTTAGAGAATCTTATGCATCGTCTCAGGTAATGTTAAGATCGGTCTCAAAATGCTATTTTGTTTTTCCAGGTCTGAGATCAGTCAGCATTGTATTGAATATTGGAGGAGATAATGGCACGGCTCTCAACTCCTCAGACTACATCGATCCTAACTCCGCAACTTCAATGGAGTTGGCAGAACTGGTGGCCAGAGTGGTAAGTCAGATGCAGTGACATTTCAAGTCCTGAACGCTGGAACCTCATCAGTGACATTTCCAAGCATGATGTGGATGGCATTTGAGTTATAATTAGGCTAATTATTATTATTTTGACACTAACTCCCGCTTCAGATTGCACGTGAACTCGGAGAGAATGCAACAACAAGCGACGTTGAATCCGTCAATGGTTCGATTTCTATTGGACCAGATGGTGTAGTCTTCACAGGTGACGTCTTCGTCCCGGTGGATTCACCTGTAACTGCTGATATCATCATGCAAATCTTATCGAATCAGGCTAATGCAAGACCCTTAACTGATGGACAAAGTACATTGGATTTGAAGCTTTCAATTAATGATATGGGTAAGTTTAATTGCAGAACTCTTGTTTTTTAATATTGCTCCCTCCTGTATCTGCTTTGTGTATATTTCTTTATAAGTCACACGATAAGGCAGTTCCATGATCAAGTATCTAGTGATCATTGACGTCAATACCTCAGTTTTGTCTTTAAGATATTTAGAATAGTTTGGCATTTTTGTTTAACTTTCAGTTGAAGATCACTGTGACCCAAACCCATGTATGAATGGAGGAACTTGTGAAGTCAGTATGGATAGCCACAGCTGCATCTGCGTAGAGGGATTTACAGGACATGACTGCGATACAGGTTCGTTTGATTTTTAACTGAGTGTACAGTGTGAGTAATAAAAAAGGAAACCCATATGTCGGGGACTATCCGCTTCGTTCACAAGTACCCCCTCCCCGGTATAGAAAGTACATTTGGAGGTGACCGACCGACGCCATCTTGCCTGACTGCAATTTTGCCGCGACGCACGGCCGTACCACTGCGTGTACATAGTACAAATCCCCTGCTGTACGTGCGTCACACACAAGGAACGGTGCGCGTCAACCAGCTAAATGTCCCGCCCATGAGACGTCGTTGCTAGGTGAAAGGGCGCCCTCTTTTTTTGGCGCACGGAGCCAATTGTTTTAGTGATGTTCTGCATGTAGAACTTTTAAAATCTAGGATATCTAAGCCCAGTTCATGAGCTTTTCTTTTAGTTACAAGAATCATTCAAATCACTTATGTGCTTTTCAACTCACGGAACTATAAACATGACCACCGTTTTAAAATTCTGTCCATGGATCACAAAAAGGTGTGCAATTTTTCAGCAAAACGAAAACAATTCACACACACTTTCTTATGTGATTTGTTTTCGTTTGGCCGAAAGAACACACCTTTTTTGTGATCCGTGGACAGAATATTAAAACGGTGATTGTGGTTAAAATTCCGTACCTTAAAAACTACATGAGTGATTTGAATGATTTGTGTACTACAAGGAATTAAGCTTATGAATTGGGCTTTTATATCCTTGAATTTGAAAGTGCTACATGCAGACATTCACTAAAACAATGGTCCCAACATGTGTGCTTTTTTAACTCACCCTGTATAAAACCGGAGTCATTATAGATAAATTATGAACAATATGGCATAATTTATTTTTTGTGTATGATTTTTCCAGACATTGACAATTGTGATCCAAACCCTTGCCCGGACGGGGAAAGTTGTGTAGATGGTTTAAACAGCTTCAGTTGTGTCGACACCTGTGTGGACAACAGCTGTGAAACAGGTAAAAAAAATGTTTTAGACAAAATAACGAGAGCCTATTTACCACCTCAGATGTTACAAAAACGGATTAATCATTATCATCGCCTTTACCAACAGTCCACGTTTTACACTATAGAATGATAAATGTTCATGTGTTGCACTTTTTTTTTGCCTCGTCCCTTTTCCTTAAGAATTCTAGAAATACTCTAAAAATACTCTAGAGACTAGTTGTATCCAATTTATCCTCCTACTGGGCATGTTCATCTCCCTAAAGGGCCAATATGTCCCTTCTAAATGTGTAAACGGATTAACATGTACATGATTTGTAACATCTTTTGCCCATCACTTGACACTTGTCTTCATAAATCAGAGTTGTGATGACTCGATTCAATGACTCCACTCTAGTCCGGCTCGAGCCAGAATTTTTGGTGACTCGACTCAACTCGAGTCCCTAAGGGCAAATGACTCGACTCGACTCAAAGTCGCTGCGAGTAGTTGACTCGACTCGACTCGAACCCCTCATCAGAATGACTCGACTCGACTCGAGGAAGGCTTATAATTAAGACTCGAGTCCCAAAAATAAAAGCAAAACTTTGGGGGGAAATATTTGCAATGACTTACACCTGTGCCGGTTTTTGTTCACGTCACGTTAGAATGTTTACATATACATCCGTGGTTTGAGTGTCAGTGTCCCAATTAGTTGAATGGCGATCAGCTGGCAACCCCCCTGTTTATTTTCATTTTCAATTGACTCCTGCAGCTAAATACTTGACTCGACTCGACTACACTCTGTGATTCGACTCGACTCGACTTGACCTTCTTCACCTAATGACTCGACTCAACTTGAGTCACTTCTTTAAAATGACTCGAGTCTAATCTGTGACTCATTACAGTCCTCATAGCCCGCATTGTAATTTTTGTTTGGGCAATTTCATTCATGTCTTTGTTTGGCAAACATAGATCCTTGTGCAGCGAATCCTGTACTCTGTACTGCTACACCTGGCCAATATTGCCTGCCAGCTCCCTTCGAAGAACGACCCGCACGTTACAGGTGTGCCTGTCGAGAATTGGATGGATTCTTCTTGGACAGTTCCACAAACAATTGTACCCAGAACGGTTCGTTTAATATACAGGGTGACCTTAGAAATGCAACCCTAAAACATTTGTCTCCGAACAAATCGGTGGATCTTTCTGCTTGGGGTATCAGATTAGCGCTGAGAGATATTTCTTTAAAATACTAAAGCAATTATGAAAATAGCACTTTGGGTTGCTGAGAAAATGCCAATTATGTAAAATTAGTCATTTTTTATCCTGTATACAATAAATACCACAGTAAGGAATTTTCACTCTTCCTATTTGTGCATGTCCTAATCCTTACAAAGAACTCGACAAATAACATGACAAGAGCACAAATGAATTTGATGAAAATGCTTTTTATTTTTCACCTAAACATGCAGGTATCTCATCCTTTTTAGTCCAATGTTAAACCTTTTCAGCATCGTCAATATGTCAAAATACAAAAGACATTGCACAAATGGAGAAAATTTCACAGTAGGCTTAAAGTAAATATTTCACTGTTTGAAGTATTTGTGAACAGGCTAAAAAAAAGACTACTTTTACATAATTATCATTTTCTCAGCAACCCCAAAAAAATCCACAGATTGTTTCTTTTAAGGCAAATTTTTTAGGGTTGCATTTTTGGTCACACTGTAAAGTCTTGCAGCTGCTGAATATATACCTTGTGTTTATTTATGAACACACATTTCATAGGTCGACATGGACAGTTAACGTTACGGGCTTGCAATTTCCTTATTTATCAGCCGTCGCCTAATTTGCATTTGTTGATGCACGCCGTAGAAGTGGTTACGTCGAACGCCGTCGAGATCACGCGTTGCCGAGGTCAAACGTTCCGCACAAACTTGGCGTGACGTATAGCGATAGCACGGGACCCACTTTTTCATTAAGGTTTGATCCGTTGGAAAATAGCAAAATAACGGCTCCGTCACGTTCTGAGGGATGCGTACAGTCTAGTCGGCTACGAAACAATGTCTTATATTCCAGTCTTGTTAATTTTTAATGTCTCAGAAATCTCAAGTAGAAATGTTCACCTATAGATCTCCCGTTGAAATCGTACAGTAAAAATGACAGACAAGATTTTGGGTGGAATGGTCAACCTCGTACCCAGTGCTTACTTCATTTCCAACCTCGTTTCCAATAGTAAGCCCTGGATAGGAAAATTTCTTCCTGTATCCTGATTCGATACCGCAATTTGCTAGTAATGGATTTATATCGTGTAGTTGGTGTTGATACTTTCAACGTGCATTACGTGTTTTCACAATTATTGTAATTATAACGTCCACGCCTTTTCAAAAAATTTCCTTTCATTTGCAGTTTGCTCATATTAATATGAAATGAATGTGACACTGCATATTGGCGGGCCAGATTGTAACATTTTAACTTCCAAAAAAATCGTGTTTTCATAACTCACGGCATGACGATTGATGCTGTTTTTACCCCAGACACCACATACAAAAACAAACGTTAATGTAACGCACATGCAGGCACCAGACTATTCCTCATTTGCATACGTGTTCAAAAATCTTGCACATGCAAATGATCCAATACCAGGGTGAGAGAGCAGGTAGTTGTGGGCGCGTACTGCTCGACACCCTGGGGACGAGGTTGAGGAATGGTCACTTTTGGAGACGTCCCAACGGCGGATCAACGGGGGGCAGGGGGTCAACCCCCCCCCCCCCCCATGTTTGTTTCTTTTTAAGCGACGTCTCAAAAAAGGCACTGCGTACACGACCATCTTTTGCTTCAAAAATAATAAGTGGTCAGGAATTGCCTCAGTTCGCACCACGGAGCATCTAAAATCAAAACATTTTCCGGGACCCTTGAGTGGCCCTGACCCCATGCCGTAAAATGGTGGTGTTTGCTTATAAAACAATTGTTCAAATGATACAAAATTGCCTCAGATTGCACCACAGAGCATTTAGAATCCAACTTTTTGGGGGAACCCAAAGCATTGGGGCCATCCTCCATGATCTCTCCCCCCCCCCCAAAAAAAAAATCGTGTTATTGATCTGCCCTTTAGACGTCCCCGCGTGATGTCACACTTCTACGGCGTGTTGAGCTATGGTCAACAGCGAAAAACTCTCCCGTTTTTTTCTGTAAGGTGCAGGTGTCACTTGAATAAAAGTACAGACAATATTTTTAAAGACACATTGGTCAATTTATCTGGAGTTTCTTTGGTAAAGATTAATCCACAGGTTTCGTTGCGTGGTATTTTTTAGGGTTCAGGGCAGTTACGATTGAGCTGAATGTGGAAGGGATCAACGGAACCGAACTACTTCTTGAAAATCTTAGTGAGCCTGAGTTGTTGTCCGCTGTTGCTGGTGTGGTATGTCAATTTCTTGGGGTTCAATATTGGGTTAAGCCCTTTTGCTTTTATTTTGTTAATCCTTATCTTTAGGACCACGTTCATATATACTTTAAAAGACTCCCAAAAACAACTGACTAAATGACACTCAAAAGTGACGTTCTGATATTTCTTGATATTAAGGCCATGGTAACTAAACGACAACGACGACAACCAGGAAACAGACTAAAAACAAATATGGCAAACATGAAAGCTGGATTCAATGAGAGCTTAATGCTGATTGGCTGATAAAAAAACTATTTAATTTATTTTTTTAAGCAGCCAATCAGCATCGGACTTTCATTGTGTCGAGCTATCATGTTGTGAAAACAACAACGTGCTCATCTCACGTCAGACTGCAAAAAAAAAGCTAGGAAAGTCACTTTTTCTTTGAACGTGCTTTCAAAATAACAACAAACATGAGTTTATCTGACGAAAAGAGACTGCTTTAGCCTGCAAAAGTCACTTTGGTACGGGATAGTCATCTGCAAAAGTCAGTTCTGAACAGAAGAAGGATTACTTTTATTTTCTATAAAAACTGGTTACCGCTGTAGAACCTTCGGATGATTATTTATGGGAGGTTTCTATACTTGTGTATGGTGGCTGGTAGATTCAAGCTGAGCTGAGGCGGTTGGCTGCAACCAGTGGCATTAGTCGTGTCTTTCCCATCCTGGTGTCGGAAAAAGACGGCGTAATGGTATTCACGGGTGTTATCCAGGTCCCGGCCGATTCGAATATAACCGCTGCTGTCATCGAGTCGTCATTGGCGATTTTGTCATCGTCAAGGCCTCTCACAGACGGACAGACCACACTGAATGTTAACTCAGAAGTAACTGCTATGGGTGAGTGGGAGTTGTTTCATACGAAATGATTTTTTTTTGGATGGACAAGCTGTTTTGCACCGGTGTGAAATCTTTCAGCATTTGTAGTGATATGCACGTCAATCCTTAAATGGATTTTACAACATTTGCTTTTTCTACAATTTTCAGAAATAAATGAATTTGGAAGATCGGTATGATATAGCAATATTGTTTAAAATGACTTGTTTTACGTTTTGGGCTTGTAGATGCTGGAAAAACCAAGAAAACCAATCATGTTCTTGTAGTCTGGTTCCCTGACCCCACTTAAGATGAATCGGAGCAAGTTATAGGTTTCGGGGAATTGTAAAGTCAGAGAATCAGTCTATAAGGCTTGTACCCCTTCACAAGTGTGTAATCAATTGCAAAGAAAATGCGGAATAAACTAATTAGAAAAATTAGGAGTAGTGTTTCAAAAAAAGCTAGTTTTCTCCAACACTAATCGGCTAGCCAGCGATGGAAAAAACACCATTTGTCTTGAAAATGTCAGCACACCAGGAGCCACGATTTTACAGGATGCTTCAGACTCATTCCCTAATAATCCAGTAAGGCATTCCGTGATAATTGGATCATTTCGTTTTATTATGTTTGCAATGTTGTATCTTCCATTTTAACTACAATATACAGTCTGACCTCTTGAGACATGATTCCTTTTTAAAATATCTTGCATTTTAGCTATCACGTCGTTTCGGTTGGTCGGTCGGTCGCCGAAAGATTGAACAAAAATATTTTACAAAAATTAACAAATGTCATTCCGTCAGCAACCGCACTCTGAAAATTGTTTGTAACAATTCGTTTAAAAAGTTGTTTGTGAAAATGTTGTGAAAAGAGGCAAGATATGTGCAGTATTGTTTTAGTCACGTGGTATTTTCCGTAGTGGCTGGGCAGTATTCAGAAGGAGGAAATGAACAATTGACGAGAAGTGCTTCGTATGTACCATCGTTGTCGCATTTTTCGTCCGAGCTTAGTGTGCACTTGCACTGAATGTTTTCTCTTGTGTACTGCAGTCTCCACAACTGCTTGCCCATCAAACTTCTGCCAGAACGGAGGAACGTGCGATGTCTCCGGGCAGTATCCAGTGTTCGAGTATACTTGCAGGTAAGTAAACAAGCGGACGTGAAGGAAAGCAACATTTTAAACAATTTGAGTTTATTGTTAGCACCTAACACTGCCAGTTTTGGATTGTTTACTTAATCCCATTTCAAACATCTGGGTGAAAGGAAACCAACCTAATGTCTTACAGTTCCCGAGAAAAGACGAAAAAACACTGATTGTTTACATCAGACACGACGGAGTATGGTGCGTGTTTCCTGTTGTTTTCATGCAATGTACGATACACATTGTGTTTGTGTCTAGTATTTAGGGTCGCAAAAGTGGACCCCACAAGTCGTTTTTGGACGAATAACACAAGAGTACTACAAAAGCGCCCACTTTTTAAAGAATAGTTGTGTGGATGTTCATAACCTACTTTTAAATGTTCTTTCCGATTACCATTATCTCTTTCAAAACGCGTTTTGTAGCACAATTAGGTGTTTTCCAGGGCGCAGTGTCCTTTAAATCTTCACTGTTAGAATGTTTACGTCAATGTACAACACACCTGATGATGTCCTTATATAGAATCCAAACCAATCACATGCATTTGTAGGTCACTAATGGTTATTCATGAGTTTATGTTGTCGTCCAATCACAGATGCTCGACTGGATTTACAGGCTCCAATTGTGAGTCGATCATTCCTGTACAAATCGATGAACATCAAAGTCCAACACCAACAGTTTCTGTCGCACCTTTATCAGAACAAGGTACGTGGGAAGTGTTTCTGTTGAAACAAGCATTTCGCCATTAATTGTTTAGTTAAAAAAAAATCGTAATAACGAAGGGGAACTCTGAACTTTTTTTCAAAAAGGAATCCGATTCTGGATCAAATCACATTCTACAGGGTGAGTAAACAAAACCGAAACCCAAATGTTGGGACTATTGTTTTAGTGAAGTTCTGCATGTAGCACTTCTGGGATATGAAAGCCCTATTCGTAAGCTTTCTTTAATTGCATTCTTTGTATGTTCTTTCAAATCATTCATGTGCTTTTCAAAAACTGTTAACAACTTTTCAAAATTCCGTAACTTGAAAATTACATAAATGATTTGAATGGTTCTTGTACTAAATGAAAGCTTATGAATTGGGCTTTCATAGGCTAATTTATCCTAGATTTGGAAAGTGCTACATGCCAAATGTCATTAAAACAATGGTCCTGACATTTGGGTTACGTTTTTTTTACTCACCCTGTATTCATCACCATAAACTTCCATTTTAATGAACAATTGGAATCATTGGCTTCGCAAAGTTACTTTGTTTTCTAGCAAGAGCTGGAGACATCACAAGACAATCGTTTCCAGAATACACGACCGACCTATCAATTAACTACCTAGTTTTGTTGCTGCATTACAGGTTCCATATCACAGGTGGCGGCCGTATTCCTTTTGGTGGGAGCGGTGGCCCTGGTCCTGTTGTTACTGGGCATCTGGTGTTGCTTGGTCTACCGGTTACGAAAAAGAAGACAGCGCAGCAGGCGTGTGATGTACGAGTCCCAATACACGATAGTCATGAATCCAATGGCCGGCAAGAGGGAGCCGAATTTCCTCGTGGCATTCGTAGCTAGCGGCCAGGAGGCCGAGGTCCCAAACCCTTATCTGCCTTATTAAGCATGGGCAGTAATGTTCCTACTCTCTCAAGATCAGCCGCACTGATCAGCGCCCAGTGAGAGAGTAAAATAGGGGTAGCACTTCCTCCACACCACAAGAAAAACAACTTGTAGAACTTTCTTTCATTAAACATTGTACATATAGTGTTATTCCTTGCATCAGTTGTCCATAATTTACAGTAATTTGTTGGTCGTTCTTGCAATAAATCTTGTAGCGTTTTCAGATTGTCAATTCTTAATGATCAATTTGTCTTCATTTTTAGCTAATTATCACACTTTAATTATCAATGTTCCTTTTTGAACCTTCTTAAAGATCTTTCCTGTATAACGATTAATTCTCATTGCTTTCCTTGTATCATATACTCACGCATGCATATGTAATGTGTAGTCCCTATAGTTTTATACAGAGTAAATGACCTTCACTGCCCACACACGTTACTGGTCAGTTTCTCAGTTGAAAACCTAATGTTACTTGATCATTGTTTTAAGGTACTATATTACTCATTCATAGTCATCTTTTTGAGAATCAAGGATAGTTTTCCCATTCTTAAGTATTCCTGTTCCACCAGTATATAAGTACTGCCCTGTGAGAAGTTCCTCATTCTAGTCTCTGTCATGCGAACAGTTCATTCAATTTCACCTACTCACTCGGTTCAACTCATTCAGTTCATTCGATTTAAACGTTTTCTCAGCTCGCTTTAACCAATTCAATCAATCAATGTGTATTTAATGTTGTTGTGGAATAAACGGCCACGGTTAACACAGTCCTCAACCAAAGAGTTGTGTATCGACTTACCCATTCCCTAACAATCTGCTTCACAAACCCTTCAAGACTCTCGATGAGAATAACATCCCGAATGTGTAGAGGACACTTTGGTCATTAATGACATCGGGCGTGCACGAACACAATTGGTGTGATTCAGTTCTGTCTTTCAGTTTTTTTATCATTAATTCATTCATTACGGGGTTTTTTTAGACATAAATATCAAACAGCAAGTCAAACATTTGATTTACAAGCTAAAACAAATTTAAGCAAGAGTAAAACAGTAATGACAAAATAAAACATCAAAAGTTGGATTTCCAACAATTATTACAATTATTAGCTGCTTTGCTTTTACATGGTGCCTGGCCCTCTGGGGTTATATGGATGGACAGGGAAGGAAGTGTGTATTGTTCGGGGACGCCGAGACCCCGGAAGAGAACTAAGGGATTGGCTGGGGCATTGTTATGGCTCAGACCGATCCCTGAAAGCTTGACTAGCACATAACTTTTTGATTTTTTTATCCTCTATCTTTTATACTTTGGTTTAGTTTGATATTTACATCTGCTCGGCAGATGTACGGTAGTTTTGAAAACGAAACAGAGAGATGTTTCATTAAAAAGAAATTTATATTTTAGCCAGTTTTATGAAAAATGTAAGGCTAACCCCTTGCAATTTTTTGTCAATTTTCGTCAAAAAATGAAATTGCTCCAAACTTCCTGGAAAGACTCCTAAGGGACCCTCGCACACATTCCCAATCGATTTACGGACAGATATATCATTAAAAAGAAATTCATATTTTAGCTAAATTTTATGAAAAATTTTGTAAGAAAAATGTAACCCCTTGCAATGTTTGCCAATTTTGGTCAAAAAATGAAAATGCCCCAAACTTCCTGGAAAGACTCCTAAGGGACCCTCGAACACATTCCCAATCGATTTACGGACAGATATATCATTAAAAAGAAATTCATATTTTAGCTAAATTTTATGAAAAATTTTGTAAGAAAAATGTAACCCCTTGCAATGTTTGCCAATTTTGGTCAAAAAATGAAATTGCTCCAAACTTCCTGGAAAGACTCCTAAGGGCCCCTGGATTACATTCCAACTCGATTTAGGGACAGATATATCATTAAAAAGAAATTCATTTTTTAGCCAATTTTTATGAAAAATGTAAGGCTTACCCCTTGAATGTTTGCCAATTTTGGTCAAAAAATGAAAATGCTCCAAACTTCCTGGAAAGACTCCTAAGGGACCCTCGAACACATTCCAACTCGATTGAGGGACAGATATATCATTAAAAAGAAATTCTATTTTAGCCAAATTGTATGAAAAATGTAAACCTAACCCTTTGCAATGTTTGCCAATTTTGGACAAAAAATGAAAATGCTCCAAACTTCTTGGAAAGACTCCTAAGGGACCCTCGCACACATTCCCACTCGATTTACGGACAGATATATCATTAAAAAGAAATTCATATTTTAGCTAAATTTTATGAAAAATGTAAGGCTAACCCCTTGCAATGTTTGCCAATTTTGGTCAAAAAATGAAAATGCTCCAAACTTCCTGGAAAGACTCCTCAGTGACCCTCGAACACATTCCCACTCGATTGAGGGACAGATATATCATTAAAAAGAAATTCATATTTTAGCTAAATTTTATGAAAAATTTTGTAAGAAAAATGTAACCCCTTGCAATGTTTGCCAATTTTGGTCAAAAAATGAAAATGCCCCAAACTTCCTGGAAAGACTCCTAAGGGACCCTCGAACACATTCCAACTCGATTGAGGGACAGATATATCATTAAAAAGAAATTCATATTTTAGCCAAATTTTATGCAATGTTTGCCAATTTTGGTCAAAAAATGAAAATGCTCCTAACTTCCTGGAAAGACTCCTAAGGGACCCTAAAACACATTTCCACTCGATTTAGGGACAGATATATCATTAAAAAGAAATTAATATTTTAGCCAAATTTTATGAAAACTGTCAGGCTAACCTCTTGCAATGTTTGTCAATTTTGGTCAAAAAATGAAAATGCTCCAAACTTCTTGGAAAGACTCCTCAGGGACCCTCAAACACATTCCCACTCGATTGAGGGACAGATATATCATTAAAAAGAAATTCATATTTTAGCCAAATTTATGAAAAATGTAAGACTTACCCCTTGCAATGTTTGCCAATTTTGGTCAAAAAATGAAAATGCTCCAAACTTCCTGGAAAGACTCCTAAGGGACCCTCGAACACATTCCCACTCGATTGAGGGACAGATGTTTCATTAAAAAGAAATTAATATTTAAGCCAATTTTTATGAAAAATGTAAGGCTAACCACTTGCAATGTTTGCCAATTTTGGTCAAAAAATGAAAATGCTCCTAACTTCCTGGAAAGACTCCTAAGGGACTGTAAAACACATTTCCACTCGATTTAGAGTCAGATATATCATTTAAAAAGAAATTCATATTTTAGCCAAATTTTATGAAAACTGTCAGGCTAACCTCTTGCAATGTTTGTCAATTTTCGTCAAAAAATGAAAATGCTCCTAACTTCCTGGAAAGACTCCTAAGGGACCCTAAAACACATTTCCACTCGATTTAGAGTCAGATATATCATTAAAAAGAAATTCATATTTTAGCCAAATTTTATGAAAACTGTCAGGCTAACCTCTTGCAATGTTTGTCAATTTTCATCAACAAATGAAAATGCTCCAAACTTCTTGGAAAGACTCCTAAGGGACCCTCGCACACATTCCCACTCGATTTAGGGACAGATATATCATTAAAAAGAAATTCATATTTTAGCCAAATTTTATGAAAAATGTAAGGCTTACCCCTTGCAATGTTTGCCAATTTTGGTCAAAAAATGAAAATGCTCCAAACTTCCTGGAAAGACTCCTAAGGGACCCTCGAACACATTCCCACTCGATTGAGGGACAGATGTTTCATTAAAATGAAATTCATATTTTAGCCAATTTTATGAAAAATGTAAGGCTTACCCCTTGCAATTTTTGCCAATTTTGGTCAAAAAATGAAAATGCTCCAAACTTCTTGGAAAGACTCCTAAGGGACCCTCCAACACATTCCCACTCGATTGAGGGACAGATATATCATTAAAAAGAAATTCATATTTTAGCCAAATTTGATGAAAAATTTAAGGCTTACCCCTTGCAATGTTTGCCAATTTTGGTCAAAAAATGAAAATGCTCCAAACTTTCTGGAAAGACTCCTTTGGGACCCTCGAACACATTCCAACTCGATTGAGGGACAGATGTTTCATTAAAAAGAAATTAATATTTTAGCCAATTTTTATGAAAAATGTAAGGCTAACCCCTTGAAATGTTTGCCAATTTTGGTCAAAAAATGAAAATGCTTTAAACTTCCTGGAAAGACTCCTAATGGACCCTCGAACACATTCCCACTCGATTGAGGGACAGATATATCATTAAAAAGAAATTCATATTTTAGCCAAATTTTATGAAAAATGTAAGGCTTACCCCTTCCAATGTTTGCCAATTTTGGTCAAAAAATGAAAATGCTCCAAACTTCTTGGAAAGACCCCTCAGGGACACTCGAACACATTCCCACTCGATTGAGGGACAGATATATCATTAAAAAGAAATTCATATTTTAGCCAAATTTTATGAAAAAATGTAAGGCTTATCCCTTGCAATGTTTGCCAATTTTGGTCAAAAAATGAAAATGCTCCAAACTTCCTGGAAAGACTCCTAAGGGACCCTCGAACACATTCCCACTCGATTGAGGGACAGATATATTATTAAAAAGAAATTCATAATTTAGCCAAATTTGATGAAAAATGTAAGGCTTACCCCTTGCAATGTTTGCCAATTTTGGTCAAAAATGAAAATGCTCCAAACTTTCTGGAAAGACTCCTATGGGACCCTCGAACACATTCCAACTCGATTGAGGGACAGATGTTTCATTAAAAATAAATTAATATTTTAGCCAATTTTTATGAAAAATGTAAGGCTAACCCCTTGAAATGTTTGCCAATTTTGGTCAAAAAATGAAAATGTTTTAAACTTCTTGGAAAGACTCCTAATGGACCCTCGAACACATTCCCACTCGATTGAGGGACAGATATATCATTAAAAAGAAATTCATATTTTAGCCAAATTTTATGAAAAATGTAAGGCTTACCCCTTCCAATGTTTGCCAATTTTGGTCAAAAAATGAAAATGCTCCAAACTTCCTGGAAAGACTCGTAAGGGACCCTCGAACACATTCCAACTCGATTGAGGGAGAGATGTTTCATTAAAAAGAAATTTTATTTTAGCCAAATTTGATGAAAAATGTAAGGCTAACCCCTTGCAATTTTTGCCAATTTTTGTCAAAAAATGAAAATGCTCCAAACTTCCTAAAAAAGACTCCTGCGGGACCCTCGAACACATTCCAACTCGATTGAGGGACAGATGTTTCATTAAAAAGAAATTTTATTTTAGCCAAATTTGATGAAAAATGTAAGGCTAACCCCTTGCAATTTTTGCCAATTTTTGTCAAAAAATGAAAATGCTCCAAACTTCTTGGAAAGACTCCTAAGGGACCCTCGAACACATTCCCACTCGATTGAGGGACAGATATATCATCAAAAGAAATTAATATTTTAGCCAATTTTATGAAAAATGTAAGGCTAACCCCTTGCAATGTTTACCAATTTTGGTCAAAAAATGAAAATGCTCCAAACTATTTGGAAAGACTCCTAAGGGACCCTCGAACACATTCCCACTCGATTGAGGGACAGATATATCATTAAAAAGAAATTCATATTTTAGCCAAATTTTATGAAAAATGTAAGGCTTACCACTTGCAATGTTTGCCAATTTTGGTCAAAAAATGAAAATGCTCCAAACTTCCTGGAAAGACTCCTAAGGGACCCTCGAACACATTCCAACTCGATTGAGGGACAGATGTTTCATTAAAAAGAAATTCTATTTTAGCCAAATTTTATGAAAAATGTAAGGCTAACCCCTTGCAATGTTTGCCAAT